AACGACAGGCTCATGCACAGGTCTGGCAGCGGGATGGTCCGGCGGCACTCAAGCTTTGCCAGGCCTACACAGTGCAGATGATCAAAGGACACCCATGTCCCTTTTGCAAACTGCAGGTCTACGACAAACGCAAGCACCCAGAACAGTGCATAGTTCTGTTCCAGGTCCTGCTCGGATGGCATAAGGTCCAGGGTAAGGACAAAACGCGGGAACAATGTTCCAAGCCTCAACCAAAGACCGCGGTGACAATGTCCCTCAGCGGCTTCTTCGGGACGGCGGACCGATCTGCTACTCCCGCTGCCTCCACCACGGTCACCACGGCGACGGCGGGCACCGCCGAGGGACATCTCCCACCAGGCCTGTACTCACGCATGCGGCGCATGATGAACTCAGGCAATACCTGCTATGTCAATGCGACCATACAAGCCCTTCTAGCCGCGCTTGACTCTGCGTCCAACATAGCAGAACTGGGACCACTGGTCGAACATTGCATTAGCCCAGAGGCGGATCCAATGGACACTAGGCTTATCAACCCCCCAAGCCTTTTTGCACTCCGGTCGTTAGTGCCTAGATGGCGCTTTGATGGCAGACAACACGACACCTCTGAATTTGTCACGAGTCTGCTAGAACATCACACCGGAACCCTACAACCCGTGCGTTGGGAGGGACGCACTAATGGACTGCCAGAACGCGAAGACGATGGCCTTACGCCGCTGCTGCTGCCTCTTTCCTCGGACTGTCGAACACTGCAGCAGGCCTGCGTGGCATGGTACAACCACATGTTCCAACGCGCCCTGGCATGGGCCCCAGACATCCTGCCCGTCACAGTTGCTCGATGGATGGACGGCACCAAACGACGCACCCCGATAGACCTGCGCAGGCAAGTCTCACTGCCGACTTGGACGGAGGGTCAGGACCGCCAGTGGCACCACTTTTCAGTCATTTCGGGGGTCTTTCACGTAGGAGCGGAAATCCACTCCGGCCATTACCGGTCTTTCTGGATCCATCCGCATGGAGGTGCGCTATACGTTGGTGATGATGCCACCAGCCCACACCTCGCCTCGACCTCAGAACGCAAACATGTTTTGGAAGATTGTTACCTCCTTTTCTTGAGAAGACAGGAGTGACTCTGACTCACCCTCAAGGGGTGAGTGCTGGCCCTCCCAGTCTAGGAATGCGTGCACCACTAGGGTGCCTGTGCGTGGGAAGGCCGGACCCCACAATAGGTGGGCATGGCCCCCCCCACGTCAAGGCCAAGCATGCTTTAGGCATGCGCAGGCTTACCCGCAGCTTTTTCAGGCTGACCCAGCATGGCTGACAAGATCCACAGCCCAGACCACAAACGTGGTCGCACCACATCTCCCCTAGCTTCAGATTCACTGATGGGCGAACCGTCTGAGCCTTTTGGTGTCGATGCTCGACGCCAAGCGACCGGCAGCGGCCAGGCAGGGCCCTGCACGCCCTTTCCAACGCCGAGCTCACTCAAGGCTTCCTACTACATGAAGAACAGCTTGCCCTACTACAACTCCAGGCCTCGCTGGTGTACAAGCTACCCACGGACGCCCCCCTGGCACAGCCCTAGCCAAGGCCGTGGCCGCGTGGCAGAAAGGCCACACGCCAGGGAAAGCGCACCCACTGGGTTCATGTGCACACTTCACAGCGGGAGCAATGCTCGTCCAGCTGGCCCAGTCTCAACAAAAGCCACCAGGCATTGACACTGCACAGTTCAAGGCCTTCATCAAGCTGATCGAGGACTTCGGCGAATCGCCGCATGAGGCTGTGATTCATCTGGTCGCGCACTGCTCGGCTCGACAGAACGCTCTCAAGACGCATCTTATCTTGGACTTCCGACCGGTTCTCCACTCCCCGCTTGCGCAGTACACCTCGCTGATCGCGGCCCTCCTGGATTCCTATGAAGGAGAGCGCCTCGGAAAAAAGGCCCCTGGCGGCCTGGCTCGTAAGGCGAGGGGCAAAGCTGGCTGAAGGAGAGGTGCCAATGGCAGCAGCTGGACACGGCCTAGCTCAATTAGGAAAATCTCTATCTTTCACAGGAGCAATGCTCGAATTTGCCTTGTTCCTGGAGTGCACTGTCAGCCATAAGCTGTATCACTCCTGCGCACAATGACAAGCAACCAGGCAACCACGCCTGTGGAAAAAGCACTGACCTTGCGCCGTGTTCACATCATTGCAGCAGGCTGCCATTGTCTGGCATGTGCTAGGCAGCGTCTAATCTAGTGTCACGCAGCCTTTCCAATTGCCAGATCGCATTCTGAGTCCCTTCCAGCCTCGTTGCCGCCCAACATGCCAGGGCTGCAGAGTCACATTGATCTCGACTACTACGCTGCCCAATGGGATAAAATCCGAGAGCTCGGCCTGGACAAACCTACAACGACAGCGGCGACCTCGGCAACCTCAGGCGACAAGGAACGGACCGTGCAGACTAAAGAGCCAACTGCTACATCATTGCCGTCGGGCCGTCAACGCCCACCTACGCCACCTCGCTCACCGAAGAAGCGCCAGAACACGGTGAATAAGATCCACAATTAGCGACAATGCCATTCTGAGTCTCGGGTGCGCACAATGAGCGGCCCTAACCCTGAAGGTGGTCAATGACCTCCTGCACCACGCTGCTAGGATGGAAAAAGTTTCGCAACTTAAAGGATCGCTCATAAATAATGCAAGCTGAGGGCGGTCAGATCCTCCATACTGTGCTCGCGTCCATGCGACTAAACACAGAAGGATCAAGTCAAGGCCCGGCACTCTACCGCTCCATTCCGCTTCGCACATGGCGGCTCCTTCTGACACTACGGCCCTGGACAGCCTACACATCCGATTGGGCCTAGACCAGGACCCCCATCGCATGGCAACGGCTATTGTGGCAGCAATGACGGACCACGCACAAACCGTGCAACGAGTCCCTACCCCCTGCACCTTAGCGGGACCCACTTCGGCTGCCTGCATCAGCCTCCTGAAGGGCACGGTCGGCAAGACAGTGGGAAGAGGCCACACGAGCACAGTCTACCTGTCTCATGAGGACCCCAACTTTGTCATCAAACAGGTCAAGGCGGAGCACGAGGCAGACTTTCGGAAAGAATTGCATCGCGTTACAAGACTTCCGCCTCTCTCCGTGATCAACACCATCTACGCGGCAGACGGCCCGAGGGCACTCATGCCGCGCCTTTGGTCAGCTCCCCGTCCTCTCACCGGGGACACAGTCCAGCGACTCAAATTTGATATCGCGGCTGCGCTGCAGATGCTGCATTCAGCCCAAATCGTTCATGGGGACGTGCACGCGGACAACATCATGGTCCGGCACCAACCGGCCAGTTTCGTACTGATCGACTATGGCGGCTGCTCGGGCGAGGCCATATACCCCTTGAGTAATGGCTACGGCGCCAAGGGATATGGAGGCGATCTACATCGGCCACCAACCCTGGAAGCTCCACCCGCCCCGGTCCGGACGGCGCATGGGGACTTCTACCGGCTGAGCCAAACGATCCTCAAACAGTTCCTGTCGGATGAGGAGCCTACCAAACGACGCAAGGGCAGCGGCGTCAATGACGGAGTCAGCAGAGGCATTCCTAGCCACATGAAGCGAGAATTGCAACTGTGGCTGGAGCGGGACCAATGGCCACAGCCCATCTATCCCAACTCCCCCTTCCCTGCTGGCTCCTGGACGGACTCTGCCTTCAACCCCGCGGTCACTGTACATGCTGGCCTGTGGAGAGCCAACGGGGAGCTCCGGACAGATACCGCCACCTTTGCCAGATCAGATGACAAGTTTGGCAACAACAACGGCTCACTGGTTCCGGAAAAGTCAGATCCGTCAGATCTCTCACCTGGCCTTGGATCCTGGGAAAAGTCTGCTGTTTGGGCCAAGTTCTACCTTTCTACGGAATTGAGGACATGCGGCCGCCACCTCCGGTATGTATACCAAGAGATCTTTCCCTGGGAATCCTACTCCAACCAGGACGGCTACTTGGTGCTGGACAAGCCCCCTCCTCCGCCTCCGAACAAGCCAATCGAGCCGAAGGAAGAGGCGGTGTCACTGACAACCCCAGCATCCCAAAGCGGGGGCAAGGCCCACTCTGCTCTGACGCAGGTATCGCCTCCATCTCCCACCTCTCCTGCGAACCGACCCGCCAGCCCCCACGTGCTTCTACCGAGCTACCAGGCATCTGGGGAGAACCTCCCGCCCGCCCTGCGGAGGACCAAGACCCCTCGCAGACAATTTCTGCCCAACGCCAGCCCCAGCCCCAGCCCATGCAGGCTCCCTTTGACCCACCGGAATCAGCGCCTCCTTTTAACATAGTCATGAAGGAAGCTCAGGTCTACGACCCGAACGCCAGATTCCGAGCGATGGCAGCCTCAGGAGGCAGCGATGTCCCCTTCGACACCAAGGGCCACATGCTCCAGTCTGGCGATGCTTTTGTGGCTCGAGATCCAGCAAGGACTCCCACACCAGGATCTCGAAAAACCACCATCGAGGACCAACTTCACACTGCCGCGGACTTGCTGCGTGGAGTCGCGGGGGATATGCAGGCCTACCCAGATCGCTTCCTGGAAGAGTGCCCATTCCCGAGACCCCCACCGCCCTAACGCAGCTGGGACAATGTCCGCCCATGTCATCCTGATGGCGACAATGTCGTGCTAGAGCTGTATCGGCCGGTACTCAACTCTTTCTCTTTTCTCCACGAGCCTGTCGGCTCACACGCCGCTGTACATCATCACGGCTATTTTCTTTTCAGACGACGCTGCCACACATGTTGCAGTTCGGATTGAAACAGAGTGTCGGTTTGAGTGTGATGCTTTCGCCATCAAGGCAGAATCAGCTGGGATCTGACACCGGATACTAGGCTGCCACCCTCTCATACCCCCATTCCTGTTCACACTTGTCGGCTCTCAGACCCAGATAGCTGGTCTGGACGCTCAGGCCTGCCATTTCCAAACAGCTGCCCCTAGCGATGTGGAGGCTCCGAAGCAGCTCGGGATGTATCCCCATGGACCTGGACGAATCTGACGAGGAGGTCCCCGAACCGGCACGAAAATGCCGTCGCCCGACACTCACGATGCCAACAGTTCAACGCACCCTTCGGTCGACCTTTCTGACGACTGACGAGGAAGCGGCACAAGAGGAGGAACGACAGGGCTCCGTCTGTTCAGCCCTGAGTCTATACGCTCCACAGGCGCAGGCACCAGGCATATGCCTACATCTCCCTCCTGACATGGATGAAATGGAGCACAAATTCACCCTATGTGCAGTAGAACAGGCCGCGGCGGACTACCTCCATCGCAGGTGGGTCACCTTCGAGCAACTGGATGCCCTGCTGGACACTATGCCTACCACCTCTGCCTGTCGCAATGCATCGGTGGCACTGCCACAGTCTGCTGACCAGCGGATTGTCACATTCGGCGCATACCAGCAGGGGCCACTGGCCGGTCTGAGGACACCAACGCATCGTTTTCCGATGGCGACGTGCCTCCTCAACACGGTCGTGCACACCATGGCCGGACGCCATCCACGCACGACTCTATTCCTGGCACGCAACATGGCCTCTGGATTGCACACCGACAACAACCAACAAGGGGTGAACAACCTCCTGATCCCTCTCTCCAACTTCGAGGGCGGCCACCTCTTTGTGGAGGACAACGCCGGGGATTACCTGTTGGACTCCGGAGGACCCAGAGGACAAGTTCTCCCCGTGACCTTGCCCTACCTTAGTTTTGATGCCTCACGCCGACACCTGGTACTGCCATGGACGGGACGCAGACTCATACTCGGTACTTATCACATCCGAGATGCGGACAAGCTCTCCGCGAATTCCGCTCTGTACCTGAAGTACTCAGGTTTCGAGGTGCGTCGCACAGCTACAAGCTCCTCTAGCTTTCAACGGCAGCACAGCTGATGTATAGCGATGCGCTGGCATGGGGGCAATGCCCAGCAGGCTTTCAGCTCAAGCTACGGAGGCTGCTGATAGCCCTCTCTGAGCCGGACTGAAGCACGTCCAATAGCTCAATAAATTTTGACCAACAGCCTCAGCTGCCGACACCCTCCCTGGAGGCTCGGCGACCTGAAACGACGGCAGATACACACAGCTTTTCTGCCAGCGAGAGACACACGGATCGCTCATGTCTACTGCTACTGATGCTGGCATATCGCCTCTAAGGTCCGACGATGCCCTCAGGCTGCCCCTGCTGACGCCGACCTTCTGGCATGGCCGGACCAGTGCCCCTGCCCACTCGCACAAGCAAAGCTGACTCTGCAGCGCTGCCTCAGCGTGAATGCATCTGCAGCTTTCCTGATGCGCCGCCGGGCTCAAGATCACTGAAGGCATCAAGCACAACATCACACAAAGCAGAAGGCTCAGGGCTCAGACTTTAGTACATTGCAGCACACTCTGCCCTAGGCTACAGCTCTGACATTCCTGCGCATTTCCTCACCACTTTACTTTCCCTCAGCCTAGTAAGGGCGCGGTGCTCAACGAGCACTGGCAACTGGGCATGGCAGCTACACCGACCACGCCGAAGCCCTTCTTGGTGCTCAGTGACAGCACCTTGCAACACTTGTTATGGCAGGGGGCCAATGGCCAATCCTACGGAATCGTTGACATGGTTCGGGGTGCAATGCACGGCTACGTCATCTCCTGCCCGGGTACAACTCTCACAGCAGAGTACACGGGTGCGCAGCCACCCAACCCAGCGGTGTTGGAGGTACTGGCCTGGCAATTCATCCGCGTCCTTGGAGAAACGCGATCTTTCCCGGCGGAAAGCCCTGCATTGATCAATTTCCTCCGTGATCATTACTATGACGAGGTCAGCGTGCGCCTGATCCCCATCAGACAAAGCTTATTACCCCATAAGCAGAAGTCCTACGACTGGATCGCGGAGCTAAGGGATCAGTATGGCCTGGGACGGTACGAGCTCAGCGATGAGACCATCATGAGCCTCCAAGGCCCTCATCCCCTGGTCGATCAAATATACAACCAAAATAACTGTCACTTTCGACCGACGGTGGCGGATCACGTCATTGGATTGCTGGTATCCCGCTCAATTCAAACGATGCGGCGACTGAAGCCAAATGCGATCCATGTTCTGGTTGTGTGCTCATGGAACTGCCAGGGGGACAATGTCCACAAGGAGATGAACGCCACGTTCGACCTGTGCAGCGCGGAGACACTGTCTGAGGTGGGTGCGGTGGCTGCTCGACACACGGGCAAGGCATGGGCCCTCAGACCATTCCTGGAACCCTATGTCAGTCGCCGGCCAATGCCCCGCACTCTTTTTCAGACATACATGCACGATGACCACCCAGGTCCCAAAAGCATGTGCCGGGAATTCCTGGCTGATTTCGAGCGCTCCTTCTGCAATGACGAGATTTTGCTCGAGACCCTTCAGGTGCATGCTGGAGACAGCGGAGAACACTTGATCAAAAGTTTGAGGCAGCCTGCTCACAAGGCTGATGTCTTCAGGTACGTCTACCACTACTATCATGGTGGCCTGTACCTTGATATCAAGATGGCGCTGCGAATGCCCTTCGATCAAATCTTAGGGCTCATAGCTTCAGAATGGGACAATGTCCAAGTTCGCAAGAGCAAAGAGCTGGGGCACTGCCCAAATGGAGTGGAAGGGGTTCTGCCCCAGGAGTACCTGATCATGGGCATTGGGGTCAAAAATGACCACATTTTCCAGGGCATCATCTATGGACAACCGCGCCATCCCCTCATGCTCTGCGCTATAAACCACGCTTTCAGCAGGCAAATTCTTGCATCGGTCGCCAACCTGGACTACATGATCTTCTGCAAGGAACTTTGGAAGCTCCTCACGCACGACATGGGCCACACCCCAGTGACAGGATGGAACCAGACCCGACAGTTCGGACCGGTGTATTTGCTCCGCGAGCGACATTCAGCTCAGCTCACCAAGTCCAAAGAGCTTGAGTCCGACGGCCACTACTTTGAGACCCGCGGTCAGGTTCGGGTAGCATTCACCCGATGCTGGAGCTGGCGAAAAGGCTTCAAGGGCGACCCCAGGGCAGCTCAAAGAAATGAAAACTCTCTCATGCAGAGCGTGCCCCAAATTGTCTCGGAGGTCATTGAAGCCGGTGGCGCTGCCTCTGCAGCCCCTCATTCAGCACAGGCGGGAGCAATGCTCACCAATGCAGGCGTCAGAGTTGTCGGCGAGACCGTGCTCAGCAGCCTCGAACGGGGTGATTTTGACGCGATCATGGCAGCGGTCGAGAAGGAGCCGCAGTACCACGGCATTTCGGCCGAGGCTGTCCTTCGCAACATCCCCCGAGGCCTCTGCCTTCACCCTGAAGATCCAGACTGGCTTTCCTGCCGCTACTGCGAGCGCGGAGGTCGGCGCTTAAAGTTCCCAAATGAGTTGGGAGTCACACACCACTTCAGGCAATCCCGGCACGACCGATCAGTGCCCGAGCCACCAAGCCCTCCGCCTCGCAACAGCATGTGGTCGCAGCGCCCGGCAGAGCCTGCTAACCCTCCCTCAGCTGCAGCCATCACCACCACCAGAACCCACGGCGGACCGTCCTCCCCAGTGGAGACCCACAGCGTCGGTGTCAAAGGCACGCTTTGGGCTCGGCCTCCCTCCCATTCCGCCAGGTCCTACCCCACATGCGCAGGGCCACCGGCCTCTTGCAGTGAAACACGAACAAGGGGTCAATGACCAACAGGCGGACATCAAGGATGAGAAACAGGCCACTGCTGTTCCCACGTTGGGATGGGCGGAAGACACTGTGGGCACGCCAGACACTCCGATGCTGCCGGCGAGCACACCGCAGTCACACAAGTCTGCTGGCTCTGGCCAGACAAGTGACAGGCCTTTCAATGCATTCTCAGCCCAGAATGCGCCTCCGACGGCTGCCCCCACCGCACCTGTGACCTCCACTCCAGCGCAACCGCCTACAGCTCGCCGCCCCTCCACCGAGGAGACCATCCCGCAGACCCCAGGCCCGGCTGACACCACATCATCCTCCCCTGTGGATGCCCCCTCTACGCGCGCAGAGGTCAAATACCAGGGACCGGTCACTACGACCAAGCTGGTGGAGTACAGTGTCAACCCCTCTCCAGAGCAAGAGGCAAATCAACTGCCAAAGCGAGATCAGATTATCCACATCTGCCAGTCTGACCAGATGCTGGAGTGGGTTCATGCCTTCGCGACCATTTCCATTATGAAGGAGCAGGCCATAGTGGGTGGCCTCACGGCCTCCGAGCAGGTCTACCTCTGGACCAATCGGTTTCGGGCACTGGGCAAGGTGCCATGGATCTTCGCTCCGATCAAGAAGGTCGCCACTGACAAGGATGCCAACTGGCTTGACATCACGCAAGCGCGGCTTATGGTCGGGGCCAATGGCCAATTCACACTATCCATTGGCCAAGATGATCGCTACACCGAGCTTAAGTCCACCACGACCTACTATGGCATAGTGCACGCCCTCTTTCAGAAGATGTGGGATCATCCGGACATGAGCGCACTGCTCGAAACGGATGACAACTTCGAGATCGTGGCCTCCACCTTCAAATGCATCTATGACCAGTCCTCCAGGAAGAGTGGTGGCCAAAACCGCGCCATCTTCTACCAGCCTCGGGATGGTCAAGTTGTCCGCAAGCTCCGTATCGAACACAACAAGGGCGACACGGCCACCTACCAATGGCATCGTCAACGCGAGCTTCGTGAGCAGCGTGAACAGCGTGACAAGCGCTCTGGTGAAGAGACACAGTCTCACACAGACAAGCGCTACAGGGATGGCGATGCCTGGACCCGAGGAGGATGGTGGAATCGTGGCTCGGACTCGGGGGCCAGTGGCAGCCGCTCCTGGCACCAGTGAGCTCCAACTTTGATCACCGGTGCAATGCGGAGGCCTTGCCTGCATTCCTACTTCGTTTCTTCCGGAACGGACTGACGGCCTTTCTGCCGATTGCCGCCGCTGTCAGTGAAAAACATGCCTAGCCTTCTGCCAGTCGCAGTACTGTGCCTCTGCTACTAGTGCTGCACAATCACTATCCTCGTTCAGGTACACACAACAATCTGAAGCTTGATGCCTGGCAGCCTACAAACGTGCTTCGGCTGACCACTGCCAGTTAGCTGGAAGCCTGTAGGCCGCCAACACCCAAAGGTCTTTGACCTGGGCTGTTCAGCTATAGGGTCTGAGTCAGTTTCACACCATGTGAGTGCACCGCGGCAATCGCCCGCTATGTGCTGAGCCCGCTCGCACAGCGTTCAATTGAATAGTAGTAGTAGTAGTCGTAGTAGTCGTAGTGGTCGTCGTTGTCGTAGCAGTCGTAGTAGTCGTAGTAGCAGTTGTAGTAGTAGTAGTGGCAGCAGCAGGAGTAGTAATAGTTGTAGTAGCAGTAGGAGCAGGAGGAGGAGCAGCAGCAGCAGTAGAAGAAGCGGTAGTGGTGGTAGTGGTGGTTGTGACAATCATGGTCCACAATAGTAGTATTACCAGTAAATTGTGCAACTGCGGATTACCTCACTGTGATATGAAGCACTGCAACGACCACGATGACCGCGAGGACCAAGACAAGCGCGACCACTGCAACCCCCACGACCACCACGACGACCACCAATGATGAGCCAGATTACCATTGCGACCAAGTGGTCCATCAGGGGACCTCAAGAGACCACGGCCCGTGGAAACCACCCAAGAACCAACAGGAGACTGACAGGAAACCACCGGGGACCTAGTGTGAGACCACCGGGAGATCACCATGAACGGAGTCAGAGAGTTTGACCATGTTCGACCTCCTTGTCGAGTCAGTTTGAACAGAGCTCATGTTTAATGGTGTAGATGAAGCATGTTGCTGGGTGGTATTGCGAAACTTGCTGCAGGTGTTGGCAACGACAACATTACTTTCGTGGCCATGCTCCCGAATGTTGTTGCGCATGTGACGCCTGCAAAGCCAGTTCTTCATTTGTATGGCATGGGCAGGTTGTCCTTCTTTTCCTGGTCAGTTTTGGCTACTGGCTTCAACTACACAGGACACCCGACGTTGGCATAGTGCTGTTTGCAGCGGTTGTGATGCGTTTGAAGTCCAACAGGTCACGTCCTTGGGTCGTCCAGAGCGGTTTTGTTTTTCCTTCACAGGTTCAGTTTCCACAGCTGCCTTTCGTGGCGTCACCAGTTCGAGAAATAGCTTGGCCTCTAACACAGCGATTCAACTGTGGCAAGTGGAGTGTGGTGCATTTTGCAGTCGCCAGTACTGGCCTGGGCCACCATTGGCACTTTGCTAGTTCGGGCCTGAAAATGTGTCTTTGTGCTTGGCATGGGTTGGTGTCGGCATTAAACTCAGGCCATTGGCTACACCGCTGGTCCTGCCCCTCTCAAATACATGGGCCTGGGTGATCTGACTGTCGCCGGCACGCACACCTGTTGTCTTGTTATTGATTCTTCTAGAAGGGCGGCTATAAAACGGTGAGCTTCAGCACCCGAGGTATTTATTTGCTTTGGGCCTGGAGTTGTTTCCTACTGCTCCGTCGTTTTGGTGGGCAGAGTTGTGTCGGGAGGCCAAGTCCACCAGCATGTTTGCAATTCGATTGCTTGGTGACAGCTGTCGCATGATTTTGTCTACATAACAAGCATCCACACGGCAGCGATCAGTTGGAGTATTTCGAGTGCTGCGAAACGGCAAGTGTCATGGAACACCAGTAACTAGTTAGTTGGCTATGCTGGACTACTAGATGTTGCCGTGCTTCTTGCACGTTTGGATCTGTGCCTTTTCTTGAAAGCACCTCTGGGTTAGGTTCTCGTTTAGTGCTCCAACGGGAGGTTCACGATATCGGACCCTGTCTGGACAGAAAAGGTCTAGAAGGGAAGACTGGACGGCGGTCGGACTTTGACACCGAGGATGGTTGCGTCGGGTGGCACGGTGGATGGAGGAACGGTCGGAGGGGAGTGTCAGACTGATCCCGATACGGGATATGCCATCGGTGCGCGTGGGAGGTAGACGGACAAGGGGCGGAGCGCGATGTCGGGGGGTGCAGGGGAGGCGTGCGCGGGCGGTCCAGACGCGGCAATACAAAATCGCGGGTTTCCATTCTTGAATCAAGTTTGGGTTCCCGGATTGACATTGTTCCGCATCGTGTGCTTCAGTGGCGACTTTCTGTACCGACATCAAAGGATATTGCCATGTTGCAGTCCCCTCGGTCTGCATGGGTCCTTCGTTCGTTTTACCTGCCTTCTCCCCTCGGTGCAGGATTCGGGACGCGGAGCGTGGATGTTGATTAGACATGTTCCAGGCATTGGGACCGTACGATTGTATCGACGGTATGTCGGCCGTGTGCATGCAGTTGAGCGACATGCAATACATCACGTCGTGGAAGGGAACTTTGCATCAATATGCTGAGGATTCCTGAGGTGTGACACATGTTCCTCATCTGTCCTGCCACAGACTGTTTCAATGCCCGAACATGTGCCGCGAGCGGTGTCACCTCGCATCCATGCCCTGGAAGTCTGCCATCTGCAGTCTTGGACGTACCTCCCTGTTAACGACTGTGCGATGTCGGCCCGATCGATTCTTCGACACGGGATTCTTAGTTGCCTCGCCCTGCTACAGATCCTTGTCGCATGCAAACAGCAGAGCCGGAGACCCCGTCGGCTTTCCTTCCTGTGTTGGGAAAAAAGCTTTTGGCAGAGCCTGCCTCAGGCTCCTTGATCAGTGTGGAGGTCCTGTTGTTCACTTTCTGTAGACTGCCATCAAGTCCTCCGGAAAAAGCATTGGGCATTGTCAGAGCATGCCACCACTCTGTCAGCCCGTCTACGTACCAAATCTAGCCACCTGCCAGTGACTTTGATTCAGTACGGCGAACACGGAAGTCACACTGGTCAGCATTTGTCAGCTTGGAATGCCGTTGTTGTTTTAGGTGGCCAGCTCTGCTGATGACCGTTCCGGTCCAGATCTTACATGACTCCACTTGTGGCACTGCTTGCTTTGGGTCAACATGGGTGAGGCATCTTTGTATGCGCGAACCTCGGCTTTGCTGTTGTGTAGGTACGGCTGTCGTCTCATGCTCCTTCTCAGGTCGTGGGCATCTTGCATGCAAACAACTACAGAGATATGGAAGTGGACAGACGAGGAGGTGGAATGTTGCGACGGTTTGCAGCGGCATGTTTTGAGGTGGTTCATGGATGTTGCAGCTAGGTTTGGGATCATTCAGCGCATCGCAGGAACAGATAGCGCCCAGGTCACACTGACGTATCTTCACAGCACATCGTTCAAACAGCTTCGAGAAACTGACTTAGCAAGCCAACGAACATGCATCCCACACGCATGGATCCATCGAGCTACATCTGCTCAGCCGACGTCGCCACTGCGAGGACAGGGAACGCTGTCAACCTGTTTTGTGTGCATCACGGTGGTCGCTAGTGCTAGTAGTGCATGAAGTGGCTGAGATTCGTAGCGGTCAACTTCGCAGAGCTTCGGCAGGTTTGTGCACACAGCTCCACGATCCACAAAGTTCGAATGCCGTGCCGGACTCGGACTCGGCGCAAGGCGAGGAAGCGCCAGGCGGCAAGGCGGCAAGGCGGCCAAGCTGGCCTCGCCTCCCCGGATGCGAACAAAGGCAGCTTAAGTATGAAGTCGGCTAATTCTCTCGAGTTTCACAGGGGCGCAGCATTCCAAAACTCTGCGCAGATCCCCAACAGCGAATTTACACGCATTGTGCCCGCGTCACCGGAAGACCACCCTGAGACCATCAGGACACAGCCCAAGTGCAGTTCCCCAAATTCACATGCATGGCCGGAAGGCTACACCCAAAGTACCTTCGGGACACGGGAGCACAGCGAAATTCAGGAGGATTCCGGAGCTCCAGCCAAAATGCTTCAAGTCATCATCCCGTTTTAAACCGACAGTCGTTCCCGCCTTAAGAGGAGGAGGCCCAGTGCGCGCCTCCCGAACACACTCACCAAGACTTCTTTGCTCGTGGCTTAGAACCTCATATATATATATATATATGACAGCAGTGCGAGCAGAATTTGGAGTGTGAAGCCTTGAAACCTCACAGGAAGTTCTTTAGAATAAACTCCTGACCCTCCTTGCCCTATGCTCTCTGTTACTGCATAAGCGGCAGTCGATTCAAGATGTAGTCGTGCCGGATCTGAAAGTTTAACGATATGTCATTGGTCAGGATAGCAGTTACACCGGGACTTTGTAACATTCGCTCTCCCCATGCAGCTTGTGAACCTGGCGTGGCCAAAGCATGTGACAGGTGGTAGTAAGTCGTGAAGGCGAAGAGCTGCAGGAATGGGTTGCCAAAATACCAGGTCTCTTCTGAAGAAAAGCGAAAGCCTGCTGTCTCAAGTGCCTTCAGGATTCAGCATCCAAACTAGGTTTTCCTTGACAAGGCCAATAGGCTCGACCTAGCAGCGGCAAGATGTTGGCGCAGTGACCACATCTCAATCGGCAATCTAAGGCCTTGGATGGGATGATACCCCCAAGAGTGATCCTGGCCAGCCGGAGACGAAGGCTGTGGCTAGGCGTTGACTTGAGTTTCCGATGTTGGTAGACAGTTCGTTCGGATCTTCGTTCGTCCGTTCATGTCTGTGTGCACCACCTCACCCCCAGTAACACATGACCACATTCAAGATTTTTGACATTGGGAAAGCTTTCGTTGACAGGTACCCAAACACAAGCGCCTCTTCAAGCGGTGACCCCAGAACATTCGCTGGCAGTTGGCCGTGACAGGAGCTTAGCTAGCAGCTGAAGGGGATGCGGATCACCCCGAGCACGCATGCTAAGGTCCAAATTTTCAAGTGGTTCAGTTGGCAGTCACTCCGCCTCGGAGCCACGAAGCCCATCTGCAGCGCCGCAGCTGCACAGACGGCTTGCGAGCATCATCCAAGGAGCTAAGCGCAGCTAAACGGCAAAAGGCCTGCAAGAAGTGAGAATTGAAACGTCCCAGATTCCAACTGCATGCTCCTAAGATCTCCTAGTCATTACTCGTCACATCTTCGCAGATGCCAGTATCCCAGGCTAGCTGCCCGGATCTTCGCCGCTTGCAGCGCCCCTGGGTTCAGCAAGACTTTCTTGCGATCATTGCGCATGCCGGAAGGCCCAGCCGAGAAGAGACCTTGGCGCTGATTCGTCCGAGTGCCCTGCACCCACGACCCCCCGCCAGAGACTCAGAGCTGGTGCAAGTCGCCGCTAGTAGCAGAGTCCAGGGGCCCATGGGGCCCATGCAGATGCTGATCTGCTTAGGTGCCATCAGGCGAGAACTTGCTGCTTAGCTTAGCTCATGCAAGTCTTCTCGGGTGTTAAGAAAAGGTCTGGGTACTTTATCAACCCTATTCCGTTGCCACAGCAAACGGTGCAGCCCATGGGCAACGAGGGGAACCAGAAGAAGGCTTTGGTGGCCTATGATCCTCTGTGTTACTTGAAGATTTTGCAATTGTCGTTAAGCCGCTCCTGTCTTCGGCGACTCGTCAGGACAACTTGGCCGTAACATGATGTCGGGCGTCTGGCGATGAGGAACACGTTGATGTTTAATTTGGTGAACCTGTCTTGACCGGGACCACACCAATCCGGCCGTCTCGCCCCTCCGTGCCCAGCCTGACTCATCAATACTGCTGCCATCCGAACGACACTGAAAGCTCATGTGCATCTCTGAGCAAGGGATACTCCGCTCCCTCACTCCCGCGCATCACCTGTCTGAAGTAGGGCTCTCGAGTCCAGGGAGGTGCTCAAGCTGTGGATCCTTGTTTCATCCTATGTCGTGAACTTAAGAGTGCGAGCCCTCGGGTCCAAGAGCATAGCACTCGAGGAATGGTTCTGGATCGCTTTCAAATTGGCGTGACTACATTGACGATAAGCGGCGCAACCCGTACAGGGGGATTCGTGGAGGACACCACGTTGCACGCGCAAGTTTTCACAGCGACGTCCTTGCAGTCTAGTGACCTATCGGACCTTGACGTCGTAGGAAGTGGATTCCCCCGCACCCCCATCGGAGGACTGGCCCCGACAGCCTGGTACAGGACCTTTTCCGGGATGCTTGGATGCAGCTTCATGCTGTTCCCGACATGTTAGTTATGCTGGACTGCACAGGTTGAGCCTGCCCATCTGCCGTTATCAGAACTTGTTGCCTGAGGCCAAAGCAGGCCTGGTGACCTCTCTGTGAGTGTTCTCTGATGATGTAGTAAGCGAGAGGCAACGTTCGCTTGGCTCATTGGCAGCACCTGTGCTGTGCTGCCTTTTTCGCCATTTGCAGAACCGGCTGGCAGAAGTGGGGTAGCCCCAATCGTCTGTCTACTTCCCTTGGCTGGTGTTACTGCCCCTTTTATTGCACGGCAGTTGCGCATGCACTTGTGCCTCTGCTAACTTAAGGCCCAGAACAAGAGCACATCTGACAGAAGTGTGCTTTCCCTGGGCTTTCGTTGAACGTCAGAGGCACAGATGGGCTGGGCCTTGGGCCGTTTTTGTCGGCTTTTCCCCGCACTGCGCTGCTGTTCTGTTGCTGCGGTGTGTGCCTTCCGGCATCGACTACGCCCCCGTTTGATTCAATGCCCCGAACCTGCAAAGCAGCTTCGCTTGCCCAGACACCGGCCACACCGCCGGACAGATCAAATCAGTTGCGCAAAGATGGGACACTCTGCTTTGCATCTTGCGCATCTTGCGCATCTTGCAGCTTGCAGAAGTTTATGGTCTTGCAAGGCTCGAGAACTGTGGCCATCCTGCTGGGCCCCAAGGCACGGAGGCTTGGTTTTGCCTTGTTGCGCAGACCTACAGAATCACGGATTTCTCGAGAAAAAGGGAGCCCAACAGTTGTACAGCTTATTCAGTTTACCAGATTGCGGCACCATTTGGGACATCTTGCCGTGGTTCGGTTCCACTGGCTCTGTATATGCAACACTGTTGCGTAGCAAACTGATATTGTGAGTTAGCTTCGTTGCGCCTGACAAGGCATCGCTGGTGTACTACTATGGCCTGCTGATGGGAGCCCACGTGCTGGCACTCCTTTTGGGCGTGACATTCGGGTGCACAGCTGCACAGCGTGATCCAATTGTCAAAGTTGCTAATTTCATGTCCCCAATGCGAATGTAGGCTGACATGACGCATGTGCCTTCTGACACGATCATGTTTCAGGTGCCATGGTGTGGCTGCAACCATCTTTGTGCTTCCACAGTCGCTGTGGCTCTGTGTTCGTATTCACAGACAAGAATTGCTCCGCCACTCGATTTTTGATAAGATGTTCACCTAAGTTGCTTTGCAGAGACTATTTCCTTTTGGCTGTCTCTTACCACACAACGGCGTAGAGTTTTCACTGCTACGATCTTCATGAACGCAACCATTTCAAGAACAGAGCCACTTTACACAACGATTCCACCCGCAGCACTTTCCAAACATGTATGATTGATGGGGTGGACACGATGCAACCTCTTCCGGCTTCGGCCGAGACCTTCATAGCCAACACACCATCGCTGCAGAAAAAAGTGGAGGCGTTCGTAGTTTCTCTGTACACAGCTGGCGGCTCTATCCTTCCTCTGCGTGAAGCCAGACTGCACTGCATGTACAAGGTGATCAGGATGAGGAGACGGCAAAGTCGATGATGATGTCTCTCGCATGCACCAAGTTGACAACAATGCTTTATCACTCGTCGCTACGATTTGCGAGCTTTGGAGTGTATCGTGCATGACAAGTCATTTCCTTAGAAGCCCCGTTCGCTGTAAGAAGTAACACCACGTCGTGCGAGAGTAGGATTTGACGTTGACTCGAAACGAGCTGGCAAATCTGCTTCCATGATGCTACACGGCTTTCTGAAAGGTTCAGCGTGGCCCTCGCCCTCGGGTGCCGCGGCTGTAGCTTGTGCATGTTCAGGCGATTCACAGTGACATAGGAGATCCTCTGAGAGGCTTTCTTTGTTAACAGCTGTGGGCCGTCGTTGCAGAAGTTGGGCATTGTATCGTGAGTTGTTGCACAGGGAAAGTTATTCGCAGGAGTCTGTGCCATGGGGCTTGTAGTTATGTTAACTATGCGCACAAGACAAAAACGCTGCCTAAGTTTCCTTGCGTCGAGGACGATTGTTCGTGTGCTGGCCTTCCCCGTTCAATCCATTACATTCTGACTGCTTGCCAGTCATTTGCTAAAGTGGATTGGTGTCGACGATTGCTGCAGGTCGTGTGTGTTCGGTGCAAGTCAAGTTCGAGTGTCCTTCCTCTCCTTCCCGTGTTTTATTGGCACTTTCTGGGATTTGTGTGCCTGCCCAACCGATATTGGGAAATCTACCAATCTGCTCTGCTGCCGTTCTTTGGGGCGTCCTTCCGTGCGTTCAGTGAACTGCGCGCACTTTCTCAGATCTACGTATTTATCGTGTGCCCACACCAACAAAAGCGAAAAAGCCACCCCTCCTACTGGCCACCGCTGTAGCAGTGCTGGGGATGTCGGTGCTCTTCTCGACACATTCAGAACACATTGAAAAGTCACAGCCAGCTGGCATGATCCAAGCATGTCTTAAAAGTCCTGGAAGGAATTATGGATACAAAGAGCAAGAACTCAGAAGCGCTGAATCGCCATAGCTCTATGCATATTGTCACGGTATTGTGCTCTGCATTTGCCCGCAAGTGAAGCAGACACTGAGCTGCTTTGCATGCCAAGTTATCAGCATCATCATCGATTGCCCTCTTTACAACACACATCATGAGCAACATCCCTAGATTTCGAACGGCCCTTGACCTTGCGGAACGTAATGTTGCCATGGTGTGAATCGCAGACATCACAAAACAAAGTCTAAAGGTCATAATTATCCAGATGTCTAAGGGCATCACGGCCATGCCGAAGCAAGTGCATCCGTTTTGGTGAGGTTGTAATTTAGTAGCTGATTGGATGGGTGCAATCAGCGCAGCAATCCACCGTCAGTAGAGGTTAAATAAGTTCCAGAAAATCTTTCGTGCAGAACGCACAAGTTGGTTTTCAGCTTTCGTTCTGGTCTTTGTTGAAGCTTTGTGCAGCTTTGGATAGTGACAAGATATGCATTTGCATGTTGTCGTTTCCTGGCTTGCAGGAGTTGCAACATTGAAGAGAGACAGACTTCGAAGAGTATAGGCCAGACGGCGACGTCGGAAATACATTGGGCACGCGAAATACGAAAAGTGCCCGTTCTCGATCCAATACACCCGGGAAGCCTATGACGCTCGGTGTTTAGTTCGTCCGATCACCAGATCATCCATGCCAGGTGTCTTGGTAACATCCGGTTCCCAGCCCATCTCATGCCCAGATCATCCATGCTGACCTTAGCGAGATTCGGTTGCTCTTGCATACGATCTTCAACCCTGAATAAGATCTGGTTTCCAGCTGGTGCATCCGATCACGGGATTCTTCCATGCTAGCTGGCTGCCTCAATAAAACCTCGTTGCTAGCGCATTCTGTCTCGAGATCGTTAACTCTGACAAACTACATCATGTAATCCTGCATCTCGGCAAATCGACATTGGTACAAATCGGATTTGGCCGTGAAATCTGGCACAATCGCAGATTTCAACGTGTTCCGCAATCGGCGCAATTTCGGCACATGGCTAGCTGTCCTGTGCCCGTCGACTGCCGTTACAGCCCGGTGAAGCACTGCACCGCTGCTGAAGCTTCCGCCCCCTCGGGTTTTGCGGTGGTCTGTTCTTCCGCCGCAGGTACCAGTCCCAGGCGACTAATTTTTTCCCGATGTCACCTTTATCCATAGCTTCATTTTCTGCACGCTTTCCCGTTGCGGACACCCAGCTAAAGCACTCAGTACAGTATTGAGGCCTTTGGGCCTGGCGACATTTTGACGGGGTCTTCAAGGCTGCGGGGCTTTTCGGTTCGGTTGTAGGCTGAGTTTTTGAAGCACGTTGGGCAAAAAGCCAGCATCGGGCGGGAAATGCAATACGGTGAAGGAATGAATGAAGGTCTCGGGGTTCTCATGTCCACGTCCGTGGAGAACAATGCAACATACATCATGGCCGGACCCAGCTACTGTGAGAGCTATGTTGCAGCTTTTCCGAGTGTGGTCTATTTCACTCTCAATTCGTAGTATCTGGGCATGGAGCTGGTGATGCATCTCCGGAATGGGCTTGATGTCGCCGAGGATCTTAACCATGCCCGGCAACTTGTCTGTCCTGCCCATGATGGTATGCGCGCTAGTCACCATCGTCCTGAAGGCAGCCAGCCGGAAGGGATTTTCAGCAGAGGTTGCAGCTGTTCAACTGTGTTTGTTCTCTCGCAAATGCCTCTAGCAGTCAGTCAGTCAGTCAGTGTGTGTGCGTGTGCGTCAGTGTATGAGTTCACGTGCGTGCGCAAGGGCACGGCATGGGTTGCGGCAGGTCTTCGCGGACTGATGTCATCTGGCGGTGTCTCTCACCCTGCTTTCGTTTCAAAAAGGAGACACGCAGCTGGACGCCAGCTGGGCTCGTGAATGACACATGTGCACATTATCTGTTGCGTGACATGGTGTGTGACATTGTTCTTGTTTGTTTGCGGCGATTGTGCCTCTCAAGCTCTTTGGCACGGGAGTCGGGAATGTTTAGCAAGTTTAGCATGTGAGCTATGTCAGTGGGTCACTCAGTACTTCGCAATGACGGTATCAGCTTCACTTGCGCTCCTCTCTCTCTCTGCCTCTCTCTCTCTCTCTCGCTCTCTCTCTCTCTCTCTCTCTCTCTCTCGCTCTTGCTTGTGCTAGAGTTTTCCAGTGGGGAGCGGCGTCAGCACTACTTTCCAGGCAGTGAGAAACGGACTATGAAATCTGATGACAAGCAAGGCCTGTTTGTAGCGAAAAGACTGCGACTCAAAGATCTTTGCTGGCCCGAGTGGGTCATATCAGCTTGTGTGTAACGAACGGGAAGTGTGAAACTGCTTGCGTTGAGGGTCTCACCTTGAGCTTTCCTCAAAAGCTGCCTGTGCCTTTCGGCTACAATGCTACAAGTTATTCCTGTTCCCTATGCGGTTGACTGGTTGACTTTCATGGTGTTCAAACGATGTGATGTGCGGCTTCTCCCTCGTCTTCAGACTCCTTGCCAACGCTTTCTAGTTTGAAAAAATGCGAAGTTCATCCCAGCCTGTGGCAGGCACGCCTCTGATTGAGCTCGGCACACTTCCCCTCCACGCACTGTCCCTGATAATTTTGCCTCAAAGTCTCAAGGATGCCATGTCCCAGCAAGATTCAGACGCCCGTGAAGATGCGATGGCAAGAGCTCCATTTCTGGAAGATCAAGATACGACGACGAAGGGACCTCGATGGACCTCGCAAGCTTCCCTTGTGGCACGAAACAAGGCTCAAGCACCGTGACCATGCATGTGAGGGCCAGGACCCTCACTGTCTTTCCAGCTCCACGGCTATGTTGATAGCGAGAATGGCAGGCCAGGTCAGGCCAAGAAGCCAGTCTCCGAAAGAACCTGAACAACATAGGACACATGAACGCACCTCCACAGTGACCCTGGAGCGTCTAGGTCAGGTTGTGCAAGGCACTCTTTCGAACTTGGTAGTCTGTTGCTGTAAAACGCGTTAGTTGACCCGAGTGTTTCGAATCAGATGCTTCTACAGAGTCCGGCTTAACATTAGCTTATGGAGTGCTATGAGAGATAATGGTCAGTTTCGGCCGAAAAACTAGTGGCTTGTCTTGTTGTTCGTCGGAGAAGACGTTTCAATTAAATTGATTTTTCTTTGCGAAACATGCAAATTCCCCCTGTTGTGTGTGGAAATATTAGTTCAATTCTTCGAACTTAGGAGAAGCTTTTTGCAATCTGTGATGCTATGGATGAGCCAGTGCCTGTCGTCTTTGTATTAAAGATTTGAGAATGTGATACTTCCCTCTTGTATTATTAACTTTCGTGTCATGTGAGCCGAAGCTAAAGTAGCAGATAAAGCAGCAATGAGATCCGACACTCTAGCGCAGGAGGTCGAATCGACAATTTTGTCTTTCTTGCCATGTGTGTCGGCAGAGTGCTACGATGGCCAGAAACTGCGGGAGAAACATTTTCATGTGGGGACAACTGCGACGGGCTGCGACAGGTGCGTAGCAGAGTCCTAGGTCAGTTGCCGCAACATGGAGCACAACAAATCAAAGTCAGTTTTTATGGGCCAATCCTTGTTTTCGGGTTCCGAGGGATGACGCTTGAAGATATTCTGTTTGTTCTGGGTACATGTTGGTAGGGGAGGCTGTGGTCATCCATCTCCCTTTTAAATTCTCGGCTCTTTCCAATACGGACCTCGGGCAGAGGTCGCGTACAAGACGATTGTATAATCGAAGCACCAGGGGTGTTGGCGAACAAGGGGTTGCTTTGCGAAAGAGCTTCAAGGCGATTCCTGCAACGGCCGCGGCCACGGCCCCGACGTTTCGGATGCGACATGATGCGACCAAACTCGGGTTGCTGCGAACTGCGGAGGCCCACGGCCAGCTCTGGCCGAAGGCCTTTGCCACCGGGGCACCTGCAGTGTACTTGGAGTCATCTCATTTCTTTCGATACGCAGCTTGTCTCTGTAGGCGCTTCACTTAGGCCTGGCCATCTATGCATGGATGTGGTCTTCAGGCAACTGACCTGGGGATCGCAGCAACTTAGGTCTTGTACTTTTCACGGCTTACGGCCTGTGTTTGTTTTGCACAGGTGTCGCCATCGTCACCTCGTCTTGTGTTCGCAACCTGGTAAGTTTCCGCATGGCCCATCTTGAAATTCGCAGTGCTCCCGCTTGCTGAGGCAGAGGCAGACCCACGCCGGCCAGGCATTCACGACTAAGTTTTTTTGCCGTGCATAAGGCCACGAGACATATGAGTATTGATGCGTGCCTGAATGTAGACTACCCATGCTGGAGGCAGCTGTTTGTATGGTACCTCCTGCATGGGCCTCGGTTACTTGCAACGATGGTGCTGAATTGCTATATATGCTCTCGGGTCCCGGGCCCCTACCCCCCCCTCACCACCGGCCCGATCTCCTGGCTCCCGACAGTCTTGGTGTCACCGCGAATCGGAACAAACCCGTGCAAACTACAAGGACAGGACGACGGAAGCGACCATAGAGAGAAGAGCCACCTCAGAGCAGGGACTGGTGCACCGTCTGCAAGAAAAAAGCTAACATCACATCCTCCAGTATCGTAGCGGTCTCCATAAGGATGACATCACTACTAGTAAACGGCTGCAACCATACCTCTGTAGAACACACTTATCCCAACCCTAATCTGCTAATTGCTCAGCAGCAACGCACAGCATGGGAGGATGGGGAAAACCAGAGATCGACAATTTAAGCAAGACTGCAGGCACCACGCCACAGACGGGGCGGGGCCAACCAAGAAGACCCACAGGCCCAGAGGGGGGGAGGGGGAGGGGACAAGGCCAAAACAAGACCAGGAACTCTTGACAGGCAAGGTGACACCATGGGGCAGGGGGGTGGGGCGGTTGGGGGGCTGCTAGCCGATTGATATCCCTTATCCCCCCGGGTTCCCACCTTGCCCCTCACCGGAAGATGGTGATCATGATCCCCGGAGTTTTGAATGAAAGTCATTAAAGCACATGCTCGGGCTGACTTATGGTGCACCCAATCGAAGAATGACAACGGTCGATGCAAACTACGAAAGAACATCAAGCCAAACAAGCTTTTGAAATATGCAAAGACCAGAACGGCAGAAGAGCAGTGGTACTACCGACAGTCACGCTCGGAATGCCAGCATGCAAGAATTACATCGGGGTCATTGTCCTCAGCATCATCGACATCATTCTAATCTGTGTCGGGAGGAGGGGGCGTGCGCAATTTTGGGCGTGAGTTCCAAAAGAAACGTCGGCAGTTACGAGGATGGTGAAGGCCTGGCTTGGCAGCTCTTCATTTTTGGAAGGGGGGGGGGCATACCGTCCGTGGGGGCGGGGTTGGGGGTTCCACTGACGCGGCGACGCGGGACCATGTATGTGTGTGTGTGTGTGTGTGTGTGTGTGAGATATGGGTGGTTGTCAAAATTAGGGTACCTTTTTGGGTACCCTAAATAATAGGTGCCGTGTTATGATAGGGACCCAAAAGGGACCCTAATATTGACAACCACCCATATGCATAATCTGTGAGTCGGTTCAGTCGCAGCCTGTGCGATTACGTTTGTTGTCTTTGTGCGTCCTTGGTATTGGGTTTCTGCAGACTGATTAGTTCGTCAGTTTCTGCTGACTTGTAATTTGGTAGTTACTCGTAATGGTCGTAATGGTTGCGTTCGTTCGTGAGTTGTGCATGTGCACGTGCTTGAGTCTAAGGCCGTGGTTCACATGCCGCAGGCGGTGCGCGGTGCACGCCGGGAAGGAGGACAGAATTTTTGGCTGCCTTTGCATTTGGCATCTGGACCATCGTTCATGCAAGTTCGGGGAGTTTCCGGAGAGTAGAAAGCTCCTGGCTTCCGGCTAGCCCAACCCTTATCTACTGACATAGTGTCATCGAAGACGTTCAAAACGTCTTGCAAGCCTTACTACTTCTACAAGTAGGCTGCTGACAGCCGTAAATCTCCGTGCATGTGAGTCTGGCCAGGTTTGGTGCTTGGATGATTTCGGTTTGGAATGCGATTGATTGTTGCACAGGACTGGGGCCCATGCTCACCGCTGTCCCTTCGAGCCCGTTGATGAAAGGGCAGAGGAAGGGACTTGTCTTTGCTTACGCAAACGGCAATGCAATGAGCGAGGATGGTGGCTGCGACTGGGACTGGGTCCGTATCGGTTGGATGCTCAGAGCTGTGTAGGCGCAGTCCAGTGCAGGCTCTTGTGCCTGATGGCCTGAAGATGCCTGATGTTTCATGTCGCTCCCAGGCCCCGGCGGCGTCGAGTCCTTGGGCCTTGGCTTTGACGTATCTTGGTTTGTTCCTGCCACCGCTCAGGGCCGCCAGCTGGACTCCAGCGGCTTCAGCCGCGAAGGCGCTGCGCAGCACACTTCACCGCTTCGCCGGATGGTGGCCCTACAGCAGAGGTGGCGGCATACCCGGCCCAGCCGGCACAGCCGGCACAGCAGGTTCTCCCTGCTGCCCAGGGGCATCCCGAGCATGTTTTGTTTGAAGTTGTTCGCTTGGTTTCACTCTAACTGTAGCCCAACCGCCAATCAATCGATGGTGCGACCAAGCGAAGCATCCATGAGGAACTTCGACATCCATGCTTGCTGCATCTCGCAGCTCGTACGGTACTCTGTGTCGATGCGTGCTAGGGCGACGAATTCGTTCTGCCCACCAATGCCGGACGTTGGACTCTTGAGAGCAGGGGAAGTGCAGCAATGCCTCGCGCATGGACTGCAATCGGCGCGCCGAGGCCCCGCAGCTGACTGCGAGAGGCGTCAGCCAGCGCCTTCAGCCTGTGGGAGTCCAGGTCTGGTATCCTAGGTAAGGAACACATCCCGATCGGTACTGGAATCTCAGCCATGTAGCTTTGTGTCAAGCAGCGCGTTACACGATGCGTTCAGTTTCCGCTTGCCTCTGATGCAAGCACTGAGGCGTGACCCTGCCGATGAAGCCTTCATCAGACACTTCCGGCGCTGGTCTTGGTACTTGGCAGACTGCTGCTGAAGACAGCAACAGCTTTCATGCCGAGGTTTCACTCACGCTGGTGCCAGCTTATCGACTGAGGCTTGATAGCTGAGTCGACATTTTGGTGTAGCCTGCCCTGTTCTATTTTTTGCCAGACACCGCTCATAGTGAAGCAGTGTGCGAGATTTGGGTGCGAGACTTGCTTGCCTGGGAGGCGACAGGGCGGACATGCGAGGCCCGAGCCCCATTGTTCACCACTCAATAAATTTGTCGGTACACAGGAGCATTCTGCAGCATCTGGCTGTACACAGCGCCTTGCCTAAAGCAGGTTTGGGGGCACTGGGTGGGGCTTCTCTTGCGCAGTGCAACTGAGGCTTGCCACTACCAGCGATGGCAGTGTTGCTGCAAGTGCTGGTGATGCGACGGCACAGCCCCTACTACCATCTGATGTCGCCTCTCCTGGGTCGCTGTTCGGCCGTGACCCACGTCTGTTTGCGAGCGTGCGGGTTCATGCCTGTTCTCTGCTTTGCTCTTGGAACGTCTAACTTAAGCATTGTAGAGTTTCTGAGTTGACATGTTTGTTACTTTTTTTATGCGTCTCTGGCCGTGTGTGTCCCTGTGTCTCGGCCTCTGTTTCTGATTCCTCTGTCTGTGAACTGGAATCTTTAACTTGAAGCGTCTGTCATTGTCGGCCGCTGTTGTGACAAGCAGCCTCATGGAGCCAGCAGACCACTACAAGGCCACCAGGAGGCCACCAGCGGAGTGGAAACCACCGGTGGATTACTGCCAAACCGAACAATCAAGACCACAGCCAACATGCTTCCCACCCAGACTAGTAGGATAAAATGCTTTCCCAAGTGGTGGACCATGGCCAGAACGCTTTCCCTCGAGTACTGGCGGGACTGAAGGGATTCGGGAGTGTTGCCGCATGGCTTTCCCAAGTGCTTGGCGCGATTCATGAGGACGAGCAGCATGTTTTCCTGCAAAGGCTGGCACGATTTACGGGCACAGCATGTACAGTATGCTTGCTCCATAAACTGGCGGATTCAGGACACCAAACTGTTTTACCCCAAGCACCGTCGCGAAGCAGAGTTCTCGATGCCGAAAAATGCCGCATGTTCTCCCAACAAAAGGTTTCCAACAGATCCTGTGTGAAGAGTGGGGCGCGAGCGCAAGGCATGCACATCTCGATAGCTGGAGCTGCGTACCGGGGAAAGTTTTGTGCGGCGATCACGGATATATTCTCTTTGCAACTGGCTTGGAGCTATTCCCCAATGTTTTTGTTGCAGCTGTAGAGCAGTCCTGCCAAAGACCCCACCACATATTCTGACATTGTATGAGGACTTTCTTGGAGAGTGACTGAGAAGTTCTTCATACGAACAAAGCTGTCTCGAAAAGGTTGTGGTTTAGCATCCATGTTTTCGCTTCGGAAGGATGTTGGTCCAAAAAACCGGCACTGAAGCATCCCACTCTGGCTCTGCGCTTGACGCTGTCACTACCGGGGTCAATCCCTGAGACAACGCTCTTCCTGACTCTATGTCCATTGGGCAGTGGGTTCGCCGATTATCATTCCAAATTCCAATTAGTAAGACGTCGTGTGCTAGCTAATGACGCATGAGGATGTTCAGGTCACCTTGATCATGGAGTGTTTTGGGCTAAGACCACCAGTAGGAAGCACATCGCGCATGAAGAGAGGGGTGACATGATTCAACAGGAGCTGGAAGTTTTGCCCGGATCCAAGGTTGGGGCATTGCGCTCCGAGATCGAAGGCGCGGGGCTTTTCCCCTCTTGCGCTTTGGATGTGCTCTTCGGATCTGGAGGTCTGCGAGCAGAGTTAGATGTTTTGCGAGCACTTCTTGACGAAGGCCAGGGACTGGGCAGAGCGGCAGAGCTGCGACCGCTCTCTACTGGGGCTTTGGGAGCTGCCATGCAGCCATGCAGAAAGTGTACCTGTGTGCCTGTGCCAGCCGACACCATCGCAAAAGTCCGGAACATTAGCTTGCTTTCACAGCACAGAAGCTCGTTAACTCTCTGCAGACGCTAGACGCTGTCATGCTTGTTTCTGTGTCGAGTCGTGGATGACTTGGTAATGAAAAAGCAAAACGAGACACTGAGAAATTCGAGCCTCACGCTGTTGATCCATAGCAACATGCCTGCACATGCCTGCACAATTGCCAATTCAGCAACAGCATGTTTCCCATCCATGATGGCCCGCATTGTGCGACGCAGCCTGCGGCTGCCTGGCCTGCCACTTTTCAGCTTGGGCCAGCCATGGCATTCCGTCATGCCCTGTCCTGAACCAGCGCAGCGCAGCAGCCGTTTGAAGCACAGCGCACAAGTGCCAACACCGGAGGAACAGCGAAGGCAAGCTCGCCCTCAGCTTGTACCAGGCGCAGTATGTAGCCAGAGGCTCAGCATTGCGGACTTAAGGCAGGTCTCCTGCCATCCTTGATATGGAAAGTCCTCGCTTGTGGTTTCGGGGGTTGCAGACCAGGGCGACCAGGGATCCGAAGCCTGGGCCGAGTATGGGATTTCGGTGTGTTGACAGACTTCTGCACGGTATTGCAGTCGAAAGGGCTTGGGCGCAGGAATTCTGCACTCTTGCGGTACAGAAAACCGAATATGATGGGAGTTGACTCTAGGACGTGGCTCGGAAGATCCTCGCCAGTTCGAACAAGCAGTTCGGCTACGCTGAGCACCTGACCCCAGCTGTTGTGCTGCTTGTGGGATATGCAACGCGCACGCAGTGACAGGTCTTACCCACCCCGGGAAGGGACGGCGGGAGTCCTTGCACTTGTTGAGGACTCTCGTACAAGAGTTTCAGAGCTCTATGGAGCCTACCTTCAGCCTCGGGCTCCGGAGTGTCGGAAGGATTTCCGTTGGATTGGACAGCACTCAGAACACCATGTGCCGGGATATGGACCTGGCTCTCAGGCTCCGGTGCTCTTGAACTTGTGCTCTGCCAGTTCGCTTATCGCCGAGCTGCACACCAGGTCCAGCTGCTGTCTAGCAATAGAGGCCGATTCCGCATCCTCAAGAGCAGCAGCAAGTCTCAGATGTTTTTGATCTGAGCCTCTTCAGCTCCGGAAAACAGAGCGTGAGCCTTTCCGAGGCAAAGAGACCGAGGACGGCGTGGAGCTCTATCGCGCGCATGTGCAAATCTTCGCGGAGCGCGACCTGGCGAGGAGGGCCGAGGGGCAGAGGGGCCCAGCGCCGCTTCTCTTCTCTTTCAGTCTTTTCTCCATGACAGGGGAGCTGACGAGGGAGCCGCCCGGCGCTTCTTCGGATGCGGAATGGGTTGGTTTGGTATCAAATGTGCCTTTCACGGAGTGAGGCCATGGCTTACTGGAGTGACAAGACGGCAGGCCATTGCGGTACGTGTACCAGGGCCAGCTAATGGTTGAAAGAGAGTCATGGCAGGTCCAGAAGACGGATCGCGAGCTACTTCCGTCATCACCTCGTGCAGCAAGCTTGTAGCAGCAGTGGCAGCAGCAGCAGGAGTTGTGGTAACAGCGGTAGTTGGCAATCCAGTCACCACGGACGTGCCAGCGCCCCCAAAATCAGTGACAACCCTTGCCATCATCAATGTGCAGAAAGAAGCAAAATCTCTCAGAGGGATCAGTCGATCAGAGGCGCAGCGCCACATGGCATGTGCTCCAAGGTGAAGCCTGGCAGCCACCTGGTGGCGTACGTGAACGCCCCTGTTTTCGAATCTCCTGAGTCTTGGAGATGCGTTGGAGAGGCGCCGCTACACATCTGCCACATTTCCTCTGCACTACAAGAGCTGTAACGTGAGGTGCCAGCAGGGGTCCGGGTCATTGCGATGGGTAGCCCACGTGTGGTGGAAGGCAGGTAAGCCTCATTGAGTAGCATGTACTGCGCTTGAGTCCGCTGCTTAGGGCTTTTTGCCGAGGCTATCTGATGGTACCCATCGTCCCTTCCGGTGCAGTGCGGCTGACGTTGTTCCGAGAGCCGACGCAGGAGGTGCCCGAGGTGCTCACGGAACGGGGGCAGCCGATGAAAGAATAACGGTTGCCCGTTTCACGAGACTTGGCAGGTGCAGCTGCCAGACGGAGAGATGCTGAAGGCAAGATCTGCTCACTCGGTTTGCTCTGTGAGACGTCACCCCTGTAGGCTGCGATCGCTGGCATCAGGCCGCTGAGTTGTGGTGCTTGTCTCTGATGTTTGCAACGGATGTCGTTTTTTGGAACGATCGGATCGGGTGTGATCTTCTGACGGCGTTGTCTCACAACGTTGGGATCCTTTGCAGCAAGGGCAGAGGGCAGAGGCGGTGGGGCAGGGCGAAACAGGTAGGGCAGGGCAGGGCAAAGCAAAGCAAAGCAAGGAGAGACAGGGAAAAACAAATCGCAAGCTTCGGGAGAACATCTAGCATCACTCCCCTTCAAAGCCCTATAGCAATGGGGCGGCGCATGTGGCAAGGGGGCCAAAAAAAACGAATCTTCAGGGGGGAGGTCACTTTGTAGTTTCCCAGAGATGTCAAGACGCGTCGGAGTGCAAGCCCGGAAGGGTGGGCTCCCGCACAGGGAGTTGGCTCGGCTGTGACGGGGCAGTGGGGTGGGGAGGGGACGTGGTGCAGGGGGGAGACTTCGACGTGGAGGAGAAGACAAGAGAAGCTTGCAACGGAAAGAGAAAGCAGCCACAGTGCAGCCCTGCATCGTACGGACACGTCACTGGGGTTTCGAAGCTTGTGTTTGGGAGGACTGTCCCACTTGATTGAAAACTATTGATTTATAGTTGCAGGCCTTCTCGACCGGCTGCGCGTCGACTGAACCGGCGCACAAAATCGAAGGCCAAGCCTGGGAGCAGCTGATACCGGCTTTTGAGCCGGCATGACAGGTGCATTGACCTTGCCGGCCTTCACGTGCGTTTGTGTTCGTCGGAGAAAAGATGCGGATTTTGCCTGGTTTCGTGGTTGGTCTCGTGAGATGCAGTAGCTGCTCAGTAGCTTCATGCAGTCAGAGTTCTGGAGCGCAGACCCTTGCAAGGCCTGCAGCAGAGACAGGATGCTGAGCGCTCCCAAAATGCATTGATCTCCAGAGTGGAGCGTGCCCGGCATGGGTTGGACGATGTTGGACGTAATCTCCACATGGAATCAGGGAATTAAAGGTGACGCCACTATGCATCGTCGTAATGCTGCCTGGCTCAAGAACGTCGTGTTGGACTTCGACCAGCTATCGAGATAAGCGCTCGGAGCGATGGAAGTTCGTGTAACTGACAGAGAGGGGGCTGAAGCTTTCGGTGCTCTCGGGCCGATGAAATCTGCAGTCAGCATTGCTTGAACGAAGCTTCGCTCAGACTCGGAACGAGGATGTTGCCATGCCAGTAAGTAAGCCACGGGCCAAGCCTTGGTCAACTGATGTGTTCATGCCCAGGCAGCTGTCCAGCGGCAAGCTGCACGCAGAGCAACAGATGAGAGAGGCCGTCGTCCGATAATTTGCAGTTCTCAGTTCTCGCTTAATCTACGAGACGACAGGCACAGACAGAGACGCATTGGTGCTGCTCTTAACATGTGTCGTCTTGAGGCTTATGCATGCTTAGTGTTGGGATGTGTTGGGTGTGATCGGTGCTCTCCATCGAGGCTCCGCGGTGAACTTGCGCGATGTCACCGGCATGCTCGCAGCGAGGACTCCTGCTTTGAAATGGGGAGGGCAATCAATGGCTGGGTGCGGGCTTCCTCATATCCCTGAGCTGCAGCAGTTGGGTGCACAAACATCTGCGGGAATCTGCGGAGTTGCAGGGATGCTTCCCTCAGAGCCTTTGCCACGCCCTGAAAACGAGATTGCGCCCCCCGAACGCCCCATCAAAGGCGATGTTCTTCGGGGTTTTGCAGAGCCCCAAACCGAGGCTCCGCAGAGGCCCCTCCATCCTCAGAAGTTGGTGGTTTAGGGTTTAACACTCGTTATTCTTGTGTGTAAACGGTTTTGGGACTTAGGGTTTGTTTGTTTTTTAAATGGGGTCAGTGGGGCTAGTGGTTTTGGTTTGTAGGGTTTTGGTGTCTGAGTTCAACCTCCGTTCCAAATGTTTGAACTCAGGGTTCAACTCGAGTTCCAATGTTATGTTCCCAGCCCCCCCCTTTTCCCGGACCCCCCCCAGGTGTTCGAACCCAGGGTTCGGACACCCTGCAAAAACCTATGCTCATTATGCTCGGAGTTGGAGTTACCTCAACCTGAACTTCCGAATCCGAGGTTGGGGTTGGGGTTCACCTCAACCTGAAAAGTTCAAAAACTCCCTCCAACTCTAACCTCAGGTTGAGGTTCGATCCGAACCCTAACCTGGAGCTGGGAGTTCAACCAGTTGTAACTTTCAGCTCGGAAGGTTGTAACAACGTTTAACTCACTTTTGACCTGCCTCCCCGTGCAGTATGTCAAAATTCTTCTTCTCTCGTTGTGTTTGCGAACCCCATCAAGCGATTTCGTTCTTTTGTGTTCGTGATTGTCCGATTTTCAAGGATTGTGGGGTTTAGGGTCTAACGCTCGTTTAGTTTTCTGAAGGATTTTGGGTTTAGGGTTGGCGGTGTTCTCTATCATGTTTCTGGAGCTTCTACTATGAGCATGACGTCCTGGGCAGTAATGTAGAGGCAGGCCTGCGCGAGGGCTGCAATGGAGCTTCAGCGGAGCTGTAATGGAGATGTAGAATGTAGAAGAGAGCTGTAACATTTCGTGTACCTCAGCTATACCGGGAGCCGTAATGTTGCATGTGTTTAGGGGGGGGGGGGGGGGTGTCACCGAAAATGTTTCACGCCTTGAATAGCATGACCTCGATGTGCTCCCCAAGCGCTTCCGTACCCATTGCGTACACTATTGCAGTATATGCGAGTACAGTACTTAGCAATTACAATGGTGCAGTAGTGCAACATTAAACGATATTAACGGGAACGGAGATGTATCAGAAATTTGCTAGAGCTGTGCCGGAGTTGCAGCAGCGGAGCTATAACCCGAAGCCCCCACAGATGTGTTGCAACATACTTGGAGGTGTAGCACAGCATGGCCCCGCCAGACTGACACGACTCCTACAATCTGTGACACAAGGGCCATAATAAACTTAAATGACGGTATAAAGTTTAGGGTCAGTTTTTGGTTTCCAAGGGTTTTGGGGTTTAGGGTTTAGGACAAGCTGAAAGGTGTTAAGCCCTAAAGCCTGAAGTAGAGAAGGTGTGCACAGGTCTGAGTGCACCTCTCAATGGCAAAGGCTGTGAGAGAAGAATCCCTGCAACTCTGTCGGTGTTTGTGCACACGTCTTCTTCTGGGGTATGAAGCCCGACCTGCCAAACCTAAAGCTGTATATATATATATATGCATGTATGTCTATAAGCTATATATATATATATACACACACATATATATGTTAGATGTAGATGTCGATGTCGATGTAGATGGATATGGATATGAATATGTATCTGTCTATGTATATGTATATGTATACATATATTTATATTACATTTGAATAGATACACACACGCACTTTTTATCACGCATTTCTACAGAGCACCTGGCCTGCAGATGCACCCTTCAAAAACAGAAGAAATGACTAGCTGTGCCTTGAGCGGGTTCCCTGCAAGGATTCCCGACATGAGCCTAGTTTTGTTGTAGTTTTTGCCAGTGAAACAGCAGGATGACTTGACAGAGACAATTCTGAATGCAAGGTTATCCGGAGAGCAAAGCCAGCTCGAAACGGGTGTCGGCCTCTCTGAAAAACACGTTGTTTGTTATTCAACAGCCAATCACTGCTTGTCGGTACAATTTTTGGACATCTGGGCGGAGCGACGGCAAGGGAAGTCCGGGTTGGGCAAGCGTCTGTCATGTGGCAGAAACACGTTCATCAGAGTCAACAAAGCGTGCAAGTGGTACAACAGATGCAACATATCTGTTGCGCTGACCAATCCTGGAAAACGCTCAGCACGAATGAGAATACTCCAGTGAAGCATGATAAATCAAAGCTTATGCATGCCCAGTAGACTTCCTGCCGAGAGCGGTAAAGCTCATGGCAAGGCTCCGTTACAGGATTGTTGACTTGTTAAAGCTCGATTAAGAAAGTCACGTTGAAGGAAGATGCTCGGCCTTATACAGGGAAGTCACGGGAGTGTAGAAGAAGGAATTTTTCGATCAATCGCAAGAAGCACGAAAGCGGATGCAGTTTAGCCTGATCCCCAGGGGAACTGCAACACAAATTAAGTTATAACCAAAGTATGACGTGCATAGGGTATGACGGCCTCATGCACAGTGAGTGTGCCAGGCGCAATCACTGGGACCGCTTGATGAAGGCTGTATTCACTGTTGCTCTGTTCTCACGATACTGTCAGCTCTTGAGCCGCGATCTGTGACTTGAGGTCATCATCTTGACAACGGTACACCTGATGTGGCGCCAATGGCCAAGTCCATTCACTGTTTGAATCTGTCTGCCTTTGTGCTGCAAACAGATTTGTTCAGTTAGCGACGTCAAGAAGAAGCACGGCAAGAGCAGCAAGCAAATAGCAAAAGCAAGCCGAACATGCAAGCACACAAACACGCTTGCCCATCCGCCACCAGCACTCCCTCACACTAGCACACCCAATGTGGTCATGCATTTGCACGCCAACGCGCACGCACAGGCACGCACACGCGCTTGCATGTTCCCGCACGCGTGCATGGATGCGATTGGATGCGCGCCCGCACAGTGGCGCGTGCGTGCGCACAAGGGCATGCATCTGCTCGTGCATGCAGACATACATACATAGAGACATACGTTAGTAGAGGCATGCAGACGTACAGACACACAGACACACAGACACACAGACGTACAGGCACACAAGCATACAGACATACAGACATACAGACATACAAACATACAGACATACAGACATACAGACACACTTGCGGACATAAATACATACATACATACTAACACCATACAGAAAAAACAGTGTGTGTGTATATATATATATATATATATATATTTATACACGTGTACATACGTACATAGAACACCAGTACACGCTCACCACACATGTTTACACATGTATACATGCATACCTTCCTCCCCAAAACGGCAGATGCCAACGCGACGGTTGCAAATGGCAGTGAGACATTGGCACAAACACGAAGACACAAACAGATACACAGACAGAGCAGAAAGAAACCGGCGAGAAGGAGACACCCAGGCAGAGATGTGCCGCACATGCAGTGCACGGCCATGTCTGCCAACAGGCAGCCAACACTGCGCCACGCCTCATGGTCACCTCCAAAGTCGAGACCTGGATGCATTGAGTACACTTGCAGCACAGGAGGTCTGTTCCGACACGCCTCCAGTTCGTGCAGGCAATCAGCATCGTCACCGCCGAGTCCCGCACGACATCGTCTCAAGCCTAATTCGGAGGGTGATGTCCGGACGGATTCAAAATGGTTTGAGAAATAGGACAGCCCCCCCGTGGGTGGAAAAGTATCTGTCTGGTTGTGCATCGCGTAACCACTGCGTGACGGGAATTTCTGATTCATCGAGGTGCCCGAGCGAGTCCAGCTCACAGCTGCGGCCACAGACTCTCAGAGCAGTGTACTGCGTCGGTTCGTTCTGTCAGGCAGTGTTGCAATTGTTTGATTCGTTCAGCAATTCGGCTTTCTGAGACAAGGTGGGGACGTGCATTGTTCTCTCCCAAGCGGCTCCAGCATGTCGCGTCTGATCCTTGTTCACGCGCACAGATGGGAGCCCTACAGCGATTTGAGCAGGCGCCGGAAATCCGCATCTTGACATCCAAGGCAGCTCGAGTTACAAGGGCTCCTCGTTCGGACCCCGGCAGGAGTTTTACGCAGAATCGTGGATCCTGCTTGTGCCGTGCTCGAGGTATGAACCAGCGCCGCACACAGACGAGGTGGACGAGATGTGGCGCACTGTGTTTCTTGCCCAGGAATCTGTGACGCTTGTGCATGCAATGTGACGCATATAATTAATGTGAAGGAGGAGATTGTGCAGTGAATCGACCGGTGTGCCTTAGACATTCCTACCAAGGCTGCAGCGCTTCCCCCAACATCCCCAGTGGTGTCTTGTCAAGGACAATGTTTGCACAGCCCTTTTCCAGTTTGCGCCCTGCTGACGGTGCAATTTAGTAGGAAAAGCGTTGCGTCTATCGCATGGGCAGTGTTTGTCTCAGATTCAGCCACAGCTTTTCTGCTCCTCCTCCTCCTTCTCCTCCTCCTCGATCATGGAAAGGTCAAACGGGCAAGAAGATCGTTTGCCGGGTCACACATGGTGGGCTGCAGGCCAGAACATGATGGGCGTCCAGGAACTGTTCTCTGATCAAGTCTCGGCTGCCCTGTGAATCATTTCAGATCCGATGCATGAGCTTCCCGCCAATGCAGTTGAGGGCTGCTCCTGCACAGGATTCAACATACTTGTAGCACTTGTGCAGCCAACTGAAGACGACCAGCGGAATCTCGGAATAGTTTGCACTTGTCTAATCCGAACTAGCTTTGCGCGCTGCTGTCTGCTTGTCCACCTTGAGAAGGGGTGCTCATCCCTTAACTTCGCATGCGACTCAGCAGGTACGCGTTGGTGGTGGCTGGATGGCTGCATTTCCTTTCCTGGAGAGGCTCTGGCTTGGCTCCTATCCGCTCTGAAGCTTTCTTTCGGGCAAACACAGGTACGGCCCTTTGAACATGGGACAGAAGGGTGAAGACATGCAGTACAACTGTGCAGGGCTCAGTCCCACCGCATGCGGCAACGGCGCTAGGCAGACCGGCAGACCCTTCTGCACGACAGGCACGAGCGTGGATCTGCCCGCATCCATGGAACGACTTCTGGCCTTGAGCTCAAGCTTTGCAGTGACCCGGGCTAATGCGGATGCCGGCTCTCAGAGGTCCCAACGAAGAGCTGGGCACAGAGGATTGGCATCAGCAAGACGCTGGACTCCGAGTATTTCCGAGCGCGCTCAGATGCTTCCGCTCCATGCATCTCGAAGCTTCGTGCAAGGCCAGATCTCAGGGAGCAGCGCAGATTGCAGGCAGATCAGGGGTCTCTATTCTGACATATTCTGTCTGATTGCCGTTCGATGTCTCGGAAGCTCCTCGTGCAGGTAGATGCTGAGGAGGGCTCACTTCGTTGCGAAGCTGTGCAGCATTTACCTTTTGCGGGTTGCTGATTCGACAGACCGCAGGAAGATGCTTCAGAGGCCTCGCAATGTCTCCCTTCTGCCGTCTTCCGTGCGTTGGCTTCGATTCTCCATAGGCTACCGGGAGACCCCGGTCCATGTCACAGAAGCGCACGGCTTGGAGTATGGACAGGAGCTCAGAGACCTGCAAGCATAAAAGAACGCAGGAGATACGACCTGTTCTGACAAAGGCTACGGCGCCCGCAGAGTGCTTAGCTTCAATCCCGCAGGCAGAGGCGCAAACCGTGAAGATTCAAGAGTCTGCTTATTGCAGCATGGCAGCATGGAACGAGCTAGGGCCTCCCAGTCCAGGCTCTCGACGACGGCTTGCAGGCTTGGAACTGCATGCAGGAGGGGCCGGACCGGAAGCAATGCCTCGTACTGCAAGGCACTCCAGCCTCTGCTTCAAGCTCAAGCTACTGTGCGAACTACCTGCCAGTAGCAGTGTGCAGGAAAGTACCAGTACCATTGGCTTTATTATATGTTTTGGCTACGCGCAGACTCAAGGCCATGGCCTGGTCACACGAGGCTTTGCAGTGACGCGATTCTGACTTGCTTGTTTGGTTTATTTGTCAACGTCGCAGCGGCCTTCCGCAGGTCCAGGCAGACTGAGGAGTGTCGAAAGCTCTGAGATGCTCTGACTCATCTTGAAAGGTCATCGTAACCTGTGAACCGGTGTGAACACCAGTCGTCGAATCAGATCATCTAGGTGGTCGCTGAATCATCTCGCGAAGATAGAAAAAGACTTAACTGTTAGCAGAATCAATGCAAGACGCCCGTGCCGCATGGTTTGCATATGCAGGATAATTCGCTCCAGCGGACGTCCACGAGGGACATGTTGCTTTGTGGCCTCGTCTGCAGGATCAGCCAGCCGGCAGCACTGTGCATAAGTATACAAAGCCTACAAGAAGGAGTCGAATTAGAGATCTTCTGCACAGTCACGGCATGGTGCAAAATTCAGTGAGACTTCCCTCGAAGTGCAGATGATCAGAAATGCTGGAGGCTCTTGCACACATGACAGTCTTGACTAACACGTTCGTTCGTGCAGGCAGTTTGAGCCATTGGCCTCGTCGTTCAGGGACTTGCCGAATTAAGCCTGACGTCATAGTCAACGGCCAGGGCGTGTCAGGGAGAGGTTGACACAGTTTCACTGTTGGCAACCGTAGGTGGAGGCAAAAAAGCAAAGATCGATGTGCAGTCCGGGCGCTCAACAGTCACAAGCGCAGTCCTCCGCCCGTGGCTAGCTGCTTCAATCTGTTGTGCGCTTGTCCCACAGAGTGGCTTGCCTCCACAACACTGGCGCAGTTGATGTTGCCCCGCCACGATGCCGGTCGGTTTGCGTGAGAAGCTCTTTAGCCACTCGAACGTTTAATGCGGACGATTGACCAACACGTGACAGGTTTCCTGTCCATGTTTGCAACATGCTTTGGTAGCATGTTGCGAATGGAAATCCAGGCAAATCCAAGTCTGCTTTCAATGCGTCTACGCTCCGCTTGACGTGTACAAAATCCAGCCAAACCATTTATGGCACCTTTCGTGCGGTAGCACTTCTGGCGGCTGTGTTCCAGGAATAAACAAGCGTGAATCAGCGTGAAGGTGGTTGTGCCTCAGTCGTCAACACCTTGGCCTTACTCACACTCAGCTACAGTCCGACCACGTGATCAGCAAGTTTCGTTTTCGCCAAGCTTGCAAGCTCGTTGTCCCTGGCATCGAAGTTGGCGGCCGCTCGGGCCGAGTTTCGTTGCCAGAGGATGGCAAAGCCACTGAGCAGGCCAAAGCTTGTGGGGTATCAGCATCCGCACCCCCTTCGACGGCGATTCCGATGCGGCTCATCTTGAGGGCCGCCAGCACCGTCACTCAGATCTCCCAGCCTTGATCCACATCAAGGATTGATCAATGTTCCGCGGGCTGGGGTCTGCTGCGTTCTCGCTGCAGCTGGGCGTGCGGCACTCTTCAGGTACACTTCTAAAAATGGCTGGGCTGAAAACCGAGTGCCAATATTGGCCATGGTTGTGGCAAAGAGTGGTGTTCCCGTTCTTTCGACCTTTCGGATCCAATGCTGTTTCGAATGTGCACTGCGCAGTGACGGTCTTTCATTTCGCATTGTTCGTTGTTGAAGAAAGTTTGTTTGCTTTCCAAGTTTCGACCTGCTGAGCGTCTGGCTGGTGCTAAAGTGCGAGTGGCCGAGTCGCTGAAACGCTTCGGCGATGATAAAACGTATTCGGTTTCGCCACGTGCTTGCCTGGACTTTGGGCTTCTTGAGATTCTGAGTGTAGTGGTGGTGGCAAAACCTGACCACCAAGGTGGCTACGGCGACGTCTCGGCCGGCTTGCCGAAGCTACCGCTGCTACCTTGCCGGAAGGGTTTGGCGCTGCCGCTCTCGCGACCGAAGCACGTGCCCTGGCCTTGGAATCCCGTGCCCTGCCGATTGCAGATGCAGTGGGCAGTATTGCAGACACGCGGGCGGCATTCGATGCCAGTCGCCCGCGCTTCCCAGCAGGCTCTTTGCGTGGCCGCTTGTACGTCCTCACTTCCTGGACGTGCTGCAGGAATGGCAATCATGACGCCGCGATGCATTACAACGCCCGCAAGCGCAAGCGACGGCTGGAAACTTTCCTTGAGGTGGTGGCCAACGGTCCGAAATTTAGTAGTCCACACAGATCGCAATTCATGCCTCGATCGTGACCCCCTTCTAAGAGATGGCCAGCCCCGACCACGAGTCTATCATGGGCGCTGGGCTCACTTTCTCGCGACTGCTAGCACGGGCGCGAGCTCGGCAGCAGGCAAGCAATGATTGCATCGTTGGACGGCGCTGGCATTCGCCGCCCCGCATGCGCACGCCTGCTCGCTTCTCGAGCTGCCCATTGCAGGGCCTCGTGAACCCACGGATCTTCTGGCCGGCCACCTGCCGCCCCGCGCCCAGTGGATCCTGAGCGCACCTCCTTCACTTCAAGTCTAAAAACAACACGCAGCAGACACTGTCTTCTGGTTTCCGAAGTCGCATTCCTACGAGAAATCAGTGGCACTATCGCAATGCCATCTGCTGGTCGGCCGGATGCTTGCCTTGAGAGGAAGACGAGGGGATACGACAACAATGATCACGGCTAACACTGTCCAGGTTTCGAGGGGTGTAAAGTTGTTGAAAACAATTCGTTCGGCACAGAGGACCTGCGCTTTTCACCGAGTCGTGTGTTGTTTTGCAAAGGCTCCAGGCTTTGCCACTACACTTTTTTGGCGCAAGCTTTGCTTCAATGATATTTTTCATCTCCAGATGTTTCGCCAGCCCAAAAACACGTGGTGAAATCGATCGCGTTTTATCATCGCCAAAGCGAGCCCGCCACTTGGCCACTCGCGGTTAGGCACCTGTGGCAGCGCTGAGATAAGGTAAGTCCGACGCCCCCTGCCATGGACTGCATGAATGCCTTTCACTTGTCACGGTTTGCGGATCCGAGACGCAGTGAAAATACGTTGACGAAAACATCTAAAACCCTGTAATTAGGGACATGGGTCGTGCACGGCTCAATCCAAGACTGAGGGCGTCGGTGCTACACTATACAAACTTACTGTCGGCACATGTCTACCGGAAACACTGCCACTGCAGCTGCATCGTTGGTAGCACATGCAGCATCCATCGAGGATGTTGGGTCCTTAAACAACCGTTTACGGTCAGTGCGTACACAAAGAAACGGCGGCCGTTTCACAAGACCCATTCTTTCTCGCCATTTTCCGCAGCATGTCGCGCCCAGCCTGCATCCAGATTCTGCAGGGGAGATTTTGCGACAGCCAATGTGTGTAGATTATCAAGAACAGGTGGTGATACCTAGGACCTAAGAATTTAAAATGTCCGGCGCGGTTTGATTGAAACCTGGTTTTTGGTGTCAACCGGACGATGCCATACGACACTTCCGCCATGCAATTCGTATAAAGTATTTGAGAATAATGTAATCACCATGTCATACGCTGTTCCCATTGGCCATGCAACTGCGGTGGGGCGAGAGAAGCAAAAATCACATCGCATTCAACAAGAGAGTCAACATGTCGCCTGCTAGGAACGAATGCGAGTTTTGAAGCGAGTTGGAGGATGCAGGTCGTTGAGATGTAGGATGGACACGAGAATCAATCATTTATACGTATTTCTCAACAATCTGCGCACACTCCGAGCCTCTAGGGCGCTCCCTTGCGGGCCTCCACTTGACAGTGAAGGGGGCGAGGACACGGTTGTGCGCATCGTCGAGGGAGAGATAGCATCCCGACGGAGGGGCTTGTCATTGTGTCCTATGTATGTGTTTGTGTGCGCGCCAGTGGGTGTACTCAGGCTCAAAAAAGTGCGAGCAAGACTAGTTTGGATGAGCTGGACCTAGAATCAACGGGGCCACGTGATTCGCTCCGAAACGGACAGGCGCCCGTTCGAGACACACATCTGTGGCATCACAAGACATCAACAACAGCATGTAGACGCTCGATTCCACATTGAACAATCGGAGGTGACGGGTAGCAGTCACCGCACGAAGACGCGAAACTCCAGTGTCACGCTGCATAGACAAGCAACCAAGATGTTATCACAGTGATGGATTGCAGGGGTTGACAACATGGTCGTTTCCGCAAGCTGAAGCGGTACTTCTATGATGTACTGTCTCGTGCACGAACCTGCTCCCGGCGCAAAGTGCCTTCGTCGCTCTCGGCGTGCCCATCGGTCACCCCGACCTCGTTAAAACGCAGGCCGCTGACCGCCTTGATGCTGAGGCCGACCTATTCCGGAAACTCGAGCACCTCCCCGATTTCCAGTGAGCATGGCTGTTGTTCGCTTTCCGTGTGGCGCCTTGCGCGCAGCGTCTGCCCCGAAAAGCCCCCCCCGCCCCTGCAGACGGTGACTGCGTGCTGCGCCGACACTGCCAAAATTGCCCACCAACGGAAAGGGAGCCGCAGCTCGCACAGCAGGCGGGGCGCGTTGGGCACGGACGCGGACGAGGTCCCGCAGCAGCCGTCATGCGCCGGCATTCCATCGTCCCCCGACACCACAAGTTGTTGCGGGCCGGGGTCGGCGTCGGCGCCGGGGAGCGCTCGTGAAGCACCGGCAACACATACTGCCGTATGCTTGGGCTGGCGACACGGTCTGGGCATGTCTGGGCCGTCGTTGAATGTCTGTTGGGCGACCAAGGGTGTGCAAGGGCGACGACTGGGCTGCTGCTCGCCACGTCATATTTTTGTTGCCGCGGTCAGGCCCCACAGTGGGTGTCGCCTACAACCGTGCCGCCGGTCCACGCCGCGCGCGCAGGGTGTTTAGCCTTTGCAGCAATGCTACAATGAATAGTGTACAGGAGGGCACTCATCCCACCGACTCCGAAACATCGCATGGCTAGCGGCTGCGGGTGGCCTTGGCTAGCTTGGACCCTTTCTCCGTGAATGACGCCTTGTTGCAGCCTTGCAATGTGTTGCGCACTCCACCTGCTTTTTGCAAACCTCAACTCCGCCGGACTGGCCCTGACCCGTCTGCTCCCAGCTTCGGCTCAAAAGACGCCGCGGGTACTTGGAAACTTTGGCTCTTCCGCCCGCGCATGCTGCTTTCCACCAAGCCGGAACTGACCGAGTGCCGAAACGGATCATTCTCGCGAGGTTCACTGGGTGACTGGCAACCTGTGCTCCGTGCAGGACTCGCCAACACCACTGATGGTTTGCCGCGCCGGCTTGCGCACGCCCGCATATAACCTTGGCGAACTGTCAGGGTGTATCATGCAGTGCAGTAAGCACAGCTTCCCACCTAACAAGGTCATACGCAGCAGCAGCAGCAGCACCAGCAGCACCGGATCGGCTTCAGTGCGCACAAAGCATGCACCAACGCTTGGGCACCGGCCCGCGTGGAGAGGGCAGACTGGCGGGGGTTGCAGCCGGCTTCGAAGTTGGAGGCGAACTGTTATGCAATGGTTTTGGCACCGAGCCGTCGCAGAAAGTCACCAACCACCAAGGCTTGAGCCCCCGCCTCGTTTGCTGAGGGCGACGAAGCGGCCCAACGCATCCCAACGCAAGGTCTGCGACAGCTGACTCCGGCACGTGTGCTCGAGCGAGCAGGGAAACGACTTCAAACAAAAGCTGGGACGCATTCTCCTCGTCCAAAACCCATCGGAGGATTTCGGCAGTGTAGCTCTTGGGTTTGCAAGGAGTGCCGAGCGGTCAAGCATGGTCAAGCACTAAAGGGGCAGCTGGGGCGGCATCAAAGATGTCTGGGGTCAGTGGGCGGTAAGGCTCAGCTGGCTGCCGTGAGGGGTCCGTGAGCTGTTGGAGAGTGGCCTCCGTCGGGCGAGGGGTGCTTGCCCATGCCTCTGACTCACCGATTTGGGTTGGTGGCCAAACAATCCCCTCGTTGTTGCGCTTGGCGTTCCTCTCAACACTCCGAAGTTCGTCGAAACTCACCTGCATGCAGTCCCGCCATAGGGCATTTTTTCGTGAAGCCGCTGCCTCGGCAGCCTTGCTGGACTCGCAGGCCAGGCCTTACGCTGCGCGTCTTCTCAGCAACCGTCCCACTTGCCGGAGTTCTCATTGGAGTAGCCACTCTTCCGAACCATCCTCTTGCGCGTTGCGACCACCTCGCCGCATGCCCGCTCTCCGGCATCTTGCGGGCCAGGGCTGGGTCTTCTTTCGAGCGTGCTGCTGCGTGGGTGTAAAAAAAACTACGGCAGCAGTCGCTTTCAACGGGCTTGTCAGGGACTTGAATGTCGGGTCATCACGTCGCTCGTTATATGTCAGTCTTCGTTATATAAATTGTATATACATTTTTTTGCAATGTGTAAAATATTCCAACGCACAGGAATAAGACGTGTCCGGGCCCGAATGAATGAGGAGCTCTAATTTTCGATTGGGCCTTCTACTTTGTTTGAAACCGGTTCACTGCTAGCAATGGCCTGTAGGCCCCCTTACATGGTACGGTGGGCAACCTAGTTGCCTACTTCTCAAGCCTTGCCACTATGGGATGGCGCCCAGCTCGACACCACGTTTGTCGCCACTGTTACAGCTGCTGGCGTTCCAGGCAAAGCTTTGGGCCGTTCTGCCGGAACTGCCTTGCTCATTGCAAAACGAACCAAAAACGCACATACCCGAGCTGTGCCGGCCAACTGCTGCCGGCTCACTGTCATATCCTTTGAGATGGGCATGCCCGCCTTCTACGCGCTAGTCCAACATCCCGTTCTGCACCACTTGCACCGTCGGCTCCAGGATGGGGAGGCCGTCTTCGCGTTTTTCGACGACATGTACATCGCTCCTTACCAGAAAACGTCCGGGTGCTTTACAACGCCTTCGCCCCCGTGCGTTGGGCCCATGCGCATTTCCGGCTGCACGAGGAACCAGCCAATATCGCCGACCTTGCAGTCGATTCCGAACCGCTTTCAGTTTTCCAGCCAGGGCTCATGAGTTTGCGGCGCCGGAACGCCAGGAGCAGCTTCTGCTTTCGCACAGGGCTGTTGGTCACACCTCAATCAATGCACAGCTACACACAGCCTCGACGGAGCAAATGTTTTCACCCGGTCATTTGAGCCAAGGCATTGCCAAGGCAAGTCTGCAAAAGGCGTGTCTGATGCAATCACTCTAGAGAGACTCTGCGTGACATGCGAGGCACGTCCAGTGAGCAAGTTCTTAAACTGCCCACACAACGCCCCCATGCCGAGCATGGCTCCACGGGAAAATGGCATCAATGTGCACAGACTTGTGTGCTGACTGCAAAGAATGCCAAAGTCTGCAAGCAGAAAATGGAATCAGAGTGCACAGCAGTGTGTACTGATTGCCGAGAGTGCCAAAATCTGCAAGCACTGTGTGCTGTACAGTAGTGTTCATGGCATGCGGCCGGTACGTTGGTTGCTGCTCAGAACTGGTTTCGCAGAGCGAGTCAGCAGCCAAGAAAACTTGCAAGGTTCGTACAACTGGAAATCAAGAAATCAAAAGATCAACCGTGAAATCATGCGGAAAATCAAGCAATACATGCGCATCATTTTTCAAAATTCAACCAACGGCCAACACTCGTTCAAAGTCATGCTCAACCATGCTGAGACGAGCAAAGCATGTCAATCTCAACCATGCGGGTAAACTCCCAAGAGCCGTGAAAAATGCTGGAACTTGTTCTTCTCCAATGCTTTCGTCATGACATCAGCAAGGTTATCGTCGTTGCTGGTTTTGTTGATGTTGTTGTCGGGATCCATGCTCACATCATGCAACCATAACAAAGGCACACCTTGCGTTCGCTTCATGTACTTGAGGAGCCCGTATGCGTCATCGATTGCTGCAATTCCTGTTGCTGAATCGGTCATGATGTCTAATGGAACTCGGTATCCCAGCAAAAACTCGAAAAGATCTTGTGCATAAATCCCGTGGCGCTTGAGACCTTCAGCCTGCCTTCAGCCATGGCCGTCACTTCAGCATCTGGTGCCGACAATGCGGTAGCACCTTGACGATGCGATCGCCAAGCAAATGTCGCGCGAGTGCCGTGCGACCCAACAAGTTGCAAAACAGCTCCTGATGTCGATCGCCTGGTATCGGGATCCGTCGCCCAGTCAGAATCGACCCACAATACTAGCTTCAGAGTGCGTTGCGGCACATCAACAGGATTGAGAACCAATCTAAGTGCGGGGGACCTAGTCGCCGCCAAATACCCCATCAAACGATGCAATGCAGCATCCTGTCTTCTTGTCCATTTTGTGGTGTACCGACCCAACCACCCGACAGCAAATGAGATCTCAGGACGACTGTTCCTCGCTACCCACAATCCAACCCCTACGTAGGAACCGCAATTTGATGCAAACTGACCTGTCTCGCTCATGTTTGAATATCATTGGCTGCGAGCTTCACAGCCGGAGTGTCGTATCGTGGAAGTCTGTATGCACCAATCTCATCCATGTACTTTCTCGTGAGGGTGTCGATGTACGCATCCTGCTTCACTAGAAATGTGGCAACATCCGCATGGTCGTGCGATAAGATGTCCTCGGAGCCTACAAATCGGCTGACAGGTTGAGGCGGGTCCGCGAAATCGAAACATTCGAAAATCTCAGCCCATGCATGTGGTAACACGGGTTTGTGTCCCGCCAGCTTGAAATCATCGACGAAACGGCCCATGCCCACAATGTGCCCGTTAAATTCCTTCTTGAAAAACGGGCGCTCAATGTCACGAGCTTGCAGCCAATGCTAACGCAACAACCGGTCGTCAGCATGATCTTCCCAATCGCTGTTTGAACGTGTGAGCCCATAGATGGCCATGTACAACAAGTGCACAGGACAGCGCATCTCCAGTTCGGATTGTGTGCGAAACTCTTTTGGTAAACAAATCACCTTCGGACGACATTTGAGTCGAGCTTGCAAATAGGCACCATCATGCACCATCAGCATCAGCAGTTTGACAATCGCCGTCAGGCTGCAAACCGGCATAGCAATCTAGCGCCCGTGATCCTTCAAGCGTGATGGGTCGACCGTGCAATTGGTCTTCCCCCACAAGTGTCGCGAACGTTGTCCCCGAGTGCGACTATGCGAGCTTTGAATCGGTGCTGGGATTGATCGAGTTCGTAATGCTTGATCCCCAAGATGAGGTTTGCCTGCACGTACTCCACATCAGGGCCGTACTTGGCCACAGCGGTTTCCCAAGTCCGCTTCGACGCGTGGTTTGCCGCCTCTTTGCGGATAGCTTCACGCGCAGCGTTTGTGTCCCACTCTGGATCTCTTCGTTTGACGATCTTGGTGACGCAAGCGAACATCTTCCCCAGCTCAGTTGTCAGCTTGTCCAGCTCCTGTTCAAACCTAAGTGCTGCAGGCGTTGTGAGAACCGTCCCACCACGAACAATTGTGCTGAGCTTAGATCGATCGCTTTCAAACGTCCCCGTGGAGGAAATAGCTGCATTGTCGCGATCATTGGTTGGTTGCTGCGATCTCTCCGAATCAGCGTCCGAACTGTGTATGCCGTCTGACCGTAACTCCGTGCTGGTCCGATTGTGGCTGCTGGAAGCCGGCCTGGATCGCTCCGAATCCGCATCTGATGGGTGTGATCCAACCTGGGATGGAGATGAACTTGAGACGGGATTCTGCGCAACAGCTGGGCTTTGAGAAGCGCGCTCCGAGTCCGCATCCGATGGATGCGACCCGCGGTGGGACCGAGATCGCCCGGACGAAGATGTAAGATCGGCGGCAACCCGGTTTGACAGCGGAGTTGATGGCGCTAAGTCGGGGCGAGGCGGCACTAGGCCACTCACTATCCATGCTGTCATCGAAATAAGGGCCATAATTGTGTTCGGGAGGCATTTGTGCATCAGCGAACAAGTCCCCTCGCCAGCGCGGCCTGCGTGGCGAGGCATCCGTATGGCAACGTCCATCGCCTTCATCGTCAGGCGGTGGGCCCATGTCATCATCATCGTGTGCGTCATGCGATGTCGAAAACCTGGAGCTTGACGAATCCATGGAGGAGTCGATGACGCCCCCATCACGGCTGCGTGGAGTGCTTGGGGAATAGTCCATGCTCGTCTCGGGCGAGTCCGGAGGGGGCTGAACGTCAAGGAACGCATGACCACCACATCGAGCGCGAAGGCAGCCGGGACCATCCACATGCCGACGACGACCACCGCCAAACAAACATCCACGGCAGTGGATGTCCGCATCAGTGGCCCACAAGCCGCAAAGCACACATCGGTCGTCATCTCCAGCAACGGGCGTTGGTTGCAACACCTCCGGCTCGAACCAACGTTGGGCCCAGTATGCCGCATCAGGGTTGTCCATGCCCAGCTCGTGAAATGGCCAGCGCACCTGAGGGGAGAAGCGCACATCACGTGTGTGCACAATCCGGGCCTCGCCCGTCGTCTCGACGTAATGTTCGAAATCCAGGACGTAGTATGACTGCAAGCGGCTATACCCCAACACCACACCAAGCCGTCCACGAGATGCAAACTTCTCATGTTCCTCTGACAGGTAGTAGCACGCAGAGCCGAATGGACACAACTTGCTTAAATCGATTGAAGCGCATCTGGTAGGGTGAGTCAGCACCATCTGCACCCGGGCTGCGCGCATACACAAAGAGGAAGGTCATGAGACAGAACGTCCAGAAAGCATACGGGACTCCAGACGCAACAAAAAGGCAAGCCATGCCTTCCGCAACTGTGTGGTGGAATCGCTCAGCACGGGAATTTGTCTGAGGTCGACGTGGCAAGGAACGCTCGTGTCTGATTTTCCGTTCCTTGAGTTTGGCGGCGAACTCGCCCTGGAACTCGCCACCATTGTCCGTCCGGACTGAAGACACTGACTGGTTCCCATACATGTCGTCGAAAGCGGCAGCGGCTTCGGAAGCCTGCTTGGTGCGCAAAGCACGTGCTGCCGGGTACCCCGTTGCATCATCATGGACGTAATCATGGCATACACCTCGTCATTGATGCTGGGGCGTGTGGGGCCGACAAGATCACAGTGAATTCGTTCCCCGTGAACTCGAGCTGTGTGCTTGTCATCTTCGACAGCTTGCTTTTTGCGAGCCGCTGGAGCTCGACACATTTTTGCTGGCAAGCACACTTCGCAGGTGGGGTCCTTTGGGTAGTGAGCCAAGCAATGTTGATCCGCGTCAAGCAGAACTCCCGAAACATGTGAGCGAAGAAATCGTTCAAGTCTGCGTCGCTTGCAGCCTCACTCAAGCTTGCTGGACCAGCATCGACTGCGCTCAATAGAAACGGGACGCGATTGACCATGGTGAGCGGCACCTCGCTGGAAACACCGTCGCGCCAGAAATTTGGCTGCTCAGACCATGCGGGCCAGTATAAATGATACCCCAGCTCGGCGCAAGTTTCGCCCATCGACGCCATGTTGATTTTAGAGTCCGGCATCACCATAGCCGAGCGATGCCCGAGATGCGGAACCATGGCATCCACCATACTAGTAGCTGTTGGCCGAGCCGTGCCAGCGCCTGTGTCGATATCGCAGTCTGCACTTTGCATTGTCTCCCAAACGGCATCGTCGGCATTGTCGCCCATGATGCAGAACTGGCTGGCTCCGGAATCCAGAGCCCATGCCGCACCTGCAAACTGTTGAAGATCGTCAGGCTTGACATCGGCAAGCCACGCGGAGCCACCGAAACATTTGGTGAGAAACTCCGAAAACGCTTTGGTGAGGACATTTGCCGGAACTGCAGGCCCAGGCCGAGCGCCCATGGACGCTGCCCCCTAACCAGGCGGCGCAGATGCCCCACCGTTTGACGAAGAGGCATTTATCTTCGCCGCGAAGTCCGGTCTGTACGTGGAACTCTTTGGATTCAACCAGCACTTTTGTGCTGTGTGTTCGGGCTTGTGACAATGATCACACGGCTTGTCATTGCCTTTCTTGTTCTTGCTCTTGCCTTTGCCTCCCTGTGATTTGCCGCCCGCTGCCGTGGCAGCAGCGACCTTGGCCGCAGCAGCCTTTTTCTGTGCTTTTCGCGTCTCAATCTCCTCAGAGTGATGTGCAACCAAACCGTTGATGGCATATATCAAGGCGTCTAGATCCACAGAATTGCTGGCATTGAAAACGGCAAAAGTGGCATCCATTTTCTTTGATATCCTGGAGCTTGCGCTTCAGAAGCGCAATGCCCCCAGCATTGGTGAGCTTATGCTAGCCGGAACCCATTTGGTGGCGATGCAACGAAAAAGATGCCATGTAGCTGTCAAGCTCCGACAATCCAGAACAACTGAGCTCTTGAATCTTGGTGTTAGCCTCCGTGGCTAAATGTGTTGACTCATGCAAACGCCGCTGGTCAACCATGCGGACAGCTTGACGACCACAACCAAACTGTGCACGTGATTGTATAAGCTTGAGAATCTCTGGTCCTTTCTTTCCTTTGTTCACGTCTACGGACAAGTTTGACGCCAAATCGCCAAAAGAAGCAGATTCATCATCAAGCTCTCTGATATAAGCCATGGCAGCAACTGGGTCCGGTGCTACACGCAAGATTTGACTCTTCAAACTGAAGCGCCAGCCCTCATAATCAGAACCAGTTTCTGGCAGATCTTTAATGTAGATGCGCCCTGACGTCGCATCGTCTGTCGCCATGGCACCTTCGAGCTACGGCTGATAACCCTGTGTTGGTCACAGCTCAATCAATGCACAGCTACACACAGCTTCGACGGAGCAAATGTTTTCACCCGGTCACTTGAGCCAAGGCATTGCCAAGGCAAGTCTGCAAAAGGCGTGTCTGATGCAATCACTCTAGAGAGACTCTGCGTGACATGCGAGGCACGTTCAGTGAGCAAGTACTTAAACTGCCCACAAGGGCTCTGGCATAAGCACTAGCTTCCGCGAGTGCTGCACCTTCGACTTCCGAGCTACTGGTCTTTGGCTTCGGCAAAGGGGGACTAGCCTGCGAACCACGGTCGTAGTAAACCCTAAGTATAACACCGTCACTCGTGCCTTCATGGCAGCAAGAGCCGATGGTGCATCGCCCGCCACTTATGAAGCGTCAAACGCGGCCGGTGCATTGCAGTGCGGTTATTGTGGCAGGCTTACAGATGCCATCCGCACAGACCAAGGGAGGCCAGAGCAGCCTTGAGTGTGTCAGACAGTGAGCCGTGCAGTGGGCCGTGCCGCGAGGCACTGTGACAGAGAGCGTGCATCATGCACCAAAGGACGTGTGCTTCCTGCAGTATGGTTACTGTGGCAGGCTTACACATGCCAACATGAATCGAAAGGAAACCTTTCATCTTGTTTTCCGAGTGTGCCAGACAGTGGGGGCCGTGCAGTGGGCCGTGCCGCGAGGCACTGACAGAGAGCGTGCATCATACACCAACGGACGTGCTTCCTGCAGTATGGTTATGCGACACCACAGCCACTGAAGTCGCATCCTTCATACGAATGACACCCGTCATGCCAGAACTCCTACAGTTTCAGTGCTTTCTGCCTCGACAACGACACCGACGGCAGCCGCTGTCCTCGCCCAGGCCCACTTGCGGCATGCCGGCTTCGACCCCCGATTGGGCTACTGTCGCCGCCGGCCCCTGCTTCCACCTCCCGCAGTCGACCCGAGGAAGCGGCCGGGCCGCGTCCTTCACAAGCTGGCAACTACGTGCCACACCCCGTGTGATGAGCGTGCGTATGAGACGCATGTTGCTCACTTCCCTCCTGTGCAAGCTGCTCTCACAAGGGGTGTTTTTTCCCGGCCGTGTTTGCGACGCCGTGATGACGACGTCACCATCCCCACGCCCAGTTCCGCGTGCTACTGCTGCGGCATGCTGCGGCGCTTGCAGGTGCCATTGCATCTTACGCCGCGCAGGTGCAGCTGCCACGGACTGCTGTAGACCCGCACGGCAGCCACCATGCCGCGTGCGCCACCTCTGGCGTCCTGTCCACGCATGCCTTGCCGCTGGAGCACGCCGTCGCGCGTGCGTGTGCCGAGCCGATGAGCGGCACATCGAGCGGCCTGCAGCTATTTAGCATGGATCCCAATTCGCAGCCGATGCCTCAGTTGCTTCCCCGCTCGCACGTCAAGGCGAGGCACACCCACGTGCCGAACTCGGCCACGCCCGACGCTGATGCTGTCTTGTCGTCGTCGGGATTGAGGTCGGTGCATGGCCGTTTTGGTGGCGAGGCCGTGCAGCTCTTGCTCTTTCTTGCGCGCCGCAGGGCCGCTGGGGTCCTGCAGCTGTTGCGGCCCTCCTGGCTGTCGAGGCCCAGCGCACAACCTGCACGAGCTCCTTGCCAACGCACGCTGCGCGGCTCCCGACCCGCGGGCAGGTGTTGTGCTCACACCGGTTCGCACACGGGAACCGCTCGACGCCGTCGGACCGGGAAAGCTGGGGTCTTGGGCACACTTATCGACCCTTGCGCGGACTCGCTTGCACGAGGGCAGTACCCGGATCTGGAACGCCGCCGGCGAGGAGCCGCCACACATCGCCGACCTCGCCGTCGGCGGTAGTGAGCTTATCTGGGTTGGCAACTGGTGCCTCCCCCGGATTGCCAGGGACTCAACGTGCTGGGCTCCCCCCTATAGGGCCACGAAGACTTCGTCGCGCGCCAGCTGCGGCGCAAGCGCGAGGAGCAGGACAATTGGTTTTGGTTCGCATCCCCTCGCTGGACGACCTGCAGGCTTCATGGCTCCTCCTCCAGTGCTGCGCAGCACCACACGCGAACTATTTGCTGCGCATCCTGCCGCCGCACCTTACTGAGACCTACCGCAGAAGCGCATGATGCCTCCATCGCCCGCTGCTTCGCTGCACTGCTCGAACAAGGTCAGGCGCCCTTACCACCCACCGGCCTCCGTGCTGCCCAGCTCCCCCAACGGTTTGGCCGGCTAGGCCTCCGCTTTGCCCGCACAGACAGCAGTGCCGCGCACTGGGCCTCATGGCAAGACACGCTGCCTGTCATCCGGGCGCGAGCACCCGCAGCTGCGGCGCGCCTGCTTGACGCCTTGCGCGGTGACGCTGCTGCGGCGCAGTCGGGGTGGCTTGGCGCCTTGAGGATCCCAGTCGGGGGCCTCGAAGCCGGTCCGGCGCAAGAGCGTTTGCGCTGCTGCCGGAACCCCCGCATGCTGGCGAAGACTCTGGCCCGTGGCCGTTCAAAGGCTGGCAGCGACTAGCCGCCCGTGCGTGCGACCAGCGCGCGTTCGAGACGCACCTTTCTCAACTCACTCCCGCGTCCCGTGCGCTGCTCTCGCAAGCAGGGCCTTTCGCAGCCCGTTCCCTCACGCACAATGATGTCACGATCCCCAGCGCCCACTTCCGCGTCCTCCTGCTGCTCGCGCCGCGCAGATGTGCCTGCCACGGTCACCTCGACGAGCTGGGTGATCATCGTGCCGCGTGCGCCACTTCCGGGGTGCTGTCGATGCCCGCGCTGCCTCTTGAGCACGCAGTCGCCCGCCACGTCCGGTTGGCAGCCAATGGCTTCCCCTTGTGGCACGGGTCACAGCTTGCCATTGATGCCACGATCGTGTCTCCCCTGACGCGGCGAGGCGACGCCCACCCCCGCGCTGACACCGAACCTGGCAGCGCCGTCAGTGCCGCCGCTAGACGCAAGCGCCACGGCACCTACCCAGAGCTCGGCCGCGCCCGGAGGTGCCGCCTCGTCGTCTTTGGCACTGAAGTTGGCGGGAGCGGTGCAGTTCCTGCGCCTCCTGGCGCGGCATCGGCCGTTGCCGTGCCCAGACCGCTACGCCCTGCCGCTATCACGGCCTGGGTCGCGCGATGGTCCGGCCTTCAAGCCGTCGCCGCGCAGCGCGCTTTCGCAGCCTCCCTGCTCGAGTTGCCCCCTTCCGCCGATTTGGGGGACGGACCGGGGCCTGAGCTGCATGAGCCGCCCGCGGCCTGACCAGCCACTCTGCACGTAGCTTTGCAGGTTGCACAGGGACCCGCCGTACCTCGCAGTCGCAAAAAGGTGCGAGAAAATAAAATCCACCACCCCACCCAGGTGGCCTCGCATGAATTTCGCATGTGGGCACACGTTTCAACAAAAGAAAAACACGCCTGCTCCAGAAACGTGCCTGGCTGCCGGACTTGCAGTGTGCATGGCTCATTCTCACCATGGTCGTTGTTGTGCCTGCATATCCGCTGCCGCAGCCGTGGGGGCTAAATAGTACTAGTATCTAATGGAAACACGCATGCGTTCCGCTTACTTCTTAGCTCATGTCATTGAGTTTGCACCCTCGGTCGTAGCTTGGTGCTGAAGGACCCAAGACCCTCCGACCTCGAGTGCAAGGACAACGAGCCGGCACTTTTGCGAGCGCACCGCACCAGCTCGGGCCCTGCGGGCAAGGCACACGGCGGCGCCATGGTACTGTCGCTGGTGCCGGCGCAGCGGGAGTTCATTTGCGATGACTTCGATGCGGCGGTCGTCGAGGCGCTCAGGGTGGATGTTGAGGTTGCGCACGAGGACATTGTTGGCAACGGTAGCCCCGGCCTCGCGGCAAACACGGCCAGCAGCTCGCTCGAGTGGGAGGCAGGCGGGGGCAAGCAGCGCGGTGGTTACCGAGGGGGTCAACGGGGCGACGGCAGCGACAGGCTGCAGCGTCGAGTGGCAAAGGCAAGCGGAGCCGACGGAGCAACAAAGCACGGAAGACAGGCGAGTCCAAAGTGAGCTAAGTGGCTGGAAGGCAAGGCAGTGAAAACGCTCGAAGCAAAAGGCTCAGACTGGGACTCGAGCAGGGCGAGGGAAGGAAGGTCAAGCGCTGCGCAGAAGCGGCCGGCGATGCTATCGTCTATAGCACGGGAGGCGAGCCGCTGCCATCCTCGAGTGGTGTCGACAGGCTCGTCGGGGTCTGCTGGAGCAACGGGTGGGTGCGGGGGCAGGTCGCCGAATCCAGGCGGTTGAAAGCCAGTGTCGCGGAGAAGGCGGACCGCACCGGCAAGGGAGCTCAAACAGCGGGGGAGTGAGGGGGCAGATGCTGCGTCATGAAGCAAGCGAGAGCACGGTGCTGCATTGAAAGGTGTTGGAGCTACGCAGCGACGTACTCGTCCGTTCCCAGGGGGCTGCCGAGGACACGCAAACCACGGTCTTGCGGGGGAAGGGCTGGGTCACCAACCCAATTGGTGCACTCATCGGGAGGGGGCGGGAGATGGGGCGGGCGAACACCAGCAGAATTCCAAACGCAGGTTTTGCCGGTATGGAGCCGGATGTATGTGCAAGGACGTGAACACTGGTGACATAGATGTCGTCAAGAAAAGCCCGCACACGCTCTTGGAAGGAGCGGAGCGCCGGTGCAAGTCCAAAGGCGAACAGCGCGGGCATAAGCGGATCGCCCTGCTCGCCACCCTCGGCCTGGGGCACGAGGTGGGTGAGGCCTTCATCGTCAGTCCAGACAAAGGAAGACGGAGCGCCAAACACAAATTATGCACACAGATTCGTCTTTGTTCTTCGCGAACTGGTGGAACCAATGGCGAAAACGGGTCGCCAGTACTAGTATTAGCGGTCGCCGACGGCCCGACTCCGCACCACTGCCGAAAACTCAAAAACAGAAGGAAATCCCAAGCTAGGAAACCGCTGATTTTCGCTGCGGCATGTGAAAACTAGTTATGAAATCGTAGCTGCTTTCCAACTGTTCAACCAAGATTCCCCGCAATGCGTTCTTCGTCCTTGCTAAGTAGGAGGGAAAGGATAACAAAAACCAAAGAACACAAAGCCACAAAACAAATCCAGAGGGATAAAAGCAAAATCCAGAGGAAATCCCAAACCAAAGAGCCAAAACCAAGCAATTCAAATCCCGCAGATGCCACGCCAAAGACACCTTTTGGGTTTGGTTTTTTTGGTTTTGGATCTCGGCCAGGATTTTGTTGTTTGTGTTTTGGTTTCTTTCGTTTCTTTGGTGTTGGATTTATTTGGCTTGCTTGGTTCTGGATTATTGTAGGTTTTGGACACGGGCTTCTTGTTCGCAAAAGTAGCACAACGCAGGGGCCGTTATTCCGACCCCAAACCCGTCACCACAGGGTCTAGGCCCGAAGCTCTGCAAGCCGCTGCCGAAAGCTGCAAGCACGCTGCCCGCCCCAAGCTTCTCCGGCGAGGACCTCTCAGGCGTCGCGTGTTCGCGTGCCCACACCAAAAAGCGCTGAAACCACGAGTCGTTCAAACTCAATCGCCCGGCTCGTTCGTCTTGGAACCCTGCAAGCTCCTGCTCCGGGCACGTCGCGGAGTTGCCACCCATGGCTGGTTCAGGCGATGGTGGCGTCTGCGAAGCGTAGCTGTGCACTCGTCGCCGGACCTTTGCCTGGAGCACTGCCTCTGCAGGAAATCCTGCACGATGCGCGCTCGCCCGTGCCAAGCTGGCAGCTGGCTGCCCATTCGTTGAGCCGCTGCAGCACAATGCAGCACACTAGTTCACAGGTGCATGGGGCTTTATCGGAAGGATTTCTGGACGGCTGCTCTCGGGTCTCGCGGCTGCACGGAACGCGATGAGCCGCAGCTGGGAGAGCTCCTGGCGGCGCCGCCCCAGCGGCCACTAGCGTCTATATGTTCACTCTTACGACCCAAAATCCGGACCGAAACAGGAGTGGGGAAAAAGAGGAAGGTTACTTTCCGCGAGTATGGGAGATCTACAATGCCAGTTGGCTGCGATCGGCGCGACATCTGTGCCCGCCGAGTCAATCAACACGGGATGCAGTTTCCCGTGTGCAACAGCCGTTTCGAGACGAAGTATCAGAAGAGACGAGGTTGAAGGGGTTTTGTAACAGTCAAACGGCAATGGGAACAACGGCGACTGTCCGAATGGAACTGCGCCGAGGCTGATCGAAATGGTGGCGCGGGGCGCGGCGGCGAAGACGAGAGTTAACCAAGGCTGGCACAGCGCAGCCATTAGGCATAGCTGGACAACAGTGTGAGCTTTGAGCCAAGCTGGCTTGAGCCAGTGTGCCACTGTCCATCCGCATGTTGTTTTTTTTGCATGCCTGGCGAGGTGGCTTTGATCAAATCAATTAGCACAAGCACAGGTTGCCAGAACAAGCAGAAAAGCTTGCTAGTACTGGGAGAAACTTGTCCAAGAAGGCTCATGCAGCAAAGCTATCCAGTGTTTTTTTTCTCGCTTTTTGCCACGCAGAGCCCATGGACTATGGCCGATGCAGGGGAAGAAACGGAGGAGCGAAAGGCGTGTGTATCCGTAGTCATTTGCGCCAACGCCTTGTAGGAGGAAAACGAACTGCTTCAACCCGGTGCGAACCTGGCGTTGTGGGGAGCTGCAGCTGTTGAGGCGCTGCGCACAAGCTCTTGATCTGAACTGTCAAGCCGGCACTTTGCCTGCAGGTGCAAAACGATCCGAGTTCACAGTCCGCAGCTGCATCCTCACTGCGAGGTTGCATCTAAATCTCACCGGCCATGTATGTCACACCCAGGTCGCCCATGCCGTGCAGAAGGATGGTCGCGCTTTGATTCACGCCACACCTGATTTGAAGGAACAGAAAGAGGCGCTTCCCCCCTCGGTGCGTTCCCTAACCTTGGCACAACTAATCACGAAACAGGTGGCATTGAAGGCGGTGGCTGCAGATGGCACTGCGCTTATGTTCGTCTCCGAAGACATGAAGCAAGACAAGGAGTCTGAGTGTTTTGCGCCGCCAAGCTTCATGCAGCTGGGATCACGCATCAAACACATTCAAAAAATCAGTAGCGGTGAGGCGGCGTCAACTCATGTCGATGCATGCTGTCATCAGACAGAGGCAACTTTCTACACAGTCTGACTTTGCTGGCGGGATAGTGCCTTGCGGCACGACACAGAATACCTTTGAAATGGAGAACCATGTTCGGGAAGGGCTCATCTTGCAAAGGACGTCGTGCTCGCGGCTGTGAGACAAGTCGGAACTGCCTTGCGTGCCTTGCCCAGCCTTGCGAGTAAGCACAGCTGCCACATGACTCCATCTGGTTTCGTCTGATACCGCAAATCGGGCTGCTGCTTTTTGCGAGGTTTGGCTGCTGAGCCACTGGCTGCCGACAGAGATGTCGTGTCTGACGTCGCATTGGTACATGGTGTCTGTTTGCGAGTTCCTCGTTTCTTTGTCGGCATTGGTCTTGGCATCTCTCGTCCAGGTTCTTGCGGCTGTGCGCCAGTGTGGACAAGCACTGAGACATGCTGCCGAAAATCTGCGTGACGACAAGGAGCATCTTGTGGACCTTTTCTTCTGATCATGCTCGAGCTGTCACGAACTGCGGAAGGAGGTGTGCTCAGCAGCTGTGCAGCAGAACGGCCGAGCTTTGAAGCACGCTTCGGAAAGACTCCGGGCCGACAAAGAAGTGGTTGATATGGCCATTGAAAATACAACAGCTGCTCGGATGGGAAAAGAAAAGTTTTCCTGTAAGAGCATGCCTCCTGTTGCAAGACAGGAAGCTCTCCCCTATGCTGGGCCCGAGCTGAAAGAGGCGCATCCCACCAACTAGTTGCAGAAAGGCGTGTTCTTCTTCACCGGGCAGGAATGGGAGAATGTGCTGACAGAGAGATGGAAAGCAGCCGGTCTTCACATTGAGCGGCGGTTAGCAGGACAAATAGTGAACCAGATTGCGACCAACTGAGCCTCGAGGTTTCACCCTTGACTGTTCTGAACAGACTGAGAGAACGAAGAAGACCGACAGCACGAAAGCACAAGATGCGCGTGCACCACGCATATCGAACAGAGCGGTGCTCAGGGCCACGCGTTACAATTCTGCTTATGATAGCTTGATATCGCTTGTGCATAAAGCTTGTTTGCTTTTCCGGAGCCGCCAGCACTGTGTTCCCATAAATCGTCGCAGTAGTGCTATGGCAGATGGTTGAACATGCAGTCCGTGACTTCCAGTCAGCACTGCAGCAGCTGAATGCCACCAGCGGCAAGCCAGCCAGCTTTGGTTGCAGTGCCAACTGCCAAATCTGAAGCCAAGCTCAATGATTTTGCATGTATGTGCTTGGCAATGACAATTTTGAACTGCTGGGTATTGTTTTCATCCGGAGGAAGAGTTCGTTGAGCCTGCTGGGTCTGCTGGGCGCCCACGATCTGCAAGCCAACTGAGGTGCACAGCTTGTGTTGGAGAATAACAGTCCGGTGCAAACTGGTGCCGGATCGCTGTGGTCGCAGAGGCCAACTTTGCACCTTGCCATGTACGAGGGGTGTTCATGTGCAGGTGCAAGTGCCCGCTCTTTTTTGTGTCGGTTGCGTGCCTAAAGAACGGGAGACGGACCCCGGCCCCCTCCTTTTTCCTCCTCTCCCAGCCGACAAGTGGGGAAGACACACGGAGAAATTTACTAGAGTAGAGCAGGGTTGGTAAGACTAGGCCTAGGCGCTGCATCAACTTAAGGAGTCGTCCAAGGGCCAGAAGGTAAAGGAAAATTCGGGCCCAACGTCAACACTGTGTTTGACGCTGTTTGCACAGTGCCTTGGGTTACCGTTCGTGGACCAACAAGGACATGCTGCGGGTTCGGAGTTCTGTGATTGATTCTGCTGATACGATGAGTGGTCCTGCAAGTGCCTCATTTCCTCATGTGCGCAAAAGCATGCAGACGAGAATCTCTCTGCCCTGCCCCGAATCCCCTCTACTGTAGCTGTAGCTTTGGTAGCCACCTCTCAAGGCAGGGTGTCCAGACAGCTGTGCGCATGCTGTGCGCCTGCGACTTCTCCCCACCAGGTATTTCGATTTCGACGAGCTTGATGAGGAGGAAATTGGTCGACCACCCGTGGCGGCAACAATGGCAAGTGAAAGACAAGCGACTTCGACACGAAGGCGAAGCATGAGCAATGTGCACAATTCCTTCGTGTGAGAACAGAGCAAGCAAATTTCAGGCTTTTCGAGGGCACCGTGACGTTGCAGATCGTTGCAGTTCCTGAGCCGCAAGCTGTGCAAACACCTGCTGCCAACGGCCGCATGGTGTAGCCAGCAATATTGCAAACTTGCGCGTCAAGCGTCCTATAGTAATACTTCCTGGAGTGCCCAAAGTTGGTGTTGTGCGGCTTCGGAATCAGTAGAGCCTGGACAGAGACGAGGACACTTCGCATTTTGTCCCCGTTACGATCCACCCGCCACGGCTTCGTTTGGGATGCCCTGAATTCTGCGTCTCGTAGCCCGTTGATGGCAGCCTGTTTGGTGCACCTGCCCGATTCAGGGCACTTGTAGATGTCGAACCATCCAGAACAGGCCGTGCAGCGAGTCTGCATGCATGAACGTTGCTGAAGCAATCACGTCAGTGTTCTTCCCTGGCGACTTCGGACAGTCGCAGCCCGAGGCGATGACTGGGGTCCAGGTATGTTCGTTGGTGAATACGGCACTGAGTTGTACCATCTGGGATGTTAAGGCGGGCTTCCGCCTTTTGTGGATGTGTGTGTATGTGTGTGTGTGTGATAAAGTATCCGCCCACTGAGCGGGACAGTGCCCTGGGACAGGAGCGCATCGAGCGCAAGGAAGGGACGAAACTCAGCGCGCAGAAGTTGCTTTGTGCCAATGGCCAGGCTCTGACATGACATACATGATAAGCTTGGCGCGGTGCCCTTCTTCAGTTTTTGGATGTATTTGGCGGAGTTGGAGGTTGCGCACGACGACGCCATTCTCGCAGATGTGGTGGACCACGGGCAGCCGGAGCTCAGCCTTGTCCGCTCTCCCCCTGTCTGGGCTGGAGACATGGAAGCAGTATTCATAGCCCGAATGCCTTTTCATATGAGCACTGGAGCAGACCCGGGGTGAATTGAGAGTTGGCATATTGTGCACCAAGGACTGCTGGCGAGTATCGCAGCTGGGGAAGTTCAGCTTGAGGAACTTGACGAGGGCACGCAGCGCGCAAAGCAGCAAGAAAGCCTCAAGGTGTGATGTGGGCTCAGGTGCACGCAGCGATCGGGCCATCGTTCTCGCAGCGGTGCACGCAAGTCAAGGCAGAGCCCTCGCTCATGCTCGAAGCTTGGAAATGAGGTGTTGCCTTGCCTGCCTGTCGTCCGGCTATAGTGTAAGGCATCTCCTACACTACGTGGCGACAAGGCATGTTCAGCCGCGGCAAGGGCATGATGGTGGCATGAAGCATGCCAGCATATTGGAGCTGTTGTAGCAGGAAATGGTCACCGAAGCGGTGAAGCGGAACGGGCTTTCCCTGCGGCATGCTAGCTCGTCACTGCGAGCAGACCGCAACTCGCTTCAGTGACTCAGTGGTTTCCTTGCTTCAAACCATCTATGCCTTCCGGTTGCGGTGTGTGAAAGTCGCAAATGGCTTGCGCACATTTCGAGGTGATATCGTTCTGACGGCTATTCGGGAGTGCCCGTTGGCCTTGGAATTTGCAGGTGACGCGCTGCGGAAAGACCATGATTTCATAGTCAACGCGGTGCGGGTGTCGGCCCGGGCGGCTGGATGTGTTACAGAGGCGATCGCTGGGCCATGCTTGTCTCGGGCGCATTGTGACTATGGAGATGCAAATGGCAGTTATTACGGGGTACCTACAGCGGGCATGCACAGCAGCCACGGGGAAGATTCGGGAAAAAATGGGCGGGCTAGAAAGGTGAAGAAAAGGAGTTGGACTGTTGAGTTACAAGACCTGGCAGAGACGTCCGGTTGGGCACAAAACGAGATTGCAACAGAAGGTGGTGTTGCGGTTGTCGGATTTTTTTCCAAGCAGAGCCTCATGCTTGGCATGCTGCCCTTTGTGAGCTGACTGTGCGAGCTGTGCCGGTGACATGACATGACCCGAGGTTTGCAGCATGACTGTAACGAGATGTGTGCACTTTCAGTATGTGCGGCGGGCACTCCATGACAGGAGCTGCAGAGAAACGGGTCCTTCGCCGGTGAGCTGCTGTCCGCCTTTCCAGCTGTCTTTGCCCACCTGCCTCCGCAGTTGCGCAGATCGCGAGAGACTTGCCATTTTTGCTTTCGCTTAGACAACAGAACGGGGGGCTTTGCATGCAGCGTCCAATCAAAGCAGAACCCTTGCACGAGTGAGGTTCTGTCGAAGCCCACGGGCACAGAAATTTTCGTTACCTGCAGTGGTATCCTGTGAGGGTTAAACGGCGCATGCGACCTGAACGGGTTGGGCTGGCTAGTTCGGTCTCACGCTCTTGCTCAGAATGTTTGGTCATGGAAATCTCGCGGTACATCGGGCAAACTGAAGAAGCGCCGCAGATGGTGTAGAGAGAGAGAGAGAGAGAGAGAGAGAGAGAGAGAGAGAGGCAGACAAAGAGCGTTTCCAGCAGCTGCTGGCCAAAGCAGACGGGCCGTGAGGACGCGACCGGGTGGCGACGGGGGGGGAGACCCACGGCGGCCGCATACGAGCACATAGACGGACACCCAACCAGGGGGAGCAAGTTCAGGAGGACCGCAATGGTGGAGCGACTTTCCACTGGACCAGGTGGTGGAGTGGAAGGGGAGGTGGAACGCCTTCTTCGTGAGCTTGGGGGGCTATTTGCCTCCAATCACATGGCCACCCCAGCTCCCCCTCTCGGCCGACACTTACCTGCACATGCGGTACCTCACTCGGAGTCTGGGTCGGGGAGGTGCTGCCAAAAGGGGCGGACATAGGGCCCAGTACGGCGGGGCTTCGCAAGGGTCCGCCAAACAGCCATTAGGGGGAAAAGGCCGGGTTCATGTCCGAAGGGGTTGCCTTCCTGGTCGAGCCCATGCAGTGGCTCATGCGAGTTCGCAGGACCCCAAAGCCCAACGAGGGGGAGCAAGGAGCCACCACACTCGTTCTGGGGTTTTACATACTCAGTTGGCACCAAATTGCGGCCCTGGTGGCGGGGGTAATGGATGAGGCCCCAATTGCACCCACCACGGGGGAACTCCTGGAAATCCTGGAGCTGGTCCAGGCGGGAGCGGCGCTGCTACAAGGAGCCAAACGGAGCCACAACTGGCAACAAACCCATTGGGCGGAGGATGGCGCGGAGGAGGCGGAGGCCCTGCTGCACACACTAGTCACTAATCACTACCATGAGCCAACAGAGGGGAGAAGCAGCCTCGCCATTTTCCGGAACTTGCTGGACGAAGCAGCCAAGGGGGTGGGGAAGCCAACACACCCAGCCGAGGCAACGCCGCGGAGGGGGGGCCGACCCGCCAGACCCACGGCTGGTAAACGCAGCCAAGGCGAGGCTACCTGGGGGTGCTGCGCATTACCCACCCGGACTCCTTCGGCTACACCTGAGTGGGGTGAGCGTAGGCGCAGCTTCACCAACCCCACCTCCCTACACCAAAACGACTAGCGCGGGCCCTAAGTAGCGATTAGCTCAGGCCGGGGTAGCGGTGATGTCGAGCTACATGCTGGTCAAGGGGGGCAGGGTGCTGAAGACTGCTCGCCGATGCCAGGCACAAACCGTCCTGTTCTTGCAGTGGTTGTGCAGGGTGTTAGGGGGGATAGTTCGTACCACAGGCTGTAGTACTGTGTTTTATGCACCAGTTGGAAGGGACGGCGAAGACCTGGCAGTGCCCAGAGTAGCAGGTTTGGGGGGTGGGAAGGTGAAGGCAGTGCAGTTGCGCAAGGTTCAGTTCGGGATCAGATGGGGAGGCAGGTCAGGTGGGGTTAAGGAAAAGATGTTCACGCTGCGTGGGGGTACAGAGCCCACTGCAGATCACCGGGGGTGGAGCCCCCCGAAGCAACGGAAGTGATGGAACAGACAATGATGAACTGTTGCAGCCCACTCTATAGTCGTCGGTAGTTCTTGTGCAGGAGCTTCGCAGCTACGCAAGGTTGAAGTCCCGGCAACGCGCCACTCCCGTGACTCCCGTGTAGCAGGACTGGAGAGACCTCGGATGACCCACCTGAAGCTTGCGGGTTTGGCAGGTCATGGTCTTAGAAGGGGTGTTTTGGGGGGACGGGGTAAGCAAGCTCAAGTGGGGGAACGAGCCTTTCTCTCAACCCCGGAAGGGGCCACTCGACCTGAGGATGTCGCGGACCGTTGTGGGGGTACACCTTGGGGTTAGGGTCCTCCGGGGCCCAGACCCCTCAGCAAGCAAGCAAGCAAGCAAGAGAGAGAGAGAGAGAGAGAGAGAGAGAGATGGGGGGGCCATGTGCCCGGGGCGTTTCGAAGCCCCGCATGCCCTGAAGAAGAAGAGAGCGAGAGAGACCGTAGCCATTTTGGCTCAAGTCATTTGCCGCGTCCTCTTCCGGGGGGGTGCGCTCGGCAGTGGCCCTGCGGGTAGGGAGAGTGTGGCTTCTCCTGGCCTGGGGGTGCCCGAGCGCTGCCATAGCTTTGGGAGTCGACCGGGACCGGAGGGCAAGTCTGCTGAACTACGCGTCTTCATCGCGGGGGCCCTGTACCGTGAGATCGGTGACCTCGGTCGACCTCGTGAACCGTTGAAAGGGGGGCATTGACACCCATTACTTGACCAAATTTGACCAATACAGTACCCGGCTGGAGTGAGCGTGACACTTATGCGGGGCACCGAGCATGCACACTTCCGGCGGGGGGAGAAGTGGAGAAAGCTGAGGAGGTGCAGGATTGAAAAGAGGGATCCAAACAGGCGACACCAAGGACAAGTCTGAGACAAAGGAGACAAGGACAGCTGACAACAGTGAGCGAGGGCGAGCAAGGAGCGTCGCGATCATAAAGATCGGCACCTCTTCTTTTTCGTACAGATCTTTCCAACAAGGTTCGTAGAGAGACGACTCTTCATTCCGTCCATACAGATCATTTCAACAGGGTTCGTAGAGAGACGACCCTACCCTTTCCTTTCACGCTTTTCAATCCGGGGATCGTAAAGAGACGGCCTCATGCAAGCTTTTACAGGGAACGTAAAGAGACGTCGGCCTGTACCAACTTCATTTTTTCTGGCACGTACAGAGGTCAAGGGGCCACATGGTGTTCTCTCTTGTGGGAAGGGTAACAGGCACATCCGGGGGAACGCGGGAAACACTCATCCCCGAAGGGGGCGCATGCCTGCATGTGCTCATACCCCTTGGCAAGCAAGCAAGCAAGAGAGACAGAGAGCGGGAGAGAGAGAAAGAGTAGCCATTTTGGCTCAAGCCGCGAGTGGTTCAAGGCCGCGCCAGTCAGAAAGAAAGGCCTGCTGTGCATGGGTGGGAGAAAAGGCGGAAGTGTCTCAGAGGACACGCCGCCACACTGGGAAGACAACGACTGCTCCGCTAACAGGCAAGCAGACACACCACTCGAAGACCAGGGCGAGGAGGGTGCCCAGCTCGACCAGTGGCCGTGGGGTCGACGGTTTTCGGAGAAACCCAATGAACTTAAGGGGGAACCACCAACGAGAAGCACGAGGCCGAGCACAGCCACAGAGAGGCGGGGAGCCACCGAGGAGAAGCCCGCCACAGGAACAAGAAACGAGGGGGGACAGGACTCACGTGAACCTGGTTCCCAACCTCAGCTGGCAAGTCCGCCAAGTGCAAGCGCACATGGCGAGAAGCTGGGGCGATTCGACAAGGTCCAGTCCTGATGAGCAGTGTGCGCTGAGGGGAGAAAATTTTGCTGCAATTTTTGGGGAAGCTGTTGGTTCAACTCCGTTTTGCAGTCTTCAGTCATGCTTGCAACAATCTTGCAACAGCCCGGCATAATTGGACGGGCCGCAGAGCCAAAACCACTACACTCGTTTGGCGTGCCACTTCGCCCCCTTTGTAACTGCAAGGGATCCTGTTGCCAATTCGATACGCTCTTGACTGGGGGCTTCTTTCCCCAGGCAAAGCTGCCCGTGTCTCTCTCTCTCTCTCTCTCTCTCTTTACGAGGTAAGAGGAAAGGACAGCGTCCAGGCACTCCCCCCGCGCGAAGGTTAGCACACCTGCGGCTGGCAGGTGTCAAGTTCCGCACCCAAGGATTTTCTCTATGTTTCCCTCCTTCCACACAGCCTAGGGAAGTAGCAGCCGCCACATGTCGCCAGCCCCTCGCGCGCAAGCACGCACTGGGTTGAGGGGCCGACTCTCTCTCTCTCTCTCTTGGCTTCGCTTCGCTTCTTAGGGAAGAGTCCACAGGTCGTGGACCCGCGCCGAGGCGCCCCCTTCCCCGACTCGGCGGTGGCCCTCCCCGTACTTTAGCCCGCGTCCCGGCCCCATCCCTGCGCTCACTAAAGCACAATCCTTAGTCCCTCGCCAAGCACACTCCCCCTGCAGAAACAACGGTTGGAAACAGTGGTTCCCCCGCCTTTTCAAGGTGAACCAACAACTGCAACACAAAACGTGCAGGTCACAAAGACAGGCGTGTTCCCCAGCAAGTCAACAACCTTAGGTAAAAGTCTGCAACAGTGTGGAAAACTAGCGAAAGTAGAGAGAGAGAGAGAGAGAGAGAGAGAGAGAGAGAGAGAGAGAGAGAGAAAGAGAGAGCGAGAGAGAGAGAGGGGGAGGATTGCTCCCCGCCCCATACCCCGAGCAAGGCAAAGAGAGAGCGAGAGGGAGAGAGAGAGAGAGAGAGAGAGAGAAAGAAAGAGAGAGAGAGAGAGAGAGCGCAGGGACCTGTGCCTTGCCTCCCACACGCCTTGCAATCAAGCAAGCAAGAGAGAAGATCTCACACCAAAAAAGGACGAGGACACTTGGCATCGCGCTAGCGCGCAGGGGTTGGGGACCTGCTTCCCCTACCCTAAACGCCGTGCAAGCAAGCAAAGAAGGAGACAGACGTAGAGACAAAGAGACAGAGAGCCAGACCGCCAAAGAGCTGTGGAAGGAAGGACAAAAATTAATCAGCTGCTGGAGAAGCTGCGCGTCGGGAAGTGCATGCCTGAACAAAGGAACATCGACCACTGTAGAAGACACGGGAAACAAAACGTCCGTGCAGCAATCCTGCCTGGCAGCCCGACGTCCGTCTATGCGACGTTGTCACAGCGAGGTCGTAGAGTTTTCGTCCTGATTTGAGTCATATATGGCCGGCACAAGCATGTCAAACACTGGTTCTATCACGAGAGTAAGTCCGTGTGGGAGTTGCAAACGTCGACCTTGATACGACCTGAGGAGTTCGTTCTTCGTGCAGTCCGCTGCAATGGCGATGTGCTTCGCTTCGCGGCAGGGTGGCACTCCCACCCAGAGGCCCCGAGAGAGCAAACTTTTGCCAGAGAAGAAGCAGAAGCAGACTGTGCAAAGCATGCGCACAAATGCAAGATAATGCAAGTTCAAGCGATGATTACGCCGTCCTTCAACAGGTTGCCTTGACAGCAGTGCAGAAGGCACCTTGGAGAGCCGAGCATGGCCGTCTCGATGGCGGGTGCGACAATCTTGGGATGTCTAAAGTGCCCGGAGGCGCCGCAGGCCGTGCACTTTGTGGATGCCTCGCTGCGTCAGACACCCGAGCGGCCCGCCGCAGTTCAGCCCTGGGAATGTTGGCTTACCAGGGCCATGACGACAGCCGAGGTTCGGGACAGCGGCAGTGATGGTAAATCCGTGGGTGTTCGAGCAGCTGCTTAGTGCTACAATGGACGGGCGATAACAGGTAAAAGGTTGTAGTCAGAGCCCAAGGCTGGGATCCCAACATCGGAACGATTTGGTCCTGGCGCTGCAAGCGGCGAGGGCGCAGCCGGCATTGGCTCACTTTGCCGGTGATTTCGGCAGAGAGAGCAAGAAAGCCGTGTCGAGTTGGCCACATGAACGCAATTCTTTGCATCTGGCGTGATTAGGTGAAAACATCAAAAGCGAGGTTTTGGCACGCATCCAGAAAGAGCAGTTGCTTGGCGGTGCGCTGTTTTTGGTCGTAAGTTGCGTCTCTCTTCTTCAGCTCGGCTTGTTTTTTGTGTGTGCTTTCGAGGTCGGAAGCTTTTGGGGCTCCGGAAGGTTATGTGGACGGCCCGGTGTGGTGGCTGCCCGAAACTCTGAAGTACAAGCACAAAGCGGCACAAGAAATGGTGAAGGTCAGTTTCGAAGCACACGGTCCGCCGCATGCGCATGTCCAAACACGACTGCACACTCAGCACTTTTCAGCGTGAAGCCGTCCTGGAAGCCTTTTTTGGATCGACATGTAGACTATGCAGACATCTCCTCCAACATGCCACTTGGCCGCAAAAGGATTTGAAATCAAGAACAGCTTCCGGGGACTTGGCAAGGCAGCGCCTGGAGCGCATGGAGCGTCGCGAGCTCATCTCACAGCTCAAGCGCCGATCCCCTAAAGTTGACAAGGCCGGGACCAGGAAGTGAGGGCTTCACGCATGCAGTCTTAGGCGAGTACCCGACCTGCTGAGGAAGTTCTGGCAGAGAAGTTGCTGTTTCCGAACGGGACATTGACCAGCAACATGCAGGCACGGGGGCCACAAGCCTGCAAACGGTCGAGTTGGACAACGTCCCAAATGGCCAAGGACATCATGCTGGGAATCTCTGGTTTCAAAGATGCCGGGGCATGGTATGCTGCCATACGTATTCTTGCGATCATGGGCTTGGAAGAGCTGGAGGTGGACATGCCCCTCGTGAACTGCGTGCAGCTCACCTGAATTGCAGTAGCAGTGATTGCGATGGAGAGGAGCTGCAGGCTTCGTTGCCCGAGCGGCATGCAAGGATATCAGCATGCAAGAATCGTGGCCACCAGCTGGCCCGGAAGATCATGTCGAACTTTGTGGCATCTGTATTTTGGCTGCACTCTCTGGTTCTATTGATCAAGACCGTTCTTTGTAGAAGTCCCCGGTGAAGACACTGCGGCGTCACTACGGGCTTCCTTAAGAACTCGTGTGTAACCGGTATCACTGTTGAGATGCCGGATTTCCTGATTTTGTTCTGCCGCAAACGGCCCCGGCCCTTCCAGGCCCTCCAGCCAGACTCCAATACATTTCGCTGCTCGTCAACACTTGGTCCAAAGGCGAGGCACTACAGTGCTCGTGCTGTGCTCGTGCTGCTTCACTTTCTGAGTCCGAGGCTGCGGTGCACTTTGCTGCACAGAGGACCAGTGGTCAAAGGCTCTTCAGTGGTTGGGTGAAGCCAAGAAAGCGGAAGTTCCGTTGGCCGGAAACGCATCCAAAATTAACACTCAGTCGGGCATGTTGAGCAGCAGCAATAGCAACTCAACAAACGAAGGTTACATGCTTCCGGCTCTTATGAAGTTGAAGTCATGCACGGAAGAGGGTCACGGGCAGGAGCAGTTGAATGCCCGGTCGATCACTTGTATTTATTTTGTGGGTTATCTAACGGCTTGCTGTTGGAGCTGACCTAGATACCGCCGGAACAGAGTGACCAGGTGACCCAACTTCTGCGTGTTTTCTTTCGCCATTATTGTGTGTTTTCCTTTTAAGCAAGGAAGGCGGCAAGCAAGCTGGAAGCCATCAACCGACACCGCTTCCAACAAGCCGGCAATTGAGAATTCAGGCCGAGAAAAGCACACTACCCACTAGCAAGCAAGATCCTTATGTCAGGTCCTTACTCAATGGTTGAGGCGGACAGCGAGCGAGGGGATCCATTCAAGGCCCCCTCCACGATACAGTTGGGGGGGTCCCCCATCGTCCGCTTCAGGTCCCCCGCCTTCTGCCCCCATTAAGAGCATGTGCACCAGTTTACGACCGGAATCACCCTTTTGCAAGAAGTATCCGTCACCGAGTATCTTTGCCACTCTGCGCACGGATGGTTTGGCCCAGTCCAGAAGCGCTGTCTGGTAAGGGATGCACTTCCACCGGGGCCGAGCTGTGATTCTTTGGCATGCTTGGTTAGGCACAGACTACTTGGTTTGACTGCAGCCTCTACTGCACTTGCCTCAACGAAGATCATCATAACACACGGACTTCGAGGCGGTCTGTTTCCAGACGGTGCATTCTGAAGTCATGAAAGTCTCCGTTCCAGGCCCAGCTGGTAAAGGTAAATACTACACAAACAAGACTCGCAAACTGAGAGTGCCTTGTGCCAGGCATCCAAACCGCCGGACTCGAGGGAATTCGACACCTCCTCGAAGCAAACATTCCCGCGTCAAATTGATGGTCGAAGTACCATCAGGCCAATATGTATGTTTTCCAGTCCACCCTCGTCACTGACCCTAAAACTCAACAGCGGACATGCGGTTGCGCGACTACGTGTGGGGATTGCCACCTAAGGTCCGGCCATTAAGGCCCACACGAAGAAGCGACAGAGAGAGACAGACAAAGAAGAGAGAGAGGGAGAGGCGCCCCGCGAATAGCGGGTGTGCGCTTCGCACGGGGGGAAGGGCCTGGATGCTGCCCTGAATCCCAAGCCCGGTAGAGAGAGAGAGAGAGAGAAGGACTGCTTGCGACCCACACCCCGGAGCAAAGCGACAGGCAAGACTTTAGGTTAATTTCTAATCGCAGCTAGTAACTAGTAAACGATAATTCGCATGCGAATGCAACTTGAACCGTCGTGACCGTGATATATGATTTGTGCGCGCCGACATCAGCGAGCGCCGATCGTGTAGAATATGGACCACCCTTCCGAACATTCAACGGGAATTGATGAAAGGCCCTTTCAGGTTCATGATCCGCAAGTTTGACACGGGCCGGCTGAGTCAACACTGTGGAGCATCTTGCGATATCCTACGGGTTCTAACGTGCCCGAAAGACATGCCGGCAGCCGAGGAGTTTACACGGCTGCTCGATGCTTAGCTTCAGCTCTGCGTGAGACTTTTGCATTTGGGACTTGTCGCCTATTGGTTTATGGGTGCCGGCGTGCCTTGCTCTGTCAAGGTGATGAGCGTAGCTCGGAGAGCACGGTGCTGGCATGTAGCGCTCCCTTTGCTGGAAGACATGCAGCATGACAGCAGCCATCAAAGATAGGTGGCGGTTCGGGTTCTGCCTTCCGTTCATGCAAGCCTGACACCGCAAGAAGCCGTGGAGCTTCAAGCAGCAACACGTGCGAGGCAGCAATCACACGAGGCGCCGGACCGAAAATTCTTCAACTCGGCCCTCTGGTCCTGCAGTCGAGGACACTGGGAGGCACGGAGTGCCATGGAGTGCTGGAAGTTGTGAGTCCCAGCTCGCACATTCTTGCCAGGTTTCCATTCAGTTGCTGCATCGCATGGCATCCGACGGAGTGCCCAGCGAGCCGTTTACCTACTTTGCGGCTGCACAGGTGTCTGCTCATCATACCCATTCACTACCATTCCTTCAGTATTCCTTCCGGTTGGTGCTGATGCTGCTAGAAGTGTCTTGTCTCATACACTCTTCTTGAGCTTATGCCCCATCCATAAAGACCTCCCACAGAGGGCTGCCCTTTACCTATGATGCATGGACCTCTTCGCGACCCGGCACACCCTGTCACAGGCCCCAGCGCACAGCCGGCCACTCAATAGCCAAGACCCCTGTCGAGAGAACTAGTAGTAGTAGTAGTAGTAGTTGTAGTAGTAGTAGTAGCAGCAGCAGCAGTAGTAGTAGTAGTAGCAGCAGCAGAAGTAGTAGTCGTAGTCGTAGCCGTAGTCGTAGTCGTAGTGGTGGTAGTAGTAGTAGTAGTAGCAGTAGTAGTAGTAGTAGCAGCAGCAGTAGCAGTAGCAGTAGTGGCAATAGTAGAAGTAGTAGCAGTTGTTGTTGTAGTTGTAGTTGTAGTTGTAGTAGTAGCAGCAGGAGTAGTAGTAGTAGTAGTAGTAGTAGCTGTAGTAGTAGTGGTAGTGGTGATAGTGGTAGTAGTGGTACTAGTGGTTCTAGTGGTACTAGTGCTACTTATGGTACTTATGGTAGTGGTGCGATCCTTGCTACACGATGGCAATTGATCTCATCTCGTAACTCGGGTCTGTGGACGGGGCCTGTGGGGGGACTGTCCAATGCCAGCTTTCACCCATACCGACTGACTAGATGGTTTCAGCAAGCACGGGACAGCTCCACAGAAGGCAATGACCACGACAAATGTGGCATTCTTCACATGGGTTCCGCGTTTGTGCTTCGTAGCCGATGTAGCTACTGGTTCTTGGCAGGAGCATCCTGATCAAGCCACGGCTTCCTGCATGGTGCAGCAGCTGCGGCGCATGCGCCGGCATTCGTTGCAAGTTGACATCTGCCAATTTGCAAAAATGTTGGCCCACTATGCAAGTGATGCCGTTACTTGTCTGAGAGAGCACACGTTTTGACTTCGGCTGTTCGGTGCCAGACTCGCTAGACATCAAGGAATGGCCTGTTTTGCGGGAGGCGGTACTCGAAGATGGAGGCGAGGTTCTGCTGGCCGCGGTTCCCTTTGCACTCGTCTTCTTTTGAGGCTTCCTGCTGCCGTTGAGACGGCGCTTGATGCACACCTTTGCTGAAGATATCAGCTGGTACCAAGCACATGCACGTGCCAGCAAGGAGCTGACCAGGCGGATTCTTTGTCTGGTCCGGTCACGACTTGTTGTAACCTCTCGCCCGAAACCATATCAGTTTTTTTCCGCTGCTTCGGCCGAGTCTTTGGCTTGTGCGATACAGGCAGTGGCTGGGTTTGTTCCCGGAGACGCAGTACGAGAACTGGAGAAGATTGCGAAAAAAACTGAAGATCTCGGCTTGAGTGGACTAGACCACAAGACTCAGACAAGCGCCCACAGTAAACGTGGCGATTGTCATGTCATGCTGTGCTCGTGCTCACATACGAACCACGGAACAGCCAATTCTTGCGAACTCAGGAAGCTTCGTCGCCCCGATCCGTTGGACTATTCTAATTTGGGTGCCCATGCTGGAGAGGGTGTAGTCAGGGCGCATTAGCTCCGGTATGTCTATAGGTCCGACAGCCCATGGGCACCTGCTGCCCCTGCGCGAGGATACATCCGAAACAAAGTCTTCGAGAAAGATCGCTGCGCCCAAGTTGCCTGCGTGCTCTTCGGGCCGGAGGCTGTCACGCATGGCCTCACAGAGAAGGAGCTGTGGATGTTGTGGGTGTTGCCGGCAAGTCTTGACTACACAGAGGAGTCTTGCGTCGTGGTGGACATTGGTGGAGGTCCTGGGATAGCAGCACTAGGACCCCAGACCGCAAGTCGCAAGATGTACAAACCTGTCAATAGCCTTCGATAGCCAGCATGCTCAAAACTTGTGAGGAATAGCTGTCTATGCAGGGCTGCAAGGGTGGCCAGTGCACCTGGAGCATCATGTCATCGACTGCGAAGATGCTTCTAGGTAGGGCTTTGGGACATTTTATATTTTCCCTTATTGGGTTTAAGAGGATCTTATTTACTAATATTTTTCAACGGCTTTAAAGGCCCCACCCAGGCTTGGTCCCAGACCATTCTTCGACTTCAAGAAGTGCTACAGTGCCTCAGCTGTTTTTTTGCCTCGCATTGCCTACTTCGGTCTGTGCGATCTTTCGAAAATCTCTGCGGCGCTCTTGTTCATCAGGCATTGGCATTCTGAAGCTGACAGGCCGCGGACGGACCTGTACTTCCATCAAGGCAGTGCTGCATGTGCGACTTCGTTTACTCAGAAGATGCTGAGCTTGTAGGGCTTTCGACAGGTCAGCTGCTGAGCAAGAAGTTGGTGACGGGAGTGCCATCTCCTGAAGACACTGACGTCTTCCTTTTTTCTTACGTGCCCCGCTAGGGGCCTGGACATGTTTTACATCCAGATCATGGGTTGCAAAGGTGTGGATTTCAACGGGCATGCCTGCTGATATTCACTTTCTCGCATGGGTGGGGAGAGGGTGTGCTGGCGCATCTGGGTAAAGGCCAGATCCACACGGTCTTGATTTCAATGCCTCAGCTACTTGCATTGCCCAGAGCGCAGATTGCTGAACCAAAGTCGGTGAAATGGGATGCTCCACACCAGCACAAGGTGGTTGCGGGCATCTGGCCGTCAAGCATGAGTCAAGTACAGGAGTTTGAGTATCCGAGACGCCAGAAAGCTGAGAGCGAATCAACTGCGGACGCAGAGCTCTTGTTTTGCAGGTATTGCACGAGAATGTGGAAGCTCTCCGTTCGAGAAACTTTGGGCTGCTGTCAACTTTGCTTCAGGCCACCTGCGAATCACCCGTACGAGTTCGTTCATCTCTTTACACTGCGGAGGCGGCGCGGCCGGGTGCCATCTTCCTTTTCCTGGACGTCGAGGATACGCTCTGGTCCGAAATTGCTGCTCTGGCAGCTTCCCTTGGGAGGCCGCTTGCTAAGCTTGGCAGGGAATCAGATTTGTCAAGATGTTGCTGGCTAAGGTTTATGGTGCAGCTGCAGCAATTTCGGAAAGATGACTACTGGCTGATACTGCAAAATGCCTGCTGCGTGTGGGCTGCCCTGCTTACCTTCAAGTGCCTGCACGCTTGCACCGCTTGCGAGTCAGCAGCTTCGCTGCATCATGGCTGCGTCAGGGACAGTTGTAGTTTTGCCTCCAGCCAGGCAAGCCAGCAGCTTGCTACCCACGTGCCCTTTCACACACGAGATGGTTTTAGACGGCACAGCCGATACGGGTAGCTTTGGTAGCTTCAGCACCTAGCAGGACTAGCAGACCAAAAGCCCAGCGAGCACAGAGCCTCATGCAGTAATCCAAGTCCGAGTGTGTAGGAGAACTGTAGCGCTTCTTGTGACTGGGCCCTGCGCTAGCAGCTCAGATAGCTTCTTGCGGTACGGGTTGAACACAAAGAATCAGGGAATGCCTTCTGCTTCCATCGAGGCCTTGGAATGGGCAAGGCAGGCGCCAAGGCAAGTTGATGCTTGTGCTGCTGCGCTCACAAAGCCGAAGCAAGAAGCCGAAGCTTGCCAGGCAGAGCCGAAGAATGCAGAAAAGGGGAAGGCGTTTCGCGATGCGTCGGCTGCGGTGTTGGGAATTGGGATTGGAGTGATGTATGTTGTTGTCTGCTTATGTTTTCTCCAGAATACGCATATGAGTTCAGTCCAGTTCAGGTCAGTCTGGCACCCTCATAAGATAACATTCCCGCGCGTGTTTCTGTGTTGTTTTCCAAGCCTTGCTTGTTCGCCAAGTCTTGCTTGTTCTACGATCTCCACCTCCATCGAAGCTAGATTCACCCGGCATGGTGCCAAGGTTTTTCTATTGCCATCTGTGCATTTGCCTGAAGTTGTGCCCCGGCCACACTCTAGGCTCTACACACTTCGGCAATATAAGTGCGTATTGCTGACACCTTGATGGGATTTGCAAGTACTCAAATCTTTATGCCTGCCAAATCATTACCAGCCTAGTGGTTTGCTTCGACCATCTGTGAAGGCAGGCAGTCAGAAGGATGGCAAGTCCTCAAAGCCTGACCCAAAGGTTGAGACCAAGGCAGAAAGTAAGGACAGCGGGAAGTTGCACTTGCAGAGTAATTGATCCATCCCAGAGCCATTCTGTGTTTGTAAGCCAGCTCCGTTAACAGGAGGCCAGCAAGGCTGCCGAGAAAGCAGACGATCCGAAAGCAAAGCTGACAATTCCTTGGATTTTGCTCTTGACATTGGGCATTCCATTCCTTGACATTCCTTGGCTGGTATGTTGTGCATCGGATAAAGCTGGCGACCGAGGGCGGAGGAAGCCAGACAGAAGTACGCAGACGACGAGCCGGGCACTCCGGAGTCTGCTTCGGAAGTGGCATGAAGAGAGGCGTACGCGTGCATGCGTGAGGCCAATGAAAACATGTTCACTTGTTCGCTGCAGCTTTCCAGAGAGTAGCGCATGAGGCCTCTACGATAGTTGCCGGGGGCGCTTCGGGTGGCTTCGCTGGGGTGGTCTAGAAAGTTTCTTTCAGTTCGAGGCCACTTTCGGAACTTCCTGTGCCTCCTCCCGTTCCGGCTGACTTGTTGACCGCTCCCTCGAATCTCCCCAGTCTTCATTCGGCTTAAATTGAATTCTTCTTTGCCCTCTGTTGGATTCCGCCGGGCCTTCCAAGGCGCAAAGACTATTGGGGAAGTCCTCCGACCAAATCAGGCAATCAAGCTTGAAACGGAAAGGCAAATACTTTCGAATCATGCACAACGTTTCTAAGTCATGCAATGTCATTCAAAAAACTTCAGCTCTCTTTTATCAGCCTGAAAACCTACCTTCCTGAAGAAATACCTCAATTGCACTAATGATACTCGTTTTCCGGGACCGAAGACACCACGCCGGGCACTTTTCCGTCGACCTCGCGGGAGCCCTACGCTAGGCTCATCGTCCAAGTCTGGCGAACTTTGAGATCTTCAGAGCCTGTGACGACGGTGTGGCCGACTCTCTGGTGCCTTGAAGATTCCTGATCGTCTGAAGCTGCTATACCGTCGCGGGAAACCCGTCGCTGACATCCAGTTGACGATGCGTTTGCAAAGCCAAACTACTTGCAGGAAGTCCGCTGAGTCCGTTCTACCAAAGTTGAGTGCAACAGCCAAGCACAGCATTCAGTCTGCTGTTGCATTGCTCCCGATTCTTCTCCGCATGTCCCCAGCGCAGCAGCTGCTACGGCTTCGGGCTGTCTCTTAGCTGTTGGCCGGTTCGGTTGGTTGGAGTTGAGCTGGGTGAGTAGCTTTCGGGCCGGTGTGCGCCGACTTCCAGACTTTCTTGTGAACCGGATAAAAACCAGATCGGATCGGAAGCTCACCCCGGAGTTTGAGCTATTTGAGTAGCTTTGGGGCCGGGGGTGCCCGGACTTCGAGCCTGTCTTCTGAACCGGGTCGGAAGCAGCAACGAACGAATTAGCATGTCTTTTTGTTGTGCGTGTGCGTGTGTGCGTGTGTGTGTGTGCGCGCAAAGAACTTGCTGTGAGCTGCATGGCCTTCATCAGACAAATGTGCTCGAGCAGTCCGTCGGCATTCCGACACGCCGTCGTCAAGCCAAAAAAGACGCATGCGTTTCCATCAAGGACGGTTTTCGACTGAAGCGTCGGCCATCCAGAGCATGGCCAAGCCAATGGATTTTCCAACCGTTATGTCAATTTTGGTGCGACCGGGAAGAACTTGCACATGCGGCGAAGGCCTTGATTCCGCAGTGACATAGCCGAAGAGGGTCGTTAGGTCTTTCGTGTTGGACCGACGCAACAAATCGATGAGGTGGAGTGGGAAGCATCGGCTGGACGGTGCTGAACGTGACAAATGTCTACTATATTTGCCGTACATTGCTGAGCCTAGCTGCTACTATCCTGTACGCCAGTGTGTGCCCAGTAAACGCAAGGGCAATTTGGTAGCCTTTTGAGCACCACAGCAATCATGATAATCAAGCTCTGCAGCCGCTTATATTGACAGGTAGTTTCACCATTATAATTATCCCGCCGTTTGAGACTCAGTCCATTCTACTGTGGCTAGCGACAGGCACTGTGGTACTTGGTCTGCTGCAAAGGACGAGGCCCAATCCTCCACGTGCCAGCACCTGGCCCCTATCCACTAAGTGATGCCATCTTCAATCGTCTGGCCCGTAACCTCTCTATCAAAATGTGCCATCCAACGGCTACGGTGGGCAGCCGAAGAGGCCTCACTTACCTTTAACTTCATCTCGTGCTGAAGGTAAGCCATACCTCGTGTACGAATCATGTCCTTGTGCGCTAAAATCATAATTTCATTTCCTTCTTCGTTTTCATCAGCATCATCATCCTCATAACCGTGTAGAGCGACCCAACGCGTCGCAGGAAACGCGGCGCAAATTTGTTTCAACTTTGCTTCACTAACACAAGGTGTGTACATTTCTATGTCTACTACGTCTACGTCGATGTCTATGTATGTATATGGACATGCCCTCTCAGTGTGTGTGTGTGTGTGTGTCTGTGTGTCTGTGTGCTTGCGTGTCTTGGTTCATCAAATGTGTAATCCTTTTACCTGTGTGGCTGAGGCGGGATGAATTGGCTCGGGTCGAACTGCCTTGGCCTCGGGAGTTATATGTGACGCCTATGGAACGCATATTTGCATGCTGCGATTCTGTCCTTCCGAGGCGCAAGCTCAATCGAGCAGCGAAGGTGTACCCGGCTTGTGGTTTGCTCCACTGACAGTCAGAGCGGCCAAGTTTGCCATGTATCTCCGGGCAGGCTTCGGGCTCGCAGATGACAGGGCGCTTGGCCTAAGCTGTGTTCTTTTTCTGGTTAAGTCTTAATAATAAGCAGCCCGACTAGTTACCGCACGTGGCGGAGGATGATAGGTGGAAGGCCGTTGCAACACGCCACTGGCATCCCCAAACTGTCTTCATCCATGGAGCTAATTGAAGGCTGGACCTGTTTGTGCCTGTGGCGACAACTCCAGGAACAGAGACAAGAGCATCGCGCGTGTCACGCGATTCCAGAACAGGCGGCTGCAGTGAAATGCCGGTAGAACTCAGATTCCCAGTCTGTGCAGGTTGAAGCTTTTCAAGGGCGAAGTGGAGGTCGACGCCGTCATGAAAGACATTGTGCGTGTCGCAGTGGTTGATTGTGTCGAGCAGAGAGGGTTCAATCTCATCCTGTGCCAAGGATGGTGTGGACGCGTCCAAATATGTGTCAGTCCGAGCCCTAGACGGATGTGTGAGACCAGCTCGTAGCCATGCTCCCATGTTTTCGCATGCTTCTTGGCTAGTTTTGTCAGTTTGGTTTCCCGCAGATTTGGTTCATGTGTGCCTGCTCCTCGTGCTGGCATCACTACCCTGGCTTTGATGGGCTTTCAATTTTGCGGTACGTAAGCCTTCCGTCAGCGCCTGACTAACAAACTGTATGAGGAAGGCAGGGTGGGCGGCTTTGAGCGTTGACTTCCTAGAGCACAGAGTTGCCTCACCATTGCTGTGAGCTTCAGCTTTTCTTACTTTCCAGGGCTTGGCCTTCACTTCCAAACCTGACCAAAAGTAGCTTTGTTGCTTTGCGCATTTGGTATCGGGGCACCAAGACGACGTGGCGTGAGATTGGCTTTCGAGCCTCCCACATGCGAACGAGAGTCACAGTTGAAACGGGAGAGTTTTCAGTCCCCGAAGCCTGAAACCTACCGAAGACCCTCAGGGGCGAACCTCTCCCACCAGAAGCTGACGGAGACTATATAGGAGAACAGCGTGCTTCCAGAAGCACAGAGGATCACGGAGGCGAAAAATTGATGTCACAGCCTTTCCAGACACACGCACACACACATTCATACCTACACGTACCTACATACCTACAGACATACACATGCATGCATGCATGCATACATAAGTCCACACAGATACGTATCTGCGTACTTACATGCATGCCTGCAGACACACAAACAAACAAACAACCGCACAAACAAACATGTTTTGAGTCGGAGCTACAGCGAACATAACCCGGCAGTCGCGTGGCCCTGTCGCAGCCACACGAACAAACCGACCAACATTTGACTTTGACTTTGGTGTGTTGTGCAGATGTCAGCTGTGAACTCACCCAGCAGTGAGTCACTCATCATGAGACAATGGCACATATGAACAACTCTGAGTTTAAGGTGTTGAGGGCTTTGCCTAGCTGACAGTGAAACAACTGTTCAATGTTCAGGGCCACCTGGCCGGGCGAGCTCCAACAAGCCTGTGGAAAAGGATTGACACGAACGTCAAACTTCCAATGGCTGGCAGGGCGAAACTTCACGACCTGGGTGGGGTCAGGTGGCCAGGATAAAGGGGGGGTGGGGGGCGTGCATCACTGCAGAGTTAGGTCGAGGGGAAACAAGGGATCCTTGTGTGGGAACCCCTGACCGCTTCGGCCGGGGCAAAGGCGAATTACAACAGGTTTGAAATTCTCCCTTTCCAGTGTGTGTGTGTGTGTGTGCAACCTGCCAGAAGCCTCTCACTGACAGACCAAAGCTGAGACAAAGCAGAACTTTCTCACTGAAGGGCTACAAGCTTTGTGTGGCCGAGGAGCTGACAGAGTGCATCCTGGAAGCCGCTGGCAACTCTTTGAAGCTCAAGGTCGGGCATGTCGACTTGCATCCTGCCGAAAAGCGGCTGACATCCTCTAATGCTTTCTCTAGCGCAGGAGTTGAGCTCTGTCAGCAAGATCTGCAGCAACCTGGTCGCACCCGGGCTACCACGACCCCAGTGACTGTTGGAATTGCTTGCCCCTGGCAAAGGCAGGCTCAATGCGACATACGAAGAGCATCAGCCTCGCTTACAGGACAGCGTGATTGTGCTTCGTTGACGCATCTGCACAGGTTTGGAAATCTGCTGGGTAGAGGCCTCCTCAAGGCAGGCAGTGAGAGCAGCCTAGTGAAAGTTTGCGAATCGTGCATTTGGCTGAAGCTGCCCTGAGCCGAGAGTGCCGGCTCAACATTGCCATTCCCCCAAGGGTACGGGACACCAGGACACCACAAACAGACCACAGTACAAGCAGTCAGGCGTTAATAAGCTCAGAACACAAACCTGGCCAGCATGCGCGAGCATATTTGGGTTCGATTCCTCACAGTGGCGGGGAGCCCGACAATGCTAAAGAAGAACATGCTGGAACCAGCATTTGGGCTCGATCTATCTCCGACTCCGAGAGCCTATCTCCGAGAGCATGACCAAGAAGTTACGTGCGGTGGGAAACAAGCTGGCCGAGGTGCCGTTACAGCGTCCGCTTTTTCTCTGCACCTCGGGGGCGTGGAGCAGGGCACGTACAGGGGAGAATGGCGTAGCCTCTGTGTCTTGGGTGTTTTTTGGTGTGTTTTTTGTCAGGGCGGCTGGGCTGTGTGTTGTTTAGCCGTTTCCGGTTTGGTTCACCCAAGCACGAACGCAAGCAAGCAACCACCCAGGGAAGCAAGCAAGCAAGAAAGCACGCCCGCACGCCCGCACGCCCGCACGCCCACACGCCCGCACGCCCGCCCGTGCGGTTCAGGGTTTAGGGTGTATAGGGGAAGTCCAGAGTCAAAAGGGTTTAGGGATTTAGGCAGAGTCGCAGCAGGCCAGTTGCAAAAGGGTTTAGGGGCACTCACGTCTGCGCAAGCAAGCACCCGCACGCACGCGCACTCACGCGTACACACGCACGATCACGCCCGAACACGCCAGATCACGCCCCGACCACGCCCGATCACGCCCGATCAAGCACGATCAAGCACGATCACGCACGATCAAGTGCTTACGTGCAAGTACGCAAGCAGGCACGCAGACACGAAGGCAAACTCTTCCAGGTCCAGGTACACAGCACATCTCTTGTCAGCATGTGCATGCGGTCGAGTACATGATAAGAGCAAGCAGTGAAAGACCCACGGGGGGGGCGGTCGCAGGAGAGTGCAGTAGTAAGCATGTACGTCGTCACATGCTTGTCTGTATGTCAAGCCTGTCTCTAAAGAACGGCTTGCCGGCAAACCTACAAGGGGCTAAGGTGAGAAAGAAGCGGCATCAGAGCCGCAGGAGACAAGGGAAGGGATGAAGGAGTGAGGTGGTGAGGATTGTGTAATAGCAGTAGCAGCAGACACAACCGCCCCGATAAAACACACACAACTAATCTGGAGACCCTGTGTCCTGGGCCGGCCATGGGCCACTGCATGCCGCTGCCGTACTCATGACCTGTTGATTCGGGCCCCACATGGGCATTGAAGCCTCTGCGCAGGATATCCTTATCCTACGCTATTCGGCTCCATTATATGTAGAGTTTATTTGTGATATCCCTATCTCCATTCTCGCTTGTGTTCCTTCTGGCGGTTCTAGTTCCCTGGACCCAAGAGTTTTGACTTTGGTGAAGCTCGTCAGGGCTTATGCTGTTTGCGAATGCCGTACCTGAGTACCAATCGATCGGAATCTGTGCATGGCGCATTCTTTGACTGCTCATTGCAAAGAGCTCCACGAACAAGGACTTTCCGTTGATGTCTTGCTCACTTGAAGCTTGCGGCTCAGACATGTAACGTGCAAGCTCGCAGGCCTTCGGCTCCACACCTGCATCAGAGCTTAACCGGAGACGGTTTTTGCTTCGTGCCACAGATGCATCTTACAAGCAGAGCCAATCCACGGAAAAGTGGGTGTGATTGTCTGAGGAATGTGTGCGGAGCTGTCCCTCATAGAGTGCGTGCGAGCCCGAGCAATGTGCTTTCGTCCAAAGGCTCATGCACAGCCAGACTGTGCTTCTCAGCCCAGATCTCTGATCATTACACGCTTTCGCAACATGAGCTTCAGCAACTCGCAAAAGCATTCAGCCAAAGCCATGGAGCCAGCCGTTTTGTACAGTCCCATGAGACTCGCAGTTTTTCGGAAGCCGATCGCGGTAAAAAATACCGAGAGCTCCAAGGTACAAGCTGCGAAGCCGCCACTAGTGGAGATGTTTACAGAGCCAGGGTCTTGTTGGCTTTGTATGCACATGAAGTGTGATCGCGACGTGATTATCCGTTGCACGTGGCTCTCACCGAGGTTGTGCGATATCTCTGTTCCAGAGGAACAGGCTAAAGCTGGCTGTTCACAGTCCACTCTTTCAATAGAGACTTGCCCATGATTGTAGCCGGTGCATTCGCATGCGTTTGACCACACAGCTGGTGACGAACTTCACCATCATCTCCTCGCTCGCGCAGAAACACGCAGTCAGCTGTCCTGGACCCAGCCTGCAGATGATTGTCTGTGTCAGTAACGGCTTACACGGCACGAGACAGGTTTCAACATCGTCCCGACAAAGCAGCAAGCCTATGCAGAGGTGTTGGGAAAGGACGACTTCAAAACCACGGGTCACCACAGCTCGAGCATGGGAAGTTGTCTTGAAAATCGCAACTGAAAGGCATCATCACACTTGGGAGACACGGGACCTCACTGATTCGCCAGCTGACCTTGTACTCCTGTTGGTGGATGCACTCACGACGAGCATGCTTTTTTGTCGCAGCTCCCCGAACAACGCCAAAGCAGTCCTCTTTCTGATCAGGTATTCTGCAGCTGGCATGAAATTCGGAAGCATAGTTCGAAGTTCACAGGACTGGCCGGAACGGCAATGTGTCTTGGAAGAGGCCAAGTTGTGCTGCAACTTTCCCCTTCACCGCTGCCATACGACTTGTTGAGGCATCCCGCAGCAAGCTTCAACAACTTGCCGTAAATGTCAAGACCCCAGAGTGCCAGCCTGCGACAGTTTGGCGGGGTACTGTCGTGGAGTTTGAAGCGCAAGAGTTGCAGGCATATCAGTCAGCTGCTGGGGGCCTCCTCAGAAGTGCACACAGCAGATTACTAGAGCAGGCCATATGGGTTGTCATGATTGCTGTGGGAGCTCGGAGCATCGATAAACTGTTTCAGCCAGAAGCTTGTTCTCGTTGCAGGAGAAAACAAACCAAGCCCTGCGCGTGGACAAGGGCCAGGCAGCGACCGAAATGATTGCCGAGAGCTTGATGCTCGTCTTGGATGCTCTTCGAAAAGGTGGATGCTGAAAACGAGCAGAAGCATACCCAGCTCAAGGAGGCTTTGCAGAAGATAGAGGCGCGGCGCCTCCCCCTCCGAGGTGCTGTTTCTGTCGAAACTCTAAACACTAAACATTCCAACGCAGTCGACGCTCACGACCTTGTCTGACTTCCTGAGCCAGACCCGAGCTGAGAGGGAGCACCAGTCGTCGGCAGTGGCGAAAACTGGCCGACTGAGGCCAATGCCAACCACTGTGGAAGAAGAGGAGCCCAATGTGCCGGATTCTAAGTACTGGTTACGCCGCGTGACCTTTGCGAAGATGTCCTGAACCCTATAGTCGGTGCAAGGTCACGCGTTGGAGCTGGTGAGAACTCCAAGGACCTGCTATGAGCACGGCAGCTCCAGCGACGCACGTGAGCTGTAGGACTGTAGGATGTGTAACAGTGTATCTGCACTTCGTCGTTTGTGATTCAGGAAGAAGCGCCGGAAGAAGAAGAGGTCCTAATCTTCGAGGCAGATGTTTACTAGCCTTTGACTTTCTCCGTGCCAGCTGAGCCAGCGGAAGGATTCAGAACAGCGAAAATTCTACGAAGATGTGGTCGACTTGAAGGAGCCATGCGTTTCCACGAAGAGCCGCTAGGATGCTGTTTCAGCAGGAATTTGAATGTGCTGACATGTTGCCCCACGCAGGACATCATCCCCGCGGTGTTGCTGACCTCTGGCAAGGCAGCTCAGGATACTACGGGAGATGACAAGGACGCATATGCTCTCCATCAGGATTGAACCAGAGCGTTTGCATCGGTATATAGAGCTCTACAGTCTGCTGTGATCGATTCCAGGAAAGCAAGCCGGAGAAACCGCCCGAAGAGAAAGAAAAGAAGGATTTGTCAGCAGCTTCAGCCAATCGGACTGCAAGATGGCCTAAGCTATGGAGCTCAACTGCTCAGAACCTCCATTGCTGCGACAGCCAAGGACTTTGACTTGTACCTAATGCGTGTGGCCAAAGCCGAATCAGCAAAGCAGGCCTTCGAGAATGGGTTCATTCAAAATCAGCACTCAGATGCGAGTGATGTGGTGAGGCTACAACATGATGTTGTATCATCATAGAATCATAGGTGTTTGTCTGCTATGGGCGCATCATGTTTAGAGGGTACCATTTCGGGCTGCTGCCACGCTTTCATCTTGTGACAGCGAAGAATTCGCCCAGAAACCTGGGCGTGCGGTGCAGGCTAGAGTGACGGGCTGCCGTGGATTTGTGGGTGCTCCACAAGTATCGGGATAGTGTCAGGTGCACAGCAGACATCAGAAGCAATGTTGTGGGTAGGTTGCCCACTTCCGCGCGAACTTTGCCCGCAGCTCCCCCCTCCCTCCCCCCCTTCCAAAACACGAGCCCCGCCCCCTTCCCCGAGATTAACCCGCTTTGCAACCAGAATCCCCACTTTACAACCAGAATCCCCACTTTATAACCACAGACGCTGTTTTCGGTGTGAGAATCACCACTTTTCAACTGCCGATCCTCAGTATGCCCACTTTGCAACCCGTCTGCTTGTGTGTGTTTGTGTGTCTGCCAGCCTGTCGTTGATGCTATGATTCAGGCCAATTGGAAGTCTTCCGAGCTTCCTAATTCCGTGCTAGTATTTTTGAAAGTACTTGTATAGGCTTGAAATCTCAATCACAACCTCAAGTGTATATAGTAGCATTTGAGGTTCAAGTATTGGTTTCAATATGTATGTATCTGTATTTGAAACGATGTCCACTCTGGTGAGAAAAGAGTCCGTGCATGAAGCGTGCTGATTATTCTTTAATGTGCTTCACACTCCTAGCCTTGCCTGTGGTGGGTTGGTGGGTTGTTGTTTTGCAAAATCAGTTTTGCAATATGTTTTCCCAAACACAAGCACACGCACAAAACAAACAACAATTTGAAAGTATTTGTATGGCATGTACATGTACATTTCGGCTTAAGAACGCCCACATTGCAACCAGCATTACTTGCCAACCTGCATGGTTGCTGTAAAGGATGACGCTGGAGGTTCCAGGCTTTGACGTTGTCAGTCAATAGGTTTATTAAGAAGCTTTCGCAACCGGTTGCAAAGTAGGGATTCCGGAAAAGCTTCTGGGTTGTGAAGTGGGGACTCTGGTTGTAAAGAAGGGATTCTGGTTGTAAAGTGGGGTACACGACCCCCTCCCCCCCTTCTCCCAAAACACAGGTTTAGGGTTTAAGGTTTAGGGTTCAGGGGTCTGCTTCTTGTCTCCACACTTCGAATGTGGGGATTACCGGGCGGTGGTAAAGGCCCGATGCAAAAAGGGTTCAGGGGTCTAGGGTTTAGGGGTTTAAGGGTTTAGGGGTTTAGGGGTTTAGGGGTTAGGGCTAGGGGTTTAGGGGTTTAGGGTTTAGGGTTTAGGGTGGGGGGTGGGGTGGGGGGGGTGGGGGGGTTGTATTGCCGTACGACCGTGAAACAATGACCTCTGTTTTGTCAAACCGACAGCCTGCACGTGGAGACTTGCACATGTGAGCGTTTGCGCTTGCTGCTGCTTGAGGTGGATGACATCGTGATTGAGTCTCTTACTTATTTGGCAAATGCACGAATCGACAGGTAGTTGAACCCGGAGTGTCACTCTTCCGCGATCCTTTTCTCAGATTCTTCCATGACTTTAACACGAAAGCCAATCGGCAGCGCCTGGCAGTTGGCTACTCAACGGTGGACTGCGCCAGCAAATGTCCAGCATATTTCAGCTTTCGGCTCTGGCTTGGATGCCAGGCACACTTCTACAATGTCAGGTTCTGAGTCGGGAAGCAGCTTTCGCGGCTCTAGCTGTTACCGGTGGGCCACAAGCTGTTGCGGAATAATGAGGCACACAGGACAAAGCAGTCCACGTCTCAGAGCTGCAATCTAGTTGGAGAGAGCGCTTGAGCCAACAAGCTAAGCACCATGGCAGATCTTGGCAGGCTGCACTTGCTCGCTCCATACTCCCGGATGGCCGCCATGATGGGGCGAAGATCCCGGCTTCAGAGCACTGTTCAGGGTTTAGCAGGCTTAACAGCGATGAAGATTGGTTGCTCAGGCAGTACATCAAAGACATACCCCAGCAGCTCATGTCTTGGCTTCAGCACGACCTTGAGCAGGCGGGAGCGGGACAAGGTAGCCGTCAAAGTTCTTGCATGAGATGCTCAGGTCATAGGCGATGCAAACCAGAACTTGCTGGAGCAGAAGGCAGTCATGGATTCAGACTACGTGGCTGCAGCCACTCGGGACCCCCCAACGTGCCGCAGGTCAAAGTCGTCAAGTATTTGTGCGAGCTATGCAAGCGGCGTGCCCAGAACTGCGCCTAAATGTTTTGAGATGACAAGCCCTTGGACAAGGTTCAAGATATGTCCTCCGGGTGTTGTGCTCGATGTCTTCAAGGAATCCTAGAGTCGCTTCAAGCAGCATCCTTTGGTCGGCTTTTTTGCTTCTCGATTCAGACTCTCTGTGACGATTTCAACCAGCAGAACGCTGAATTGTGCGCTAACCTGCTGCAGCCTGTTTCCCAGACGCTCTCGCAAGTGGACTTTGTCATCATTGTCCAATCGAAGTGAACTGAAGGTCCTGTGGCCGGTACCTGTTGTACAAGCCTGAGACAGTCTCAAGCTCAGCATCTGCCGAATCTGCCGATTGCCGATCCCGCAACCTGGGAAGCAAAAAATGCTACAGTAATGCAGCTAATTCTTTGCCAGGCCATGAGAACAGACAACTTGTTGGAGCGCATGTCGAAACCCTGGACCTCAGTGCAGATGGCTGCAGTGCAGCGGTCTGTCGGCGAGCTGTCGTTTCCTTTGTTTGTTTCTCCTGCTAAGGGCTCGCCTTGCAAAGGCAAAGTCTCTGCCGCTCAGGTAAGCAGTTTTCATTTCCGCCTGTGGCACGAGTCTTTCTGGCATTGCTCCGCGTCTGGCGCAGGTTGGAGATCATGCTGGAAGATGCTTTCTACCAGGTCAAGCCGCCTTGCCCCACAAACTGCATTTTGCAGGCCCCATTGTCCCATAGCAACTGCCCAAGGCCGGAAGGCAAACGAAAGCAGAAGAAAGAGAAGGACATCTTGTGTCAAGCAAGCAGCATGAAGAGCGAGTCGTGTTCAGGATCCCTTGGAGCAATTTGTAGAGCATTTGATCTTCGACCGACTCCTCCTCAGCTTGTTTGGCAATGGTTGGCTGTCGAGTTAAAGTGCAGCTTGTCAACATGAGCCCTCGACAAGGCCTCTACAAAGAGGAGGATGAGGACCCGTGAAGTGTTGAATCTCTTCCTCTTGGACGATGAGACGAAAAAGATTCCTAGGATCAGCTGCTCAAGCTTGCGCGCAAGCTGCCATGGGATGGTGGAGCCGGCCCGATTCATGCTTCGTTGTTGTGATGCAACAGGGTCCTGCCTAGTCTCCTTTTGCAGAATCGTAGGCAAAATGCGTGCAGCTTGGCTTAGCTGCCCGTACCTTTGCAGGTCCAGCTGTCGGATGGCTGAAGAAATGCTTGCTGGACGGCTCCGATTGCGCATGCGTTTTGCCGCAAGCCCAAGCTCTCTTGCACCGCGATTGCTTACTGTAATCAGCAAAGTCCGTGACCTGGCACAAGCGAAAGGGCCCACGTGTTGTAACAGCTATGGTGGCAGCAGATCTTGAACGTTACTGAGTGCCACACTAGCTCGCACACAATTCTGCGAAGCATGTTCGCGCAGGACTTAAATCATCACGCCAACTACGAGAATTTATCTTGTGCTGCGAGCTCAGACCAGATGATGCCTCTTATCGTCATGCCGGTGGTGATCAGCCAAAGCCAAACGTTCTTGCAGTGACTGCTCTAGGTGGCCTCTCTGTTGAGTGGCCTGGCCAAGTACCGTGATGCCTTCGTGATAGACGTGATCGATTCTCTCTTGGAAAACATCCAGGCGTGGATCAGTCCATTCGTGGTAGCTGGTAGCACTGGTAGTATATAGTTTGGCTGGCACAGGTGACTTTGGAGAGAAATGACTTTCGGGAGATGCCCTTAAGAGTCAGATTCTTGGAATGACCGTTTGTCCAATGCGGAAGCTGGGATCGCAGACCCAGGTTCGACAAGTGAAGCTTGTGGGTGAGCTGTACAACTACAGATTGGTAGATTCTGTCCTGGTTTTTGACTGCTTGTACCAGCCACGACCTCAGCTGGAGCTATGTGGACGAGCAGTGCAAAGCAGAAAATCCCCCAGGTTCATCGGTTTCGGGGGGCCGACATCGCATCGAGCTGGACAATTCATCACTGCCAGGGTCCCAAAAGAAGGGGCTGAAGCCGACTCGTCTCCATTGGTCCATGCTCTGCCCAGGCACATAAGCTGGTGGAGAAGGCCTCGGCCTCAGACTCTCAGTTACCCGGAAGCGAGAACAAGCGCAGCAAGCATCGACCGAGGGCTTGGCGATGAGGAAGGGTGGTCTCGGAAGCATCTCGGAAGAAGCGGAGGACATGACACGGGCATCCCATGTGTGTGCTTCCTGCCGAAAACACCTGAACCTGTTCCTAAAGCCAGGTCGAGTGGTTGGCAGACGTAGGAATTCCTGCAGCGGTCTGCAGAATCTCATCGGTTGGATAGTGGCCTCTCGCGATTGCAATCTGTCTATTGGGCCAAGCATGCCGGCCGAAGATTTCAGTTCCGCTGTCCCAGATGCTGCGGAGGACAATGAAGATGCCGGACAGCCACTTGCTCAGCATTTCGCGACAATATTGCGACAATAACTTGAATAGACGGGCCATTATGGGGCAGCCACAGTGGGGACCGAACAAAGGCTCCCAGAGATACTTGCAGATCCACAGCATCCTCTCGAGGCACTGGACGTGTGTTTGCTGGTGTGTCATCCATGCACCTGAGCACTCCTGCCTTGCTTGGTTCACTTGGGAAGGCTCCCTGGGATTTCTTCAGGATTAAATTGGCTGCCGCCTCGGTTTGTAGCACTCCACGGGGGTAAAGCCGGGAGTCTTCAAAGACCATGCTTGTGGATGGTCCGGCGGAGGGAGTTCCCCGTGTTGGAATGTGTTGGACAGGAGCCGCGGGCTTCGGGAAGAGGGGATGTGCTGAAGCTCATGTTTGGGAGGGTCCAGCCCAGCATCTTCGCTTGTTTGCGGAGCTTGGGTTGCTCGGAACTCGTTTGATTCAGCGACGTTGCTGCAACACGAGAAGCACAAGGCTAAGATGTTTATTTGCCCCTGCTAAGGAGGAGCTGGTTTGTACCGAAACCCGCGGCGATGCCCGAACGGAGTTCTGAAAGCATTGAAACTGATTGTTCTCGTTATCCGTTATATCCGTCCCAGGAAAAAATTCAGGCCGGAGGCCATGCAGATCCTTCAAGGTAGGAGCCTTTGGAACAGGCCTCGGTGTCGTTGCACTGGACCCAGATGGCAATTCTCGCCAAGCACCCTAGTAGGTTGAGATTTTGGACTGTATTGCAGAGGGTGAGTTACCGCGAAAGGTAGTTCTGTGGAGCTTGCGGCAAGTGTCGTTTACCGATTCACTTCAGTGGAAGTGGCCAAGGTGAAAATCGTGTCCAGGGCCTCATCTGGGCCTTGCACAACGACACCACAGTTAAAGTGCGTGGACATGGGCTCCAAATTAGATCCTCTCCCAGCTTGCTCTTTGCCCTCCACCCTGCCCCTGCCGTGCCCGAGCTACCCACAGCATTTTGTTTTTTGCGTGGCCGAGTGCGCCGACGAAGCAGGTTTCACGTCTGATGCTTGAAACAGTTCGTTTGCGCGCAGATCCTCCAAAGTTTTTCGCATGGTCGACATGTCCCACACATAGCATCGCACCCGGCTCACAAACGATATGCTAGTCGCTTTCCACAGTCATCGGCAGTCGCGAACAACAAGCCACACGCCGAGATAAAAGGCAATCAACTTCGGTGTCGAATCTGAAGTTCGCACCGTCCTGCCCCTAGCATGAGCTGTCCACTTCTTGCGAGAGGAGCGAATTGCCGAAACAGACGGGCAGTCCACAAAAGAGCGCCTGGGAACAAGAAGATTGCAGTCATTCACAGTCGAAAGGTCGTTCTCTTGAGCTGCATAGACTCAAACTTCCCTACATCTTGAAGTCTTGGTTCCTTGTAGGCTTTTCCGGGAGGTGGGCAGGGCGACGCTGCTCATTGGAGGGCGCTGCAACAAACGGGCAAAACAGGGCACTCGATCGAACGTGCATCCTCATCTCGATTGAGCTGAAGAAGAAACGGGCAGAGGCCAGTGAGCAACTCGGAGACCCACAGGTTGAGCTCTCCAGCATCGCATCATATGACTTCGTGTTGCCATCTTGGACTGACGGGGCCGATGCTCAGGTGTCGTATCTGCTCTGGACCCTAATACTGGACCGAGATGCATCTGAAACCAAAGCGCAAGTTACTGCTGGTGAGGAGGAGAGCATGTAAGCGCGAGGGTCCAGTGCAGTGCAGAAGGTCTGCGTTCTGCTTGAGACATGTGGGCATTACTTCGACCGCGGGGCTGTGCCGAACCCAGAAAGTTTTGATGCTACGCTTCGCTAGACAGGCTGATCATGTTTTGATGGCTGCGGCACTAAGTCCAAGCAGAAGCTCGATCGCTTCTTGACGTTCTTCATACGCTATGTCCACAGCAAGGTGCACCGTAACGCCGCTTTGAAGCCAGGACTTGGCACCCATGTTCTGCATACTAGGGCGAGCTGCCGCAGCGCTTCATGAACATGGTCTACGACACCTTGGAGAGGCTTAGGCCAGTGACCAGTCAAAGTGGGGATTTGCTGCAAAGACCCGACACTCAGGCCAAAGCTGACCTATCCAGAACTAAAGGCAGATGCGAACGAGGTGTGGCTGTGCTTGCATGTGGCCTTTGGCGGCTTCTCCAGTGTTGCCTGCGCGAGGCAGTGCTGCGACAACTTGACAAGGAGAAGGACGACGTCGATGTTGGAGGCTGCGTGTACGTAGGGCAGGGAAGGTCGTGTGCGCTTTAGTAGTGTAGACTCCAGGTGGAAATGCAGACGATCAGGATGACGATGAGGAGAACTCCGCAGCACATACTGGCATAGTCTGCAGGTTTGGAAATGCCCCTTGAAGCGTGTCTTGCAGTTGAGTCGGCAGGATGAGGAGGATGAGAGCTCAGATGAGGACGAGAGCGAATCTGTTCCAGACTTAGATGCGTTTCAAGAAGCTGAGTATGAGCCTCGCAAGGAGAAACGGTTCATAGTTGCTCATGCCAAGCATGAAAGCAAAGAACATGCCGAGGACGACGGCGAGGAATCGTCTGAAGAGGCCTCGGTGGTGAGACTTCCCCGTCGCAGCAAGCCCATCATACAGCAGTATGGGCAAAGCTGCAATCTCTAGATTGCTGGTTGCGCTGGGCAGGAGTCTGAAGAGGAAGATGACAGCGAGTCTGATGATGACGAAGCTGAGCTGCAGCCTTACTCTGCATCCGAACCCCGGCTTTACTTTCTATCATGCTTATGGACCGCGTGAGACGCCTGATGGTTGGAGGTACGACCGAGGAGATCATGAACAGCAGTGCGATTCCTTGTTGCCCCTGTCACGCCTCCGAAAGTAGGGCACAACCTCGCACCTGAGGCATGCTGCCGAGGATGACTTTGACAAGGAGGTGCCTCGATGCACCGAAAATTACACGAACTGCAGGCGGCTAGTGTATTCAACGCCAGGTTCAGCAAATGCTGATCGAGTCCTTAGAGAAGGAGAGGAATGCCCCTCGCGTACTGCCGGGCCCCTGGAGAGTTGCGGTGGCCGTATGTGGCCGTGGATTACCAAGTGGTTGAAGCAGGTCCGAGCTGCCGCCTCCGACAGTGATTGCAAGAAAAACCGAGCAGCTTGCGGAACAGACCTTGGATTCTCCAGAGCTGCCCAAGCTGTGAGTTTCTCGTGGCTGAGGAGTCGCCACTCGGTCAGTTCAGCCTCTTGCAGAAGCTCAGAGCTGAGACATGTGGGCTGAGACCTTGCAAAGTAGCCCTACAGCTGCTGATCTGAAGCGATCCCCGTCCCGACACTTCACGCCGTTTTCAGGAAGACAGGTGGCAAAATCTTGGCGAAGCAGCTGAGCATCCCAGATGATTCGAAACTATTGAGAGTCGGTGGCTCATTTTTCTGGACCGAACGGTTTGGAGCCAGCTTGTGATGCCAGGCACGGCAAGAGACTGTGGAAGAAGCTTCGCGGGAGCGTGAAGATCTCAAGAGGCCCGCGATGAAGAGGCTGTTCGAACGGGCAAACATGGGTCCCTGCTGCAAAGGTTTGTCATGCAGTACGAGGAGACTGGAGCAGGCAGGGCTTGCAAAAGCCTCCGTGACATGAGGACGAGGGTCACAGTCGTGTCACAGGTGATGCCTCAGGTTCCGTGATCCCCATTACGGCATGGCGCCCAGTTGAGCCCTGTGGTGTGGTGAGGGCCGCAGGTCCCATGTTGTTCAGATTTGCTTCGGCTGCTCGGTCCATCCAAGCGCCATGCGAGCAAGCTGTAGGCTGCGGATATGCATCCACATTGGGAAAGTGCAAGGGCTGCATGGGTGCGAGAGCAGCTTTAAGCTGCTCACCTTAGCCAAAGCCGAAGCCAAAGCGTTATCTTGTGCAGCAGTGCTGAAGTGGAGCAACATGGCCAGCCATGGGCCACTGCTCCTCACGTGGGTTCCAAGCCGACTGTTGCGACCGCAGATCTACGAATGACGGGAGCCCCTCGCGTGCAAATCAATAAGGTTTCACACAGAAATGCCAACGAAGCAGCGGCGATTCTTGCAGGCGCAAGACTGTCCCCGTTGGACGAAGCGGAGATGCAGGATCAGAAGGGGCAGCAGGAGCCGGGTTGCAGTGCGGTCCACTAGGCAAGGGACCTCCAGCATGCCACCTGCAGGATGACGCGCTTGGCGATGAACTTCCTAGAGAGCTTGCCGGTGCAGTTTTCGCAGCCACGTCTTCAAAGGTGCACTCATCACTCGATTCGTCGCAGATTCGCGAGAGCACGACCCTCAGATCTCTCAAGTGGCTGTTTGCTTGGGGTTGCGTTGGCGGGATGTGCACGAGTGTAGTGACGGGGCATGCGGCTCCAGAGCCAAAGGCATCTCTAAGCTTGACGAGATGGAAGCAAAGATCAGGAAAAACGGGCTGGTGCAAACATTCGGCCAGGCTGGACGATGGAAGGTTCGTTCCCGGAAGCTCAATGCAGCTGGCCTGTTGAAGGTCTTGGAATCTCGACAAGAAGAGTTCTTCATTCCGCCGGGAGAGCCCTGGGAGATGTGTGCATCAGAAACATGCGAAGGCGAAGGCTTGCCGCGGCTGCAAACCAGACCGAAAGTTGCAAGGACCTGAGCGAGACTTCGCTGCTTGACAGGTTGCGCAACTCCGCAAACTTCCACGTCACTCGAGCCAGAAGATGTCATCCCAAAGGCGAAGACTTTCCTGGCAGGTCCCTGACGACATGCTTTGCTTCAGCTATCCTTCAGTTTCTGTTTGGATAGGGTGGTCTTTCATGCTCTCCGATCTAGTCATTCTCATCCGTGGAAGATGAAGGAAAATTCCCTGTCTTTCCTGACGAGCCTTCACCGATTGCGCCCCCTGGTTTCAAATTCTGGCTTGGGGGAGGCTGGACTTGACAGCTGTGTGCCATTATGCCCGAAACAGACTACGGTACTGAGGATTGTCCCTCCGCCGCTGGAGGAAGACGTCGAGGAGGGTGCCAGACATTCCACTGCAAGCACGCCCAGGGCAAGTGAAGCCTTGACCGGCGCCGCTCCAGGCATCAGTCCGAAAGCAACTGTACAAACTCTACCATGGTTGCCTGCCATCTTCGTCTTCTTCCGCTCTCAGCTTCAGCTCTCCTCGAGACTCGGACTTGTCGGCATCATTACTCTTGCTGGTCAAGGTCTGATGCAACTTTCATGTTTTGGCTCAACAAAATCAACTGGGGATTTGGAGGTGTCGGCCAGGACGACATCATCGTGGCCAACGGAAGGCATGAGGGCAATATGCCCTTTGAAACCATATCTCTCACATCTGAGCCAGACCTGGCACAGTCTGATCGCATCTGTCCGGAGGGAGAAACTTGCCATCCGGATGTAGCTTCCCAGTAGATCCTTGCATACATTGCCGTCGCCAAGCCATTTGGGTGGACGAAATATGCGAATCCTGCTGTTCCTGACTTTGCCACAAGCTCACTTGATGTAGACACCTGCTCAGAGTTGATCCTTGAGCGAGGTACGGACAAGGGCTGGCAAGGGTGGCCGCAAAGGAGGCTCACGGTGGCGGGCTCAACGGACAAAGTTTAAAGGAACCAGAGGGTTTTTTGGGGCACCGATATCTGATTAGGTCTCGTGATGGCGACTACCTCAAGGACGAAGCAAGGTGGAAGTCACAAGCGTTTGCCACGGCCCACGGCGTGCAGGAAGAGCTGACTCCTGAAGAGTCCCGGGCAGAGCCGTCCGGCACCATGATGGGAGGCAGGAGATGCGCACATTAAGGGTGCATGTGGGCATCTGCCTTCTTGTCTTTGTGCTGCCAAGTGTGCACTTGTGAGGGGGGATCCTTGTCCGCTACGCCAGCAAGGGCAAAGGGAAGGCACTTCGCTTGCCGAGTCGAATTCAGCTGAGACCATCTATGAATGTTCAGGCAAGCAGCCTGTCCCTCGGTTGTTGGCATGTGCTTGGCTCATTATAGGCTGTCGGTGCCTGCTTCCAGCCCAAACAATATCTTTCCATGATGTAGGAAGGCCATTTTCGCGAAGAAGCGTCGTGGGAAGCCAGAACAGGTAGGTCTCGACTGGTCTTCGCCAGCACGAGCGGATGACACGGTCCGCACACTCGAAGTACACTCCGCTGCAACAGAGGTCTGATCAAGGCATGCAGGCAACAGTGATCGTGTTAGCGACAGAGAACTATCAGGCTCCGCCTCCTTAGGACTCGACGTGTGAGTGCATGGATCGGAGAGCAAAAACCGATTCAACGGGCGTCAAACATGCGTAGCCGCTTTGATCTGATCAATAGACGGCTCGCACCACGTTGCAGCATGATGCAGTCTTCACGCATTGGCACCCGAGGCAAGGGTAAAAGTAAAGGCTCAGCACCGGTGCGGCTGGCGGCGCGCGGGGCTGAATCCACAAGCGTGTGCTGCATGCAGATCCTGCGGTTATGCGTAGCGGGTCTTGCATGGCCGGGTTCGACACACTGATTCCGACTGATTCCCAGCTCCTGCCAACCCGATAACTCATCAGGCGTGGTACACCAAGTGATGCACCAAAGCAAGAGCTGTTCTCGGCTTAGCTTCGGCAGACTGCTGATGCAATTTGCTCATGTTGGCATGCCGGTCAAGGTGAAGAAGTCGTCTGCGCAGTGTTCTGGAGCGGGCCGATGGCTTGGTGCGATATTGCATGCTTTCGCCCGCCAAAGTGCCTTCCATTGCGGGTGGGCGCAATTGTACAGCGGGCTCCTGTTCCAAAGCAGTTGCTTATGAAGGAGTGGCCATGGACTTTCTGAAGTGTCCTCTTGGCTCGAGTTGTGCATGGTACACGTCTTGCTGATTGCCACGACGCTTGAGCTGAGAGTACCTGCCCCAGCTCAATCATCCCTGCACGTCTGTTCGTGTGAATGCTGGGCTCTTTGTGTGGTGCCATCCTCACTCAGCAGCCATGACCTGAGGTGATGCACATTCAGACCTGAATTGAAGAAGTCGCGCCTGGCGCTGTCCATAAATGAGCAGACTCTGACGCTGACATGACTTCGGCGGCCTCTTGCAAAGAGCGCCACTGCAAATTTTGTCCGATTGCATCGGCCAGATCTATTCATGCTTGCACGGCCGGCACCAGACTCGTTTTGCCTCCAGAGGTCGTTTCCATAATGGCAAAGATACGAGGATTTCAGTAATTTGCTGGCCGGTTGTTTTTGTGGTAAACCTACATCCAATCGACCACGGTAGCTACAACTTGGAGGTGCCAAATGAAAGTGTCTCGTGAAGTTCCATCCCGGTTATTGCCTGCAGCACAAGACAATACGTGCAAACTCGAATCGTTGCTTCTTTTCTCAGCTTTTCGGCTGTAGGTTATCACGATGTAGCTTCCGGTTCGGAGTTGCTGAATCAGGCACCCGCTACCCGCTGTCGGTGGTAGTGCTTGCATAGCCTCCTTAATTGAAGCCAAGTCTCAAGGAGGCCGAGGCAGACAGCCACCTCCATGTCCAATGAGGAAGGCAGGCTCTGTGACGGATGTTTTCTGCTCAATCCAGCTTGATGAGAAGGCAATGGCTCCACCGTGCCCCCAGCCGCACAAAGAGATTGAACCATATCCGTCAGCTGAAGTTACGGAGTTCAGGTCCATTTGGCCGCAGAAGAAGACGAGCTTGAGGGCGACAACTTCTTGGCAGCATCCCCGTTGATGACCGCAGAAATGTGCAACATATCCTGCTTTCGTGTTCTATGACGTGTTGTCAAGGTGAAAGACCGTTCGTGCTTCAGTTGCGATCCGGACCGTGTGTCAGCTTTACATTCAGCTGCAGCATGCTGCTTCGATTGCCAGCTTTGTCGTGACCGGAAAGCGAGGTGCACAGATTGTTGGTGCATTCTGGTCTTCCTCGCTGCACTAGCAGTTTTCGTGTTCGTGACATTCCTCGGCCTCCAGGCCAGTGTCATTGCAGAAAGAGGAGGCATGCACCGGAGTGGCAGCAGGATGGGAATCCTCGGAAGCTGTATCTGCCGCGCGACTACAGCGGCAGCTACTGCGATGCAGATTCCAACTGGGGGACCGACTACAATCTGAGTCTTGGCCGGGGTTTAGCGCCATGGCCACGCCATGAAAACTCGCACTCGCCTAGGCAGGGCTTCCCATTCCTCAGCTACACCATGAACGTCACGCGGCTCGGCACACCAGGCCAGCCGCAATTCGCCGTGGGCGCTTGGCAACTTCCGAGGTCTACGACAGATCTGGTCGTCAAAGAACTGTTGCTTGATTGAGTCAGTGGATTTCTTGAAGAGTTCCGGTCCTCATGTCAGAGGTGGTCACACTTGGCTGTCGGACTGGGACTTTTGGCGATGTCAGGATCTGTTCGTATGCAGCCCGCGATGCTTTGGTCGGTGGTTCTAGCCCACTGCTGACAAGCATGTCAGAGCAACAGGCGCCAGCTTGTTACCAGTAGCTTATGGAACTCCATGCGGTCCATGCGAGCAGTTGAGCCGTTCTACCTGCGTACTGAACAGTGGAGGCATATCTATGCCATTGCTGCCTTGCGCCTTGTGCCAAGTGCACCGGCAGCTACAAGACGGAGAAGCTACAGAGTGGGGGCCTTCAGGTGGGCAGTTACTCAGCTCGCTTTATGTCCCCTGGCTAGTGCCTCTACCTGGCACGAATTTGGTGTTTCGTTTCCCGTTTTCCTGCAGTGAGCACGGTCCATTGGGGTTTGATTGCGTCCCCACCTAAAACGCCCAGCCGCAGTCCGGGTGTCTTGCCTCCGTCACTAGGCCATGCAGCAAAGAGTCGCTCTGCGACGGTACTACTGCCTCCCCAGCAACCGCAGCGCACTTCACACAAATTTTTGAGCACAAGAAGACAGATAAACGCACTTGCGACAAAGTTGGAAGTTTCACACGGCGTGGCAGTGCATGTGCTTTCACCGAAGTTGGTGCTTCCCAAAAGCAGCCTCCAGTCGAGTCTTTGGCAGACGTCACGGGATCCACATTGTTCCGTCGTGATATCAAACGCGGGCCAAGCCACAGAGTTTCCGCGGAAGCATAAACGGCAAAATGTTCAACCCAGCTTATGGATTCCGAGGCCTGTCAATGGTTTCTGGAATGCAAATCCCATATCGCGCATGGATAAGAAGTTGCCCAAGCATTGCCAACTAATCCCGCGCACTCCGAGCGGATGTGCGGCGGCCTCCGTTCGTTATTTAGTGTATTTCTGTCTCAAATCTGCATTGTCGCCCGCGCGATGATGGAAGGCTCCACTCGGCATCTTGGAGTAGTCAGGTCGAGTTCGAAAAAGGAGGTTGATTTTGACAAGCATTTGATTCGATTAATCATTATTGCTGCTCCTGGTTGCCTGTTTATTCCGGTTGAAATTGCTTTATGCTTTCGTCTTACGCCATTTGTGGTTGTATCTTGTTACTTTTTGTGGCTTCCCGTTGATATTGCTTTCTGTTTCTTTTTTGCATACCGCCTATGCGTTCTGCGCCCTTTAGTGTTTGCTTTCGTTTGTTTGCCGGCTGCGCTTTCTATTGTGCTGTCGCTTTTGGCCTTCTGCCCTGGGCTTGTTGCTTTTCATGTCTCGTGTTTCTCAGCCTGCCTTCTGCTGAGTTCGTTGGCGGCATGCCTCCATCGTAATGTCGGATTCAAATTCTTCCGATGCCGACCAGCTGACCAACAGGGTGCTGCCGCGGCGTGTCTCAGACTCATACGGCAGAGTCGTCGTGGACCTTTGGGGGTTGAACGTAAGGGTGGTTTGAATCGGAAAATCCCTATCGCCAGAGCCGCCAAGATCGGATGAAATTCGGGAAAAGTTGTTCGGATCTCCTGCTAACGAAAACCGGGGCCGACATGTACTCCCGAACGACACCGAAGGCATGCTGCACGTGCCAACCCCCTGGGCCCTTGGGGCGACACATGAGGCAGCGCCTCGCGACAGGCTTTGTGTTGTCCAGGGCTTGGGGCCACGTGCATATCTTTGCACCACTATCCTGGGTCAACACGGTAGCGGGAGAAAATGGGCTAATGCGGCGAGCATCTGTGCCACCACTGAACCTCGTGATGAGAACTTTGATCAGTGGTCCAATGCATGATCCAACCCAACTCATGGCAATCAGACTGCTACAGTTGCTACAGCTTCTATGCGTCTTGCACTCTCAAGAACTTTGCTTTGAGGGCCACTGACCGACCCATCGCTGAAACCCAGCGCTCAACTTGAGAACGCCGCCAACAGAAAAAAGCCATGGACTAGTAGTGCCCTGGGGGCAATTGCGCATGTGATGCAGTCGTGCTCGTGCTGGTACAGTTCTGTGCTCGGCAAACAGGGGACCATCTCTGGCAAGATGTCCGAGATCACCGGCCTGGGAGGGGACCTCTTCAGTTCTAGTGGCTCCAACGGCTTCTTGGCGGCATCTTCTCTTGCCCGAATAGCTGCAAGAGGGCACAAAGCAAAGAGGCGAGCTCTTTACGGAGATCTGGAGCGAGGCCACGATGCAACTCGAAACAAAAAGAGGAACTGACGCGCGACATTTTGCCTGGTTGCTATGTGACCAAATTTGTGCTTATCATCTTCGCTTCTGGGAATTGGCTTTGCAGTTGCTCTGTCTCTATCTTTCTTATTCAAGGTACTTCCACATGGTCTGTCTTCCCGACTGTTCCACGAGTCTTGGACGGAATGAATTGGATCCGGAGCCCACAGCCTGGGGCTGGAAGAATGCAAATGTCGGAGTAGCTCAGCCACTGCATGTACTCGCCACACGCAGCGCATGCAAAGCGCACGCTGCAAAGTTCATGCAGCTGGAGCTCTGCAAGGCTTGAGTCGGCTGAAGCCTCAAGCACATGTCAGGAGTTTTGCCACACTGAACGGGACCAACACCGCGCGACGGTGGACCTATGAAATGGCCACACGCTCAGTGGGTGGTAATGGGTAGTGTTGGGAGCTAGGAAGGCTCCTCAGCGACACCCTTCCAATGAGTTGCCACTTTGGGATTGCTTGGGAGGGCTCTGTGTTTCCTTCATCCCTTGGCATCGCCAAGGCACCTGACGACCCTCTGGCGCCTTACTGGGCCATGCCCCTTGGACGTGTAGTTATGTGTGTGCACCTGGCCAAGCAGCCGCAACAAGCTCGCGCACCAGATGCACAAAGAGTACGTATTTCGGCCGGCAACTGTTCGCGGAAAACTTTTTTGAGAAGGATCTTGCACAGGCAAGTCGCTGGTGGAGACGACACACGTTGCCAAGAACCCGTGCATATTTTTTTCTCAAATCTGTAGTCGGGATGCGAAGCCTTCGCCCAGCAGGGAAATGTGCAGCAGTTCTGGATGCTCCGATAGGGAAAAAACGGTTTTCGATGATTCTTGTGTAGTACGTTTGCACACTTGGCTTAGTGTCAGGTTGAAGACTTCCGGACCACAGGAGATCCAGGCACAAACCTGTGTGATGCCCTTGCTGCCTTTTCACCGTGGCTTCAGTCTGGAAGGCCACGATCAACTCGTCCTTTACCTTTCTGGCACTTCCGGAGTCTCTTTGTCCTTACCCTGCCTCGAGCCATGGCAGCACGGCTCCCCAAGCAAACAAAGCAGCACTTGCAGACAATTGCAGACATTAGATGATTGAGCTTGTCCCCCCCGCGCGAGCAGGAAATGCATACCAATGCCGGGTGTGGAGCTCACTGAAGGCATGTGGCTTGGCATGCATTGGCCTATCAACTCGCAATAACTGACGCAGCTTGTGCCGATTTCGAAAACTCGGCTGCGTGTGCTTGTGTGGTCTTGTGTCATCCCCAGGCCAGGGCATTGCAGCAGCAGTCTCAGCTCATTCGGCTGGCATCTTTGTTACGCAAGCGCATGCCGTGGGAGAATTTTGACCTTGGTCTTCGATGTCCATATGTGATCCTCATTCCCGATTGCATCTTACCATGTGAAACTCCAGCAGAGCATTACACAAGTGGTCAGCGCGGAGACCGCCGGCAAGAGCGCTTAATTACAGCAAACTGTCGTATATCCTTAGGAAGCGCTTGAATGGCGCCCAACCTAACAGGAGCTCGGGCATCCAGTCGGATCGTGTATGTGAAGCGCCGGCGCTGAATCCAACATCGACCCGACTTGTCAAGCGAGTAGACAGCAGACGAGGGTGCAGCACTGCTAGCAGGCTGGCGGTTGATCCTGCAGGTCTGGAAAACGACAAGAGAACGCACCAGACAAGGGATACAGTGCAGTGTCCCCTTAAGTGTCTCTATGCCGATCAAGGGCGACCCCGCTAGAGGAAGAAGCTGCAGCAGCGGGCGGGGCTTCTAAGGCTTGGGTCTATCCACCACTGCTCAAGAACAGCTTGGCGCAGCTTTGTCAGATGCGTTCGGAAGCCTTGGATCTCAGGTGGACCCACGTGTTCCATCTCTCCTGCTTCGAAGCCTCATAGTGTGGCAGGCTTTCCAAGAAGAACTCGCTTCTTTCCAGACCTTCGGCAGCCTTTTCGGCGAGGCTTTCAAAACAGGCAGTGCCCGCGCAACTAGCCGTCGGATGTGAGAGTGACCGGCAATGTCAGAACCTGTGCTGTGAAACAGGCGATACATTTGCTACCACAGCCGCATCTTGGCTGGAGCTTTCGTGACTTTCGTGGCTGAGCTCCGTTGGAATTTGGTGTGGGCTGCACGAGGTGTCGTGCCTCATCATTGGCTTCGTCTACATCATCCTCCTTCGCTTCCTCGTTGGCGTTTGCCACCTGGCGGCCGCAGCTTTTGCTCTGTCAAGACACCTTGTCGAGAGACTCAAGCAACTCTTCGAAAGCACTTAAACCCACACCCAACCTAGAGAACAGAGAGCTGCAAACACAGATCGCGCAGATCGCGCAACCGAGCAGGTGAAGCTAAGGCTCCAGCGATCGTTGCTTCAGCCCCGTGAACGGGCCATGGGTTCACACTCCCCAGCGGAGGCAGTTCTAGGCCAAGGAAGGTTGAGAGATGCATGCTTCACCGACCCAGGGATTAATTACGAAGTTCTTTGAACAGAGCAAGCCGAATGCATACGCCTACGTAGATATACATTCGTTGGAACGATGTAGCACCAGCTAGAGGTGTGTGGACGGCGCTATTTGCGATGTGCCTCGGCCGAAATGCGCCGTCACAGCTCCAAGCAACCGTGCATGGCTTTGCAAAGGCTCCTGCTATTTGCTCTGGGTGGTGGCGTTGTGTATGCCAGCTCAAGCGCGATCCTGAGCCTGAGTGCTTCATACGCCCGCCTGCGTGTGTTTTTGAGTCCTCTTCGTAGTCAAAGTTCAGAGTTTCGTTTGCCTTGCCTTGAGCAAGGCCAGTGCCAGGGGACTGACTTGCTGGACACCTCGTACGAAATGGCAATGGCTGCTGCCACGCTCCTTGCTTGCAGTGGCACTGGCGGCATTGCCGTGCATGGTACGTTCAAAAAACTTGGTCTGGAGTTAAAGCTTTGAGAGGCGCCTGCTTGCGATGCCTTTTGCCTGTGCTGCAGGTCTATACAGCATTATTCGACCACGCTCGTGCAGCAGACCCTTGACGGCGAGTCTTGGGAGGCCTGAGATACCACCCCATGTTTGTCCATGTCGGATGCTAGACGGGCAACTGCCGCTTGGATATGGCACTCCAGGTTCCAAGCGAAGTTCTGATGGGCGACGGAGCCAACTATACAGGCACCTTGGAAACTTCAGCAGCAGGACTTTATGAGGGTCTACAAAAGCGGTCAAGTGTTGTTGCAGGTATGCAAAGACGAAGTGTGGAAGGATATAGCTGCATACAGCCCGTGCCTCATTGTTGCTCAGCTGTTGCCCACGAGGGAACCTGGAAGGAAGCCATTCTCCATCTGACCTGAAACACGCAATAATGGCAGGGTTTTGGCACCAACTGTGGGCCATGAAGGAGACTTCAGCCAGTGCTAGTCGCAGGGGGGAGAAACGAAAGGAAAATGCTTGCGCCTGACCCAACATGGCACTGATTGCCAAAGGCTACTGTCACATCTGCAGTGCTATGCAGTGCTTGAGTGGTCTTTACAAGCGGTGATGTGCTACGTCAAGTGGTTGCAGACCTGGCCTCGGCGGGACTGTTTGTGGCCTTGACTCAAGGTGGGGCTTGGCGAACACCCTGGCAGAGAACTACTCCCAGGTGCATTGGTTCAAGCCATCCGCTGTCCAATCACGTACCCTGCAATGCGGGCTTCGTCCTTGCCATGTAGGAGGGAAAAACTACTCCCAGGCTTGTAGCAGCTGTCGCACTGCCGTTCAGACCATTCGGAACACCCGCCGGCATGCGGAATCGCGGGCGCACCAGCAATGTGCCTGAGCCACACACCGGGTTCCAGAGCCCATGCGAGCATGGTGACATCAAAGCACAGGTTACACATAGCTTTTAGCAGAGTGCGCAAGAGAGATTGATTGCCTTTGGTAATTATCATGTTCGACGTGAGCGAACTTGCACCACCTGCTGCTTTGCCTGCTTTGCAGGACGGAAGAAACATGGATGTGAATTGTGGTCGCGTTATCGTTGAAAAGTTTGTGTGTTTTTGGGATTGGCCCGGCTGCAGCCCGGAACTGTTTTTGAACGTCAGCACATCACTTTGTTCCGACTGCCAGGCGAATTTCCCAGACTCCAACCTGACCGGCAATTTCTGACCGGGCCTCAGCCCGGCTGCTGTGGCACAGAACCGCAGAGACTATGCCAGATTTGTATAAAGGGATGCGTGACCGAGCGCGCGAGTGACAGGTCGGAACCCGTACAATGCAAGTACAGCCACAGACGAGACCAAGGCTGGAAGAAGGGGCAGCTGTTTGTCTGAAGCGGCTGTTGCTTGCCTCTTGAGGCCAGCACTATCTGGTGCTTCACTGCAGATGAGAAAGTCACATGGCAAGAGTGCCGCCCCATTGGCGTGATCCGACCTCTGTGCCAGAATGGAAGCCTGGCTGAAGAATGAGCTGGGATGGGCCGAAGTTTACTTTGATCCACCGTCGTTTGAGGCTATGCGGTGCCTGATGAGGGAGTCCGTCTCCTGCTGGAGCACCTCTGCACGATGGGAGAAGCCCCCGTAGCGCCTGAACACCTGCAGCCTGTGAGCAACTTTGTTCCCTGAGGTACGCTGCATATGCGCTATGGGTCCTCGGTGGATTGTACTTGTTCCTTGGCACTGCCTCACCGAATCCTGGTCAGTCGGCTGTGGCCGTGCTGGTCCGCTCAAGTTGTTTTGCGCTGTTCCTCGACACGCTCACGTAGTTGGATTGCTGCGCCTGAGGTTTCTTGTGCTTTGCTTTTGTGGTCGAATTCGGCTTGCAATTGCCGTGAACAAAGTCGCTGCGACCTTCGTGGCCGTGACCTTGAGTATGTTACTTAACTTGGTTCTGTGCAGCTGTTGCTTTCCTCAGAGGCCCAAACACCACAAGTCATGCTAGTGCCCGTGATCCAGGCATGGGGGCGAGAGGGAGCCGTAGCATGCATTCGCAGGAAATGTGTTTTGCTACAATCCAATCTTCTGCAGGCTCTGGTGGCAGTTCTGTGGATTGGCCTGTGGATCTTTTGTTCCTCCTTCCTCTTGTCCCAAGTGCCGGAAGATTACACACCAAAAGAAGCTTGGACTTGTCATCTCGCGTTGTTGCCACTGCCTTTTTGCTGCCACGGCTTTGCCGTTCCTTGTTTCTCAAGTGTTTGTTGGGCTGAGGATGCTTATGCCACATATGCCGAGGCCAGTGCAATCCGAGTCCTGTTGGGACGGGTCTAGTCAGTCCTCTTACTGTATTCTCATTGTGCATTAGTTGTTTGCCATGGGGAAAGGCATATGGAACGGTGGACACGCCTGGCAGATGCACTGACAAATGGCCCACGGGCTTCACCTACAAGGAGCCGTGCTCGAGCACATGACGCCCTTTCCAGCTGTCTGGATAAGTCAGGACGACGACAACTGTGCCAGCGTGAATGGGACTGCCCATTGCTGGAAGCACTGCGGCGAAAGTGGGTGTACTGATTTCGTGTGAGGTTCGCTGGAACTGAGGTGTGGCCAGCCGCGTTTCGCCTTCGACTGGCGCTTTGCGTGTTCCTTCTTCGTGTTTCTGTGGAACAATGCGGCTTGTCGATCCGTATGATCTCGGTAGGCAGCAAGACGGTACTCTTAGTGCTCAAGTTGGTGTTCACAGTTTTCCACGTTGGCCTGCCAGTCTGAGGCTTTGAACATAGCGCTTGGTCAGTTCATGATTGCTGCATCCGCGGCTGACCAGCACATTGGCAGTAGACCGTGCAACGGTTTTGCTCTCACAGATGGGTTTGGCGCTTTGAGGTTGCAGCCTGGTTTTTCACTCCAAACCGATTGAAAGGAAGACGAGGAGCCCGGAGCGTTGTACCATGTTGTACCATGTTGTACCTATCAATAGCTTAGCTTCGGCTGACTGCTGCCTAAAGGCTTTCCTAAAGGCTTTCTACCCAGGCTTTATCCGCGCACTTACTATCGACAACTTGCACGAATCTCACATGTTGTTTCGAGTTACTATCTGTCGCAACACAATCCGATTATCTTTGGCTTCTTTGCACCCCGATTCACAGAGAGCATTGCTCGAAGCAGCGTCACTGTCAGCATGAGCGCTACAAAGATCAGTGATTTGGCTATGTCTTTTCGGTCGCAATCGCGTCTTATCATGTGTACAGGTGTCGGGTACCATTTGGTCAGTCTCTTGCGAAACATCGTGGAAGCCAGTGCCCCTGCACACACATACAAAAGCACTCAACTCGCACCCATTCCAGGGCTAGAAAAACCCTAAGCCACTGGTCCGGTTGTTGCAGTAGGCAATGTTTTTGAGGCTGCAGAACTAGCAGACCCCAAACAAAAAGCGGTGTCCAGGTTCTGCATGCTACGTTGCACAGCAATGGCAAACCAGGGCAAATTTACTTAACGACTTCAGCAACAGGCAGGAGAGCTGGAAAAAGACGATTGCCGAGTTCCATAACAACAAGACGGGCAACTCGCGCCTTGAAGAGGTGAGCTTCCGTTTATGATGAAGAGACCCACGGCGAAAATGGCATTGCCACACGACTGATGGTCGGACCGCAAGAGAATACCTCACGTTGGTCGTTTGGATGGCGAACAAATTGGATTTTGGATTTGGTAGACGTAGTACTGTTTGTGCAAACATCGTAGTAGGAGATATTTTGGTATCTGGTGCAAAAAATCAGTAGCAAAACTCGCAAGTCTGGAGTTAATGACATGCGGCGCTTCTGCGAGGCGGGGAAGAGTGGCGGAGGGGTGCAGATTGCCTCAGCTGATGTATTAGTGTCAGTGCAGTGTGATACATGTCCAGCTGAGTGAGGCACGAACTGTGATTAATTATGCAATGCAGCTAGGATGGCGAGAAGAGCAATTCCAAACACCGTAGTGTCCGGCTGTGGAAGCAGCCTTCGCCTTCGTCGCCACCTCTACCGACCAATCCGGCAAACAAAAACGCCAGAAGCGGGATCAACATATAAGGGAGCGCCGAGCGCCTTTCGACCGAGACTGATCTGGTGCTTCAGAGGCATCACACAGAGAGCAAACCGGGGTCCCAACCCTCCCAGCATCTGAGAGGATCGGTAAGGCAGTCTGCCTACTTTGCCTTCCGCTTCCACTTTGGATCATTGGCTTTCGGCTCCTTCATCATCGCCGTGGTGCAGTTTGTTCGGTATATTTTGCTCTTTGTCACGAAGTTAGGCAGACTTTTTCTGACCACTGTCAGCTGGTGTCGGCACTCGGCCTCGAGGCTGTATCTTGAGAAGCAAGCGCAGGCGCAGAAGAATCGGGAGCCTTGACTTGGTTTAGAAAGCACACGCGAAGTCCAAGGCTTGCCAGTCAACATCAATAACTCAGCTTTAGGTCACTGTACGTCCACATGCGTCCAACGTAGTTGCCGATGATTGTTCTAATTGCCTTTCCACTTTGGCATGGTGTTTCTTACCGAAGGCCCTCGATCATGCCACCGGGGTCAAAGGAACGCAAACAGGAGATAGACTTCTCATGCAGAAGCAGGTAGCCTGTTTGCGGGTTCGTCTCGTGTCTGTCGGTTCCCACTCGGTGGCATCTGTCGCGCGACCGTCACTGCCTGAGGTGATGGCCCTGCTTTTGCGAGTCCTGCGCTGCTGTATGTGGTGTTTGGAGAAGTTCCTCAAGTTCTTGAACAAGAGGCTTGGCGGGAATCTGGCTGCAAGCGACGCTTACTACTATCATCCCCGCCGGTCAGGCTGAGCATTCTGAATGTCAGCTGCGTGCAAACTAAGAAACGCATACATTCAGATAGCCATTCTCGGGACCAACTTCTGCACGTCTGCGAAGAAGGTGGGAAACTCAGCCTTTCTTGTTTACAAAGAGGTGTTGTTCGCCCTTGAAGCAGGCTTTCTTCCTGATCTTAAACAATGCCTTGCGATTTGGAGCTGTTGCCCTTCTGGGTATGGTGATAAACGTCATTGGGCACCGCGCCTGCACACTACGGTGACGTCCTGTGCTGAGCAAGATTGAGCAAGGTAAGCAGCTGCAGTCTTGCCAAGGTACATCTTCATCATTGCCTCCACGGTGCCCAGACCAACACTTCAAACCACAGGCAGACGCACGATTTTCAATGTAACTTGATCTCTTCGAGGTGGCGGTGGGATATTTGCAGCTGACAGCCATGCATCCAAACACCTCGCCGGTGATACCCGTTGCAACTTGCCTACTGCACGGAGTTTGTGTCTTGATGAATTTCATGTGGATGATGGTGGCTTTGGTGGCTCCATGTTCTGAAGCCGAGCTCAATAAGCTGCAACCAGATGGCGGCCGACTCTGCCCTAGGCCATGTACGTGGCTTGTGGTTACGTTGTCGCCCGGCTGTGCATGAACGTGTTCGAGCTCGCGGTGGACACGATGCTACAGTTGCTCGGCAGAGATGCGGATGTTTTCTACCGGCATCCCAGACTGGCCGATTCTGTTGCTTTGCCCCTAGCGGCCCTCGCCACTCAGGTGCTTCTTAGTGTGTGAGGAGGAGAAAGAGAAGATCACCGGCCACTGAGCTGAGCTGGTCTTAGCTGTGCATTTGAGCCTTGATGCCCGTGCGAATCACAGGTGATTTCGTGCCGAGTCAGATGCTCGAATGGCTTTCAGACACTGCGAAGGGAGACGACAAAGAAATGGACAAGGAGTGAGATACTCCTGAGCTTGTTATGCAGGTTAATGCTTGGGCTTGGCATGGATTCCTCAAGGGTCGTCTTTGCCAGCCTGTACAGAGTGCGGCGGTGTCTGCATGCGGCAACACCGGGCGCCAGCTACCACAAGTTCCCGTGAGTTGCACAGGAACAAGCCCAGACTCCGCGGCACGAATCTGCAGTTTACTGCGAGGGGCAAGTGATTGATTCTTCTTATTCTCAAGTGTCGTGAAAGCAGGGCTTCGGAAATTTAGCTCGGCTGGAAGCTACCTGAGGGCTGCCCGCATTGTTTATACTCTTCCGTTCGGGCTGCGGAGAGTCCGCTGTGAAGCCCTCGAACGAGGGTCACCCTCTCTAGTGGTGGGCAGGGCGGCTACGTGCACCCATTTTCCGGGAGCCCTGAGGGTGGGGTTCGCTCTGAAGAGCTGAAAAGCTCCAGGTGCCACCCCGGAATGGCAGCGGAAGAGAAGCACCTAAAGCGGCAAACACGCTCTCAGTTCTCTGTTCGTCGAGCATCCTGAAGTGACCTCCCAGCGGTGTTGAGGTCCATGCGAAGAGTGCAAATCTGCTGCATTGGAGGCGCTATGTGAGTGCACTTGCTGCTAGCTTTCTGTACATCGGTTCTGTACCGACATCATTCCGAGACGTGGCGACTGTCGTGCTAGCAGGGCTTGCAGCATTCCATTGATTCATGATGATTCATGGTCCTTCTGCCTTCTGCTGTTCCATACACGAAAAATCTCCGCTTGAGCATGACCTGTTGATGTGGAAACTCAATGCACCTGCGTCACTGGCCAGCAGATGACTGTCATGGCATGCACGTGGTGTGATGTTGGCTCAAGAAGCCGAACCTGTTTCACCAGCACAGAAAAGGAATAGAAAGTGACTAGGCGCAAAAGGCACCTTCAAAACAGTTTATACATCCACACGACGCGGCTGGAACTGGCTGCCAGCTTTACCAGAACATGGCACCTCGGACAAAACAGGCACTGCATAGCCAGCCTTACAGTTGACCTGGGAGGTATCTTCCTTGGCCGTGGCCAGCACTGCTGCCAGCATCGTCCTCTCCACGCACTTTTGGTGGATCTTACGCAAGAGGGGCTCAGACTACTCGGATGCCTTGAGCTTTCTGACACAACCGCGCCCCTCAGACTGCAGATCCTCTCATGTAATGCTCCTGCAAACTGGCTGGTGAAGCCTTCACGGCGTGCTCTGCAGGAGATGTCGCCACCAAATCCGCGCGCCTCTACGCTCAGAAGGCTCTGGCAGCGCTCTGCGGTTCGATGGCAGCAACATGCTTGATGCGCCTCTTGCTGGACGCGTGTCCTGCAGGCTCGCATCAAACTTTTCAACATTGTGAGCAGAATTTGCATCCAGTGCGTCCCTCAGTGGGAGGCACGTGTTTCAGCGGTTGCAGCGCGTTGTTCTCGGGTCTCTTCTGGCATGAGATCATCCATGCGTGCAAGTGTGAGAGTGAGTATGTTGGTGGGCCGATTTTGATATACTTCGGCTTGACGCCTCGACGCCAAACATCCGACGAGAGATCACGAAGACGAGAGGATGCGGGAGGTCGACAGGATCTCATGGAGTGCAAGAGATTCTTGTCCAGCGCTCCTCGAGCCAGTCGGAAAATGTCGCTTCTGGAAGCCGCGAGTCGATGAGTCGTCGAAAAAACACCGACGGCAGCTTGAGAAAGAAGCCTCTCGTGGTGCTGACACATTCATGTTGGAGCCGGTAGTTCGGTTGGAGCATTTCTATTTCTCAGCCTACGGAGCTTTGACAGCAAACAACTGAGTGAGGGTGAGAACCCTGAACCCAGCAGCATACCGTGCACGAGCGAATTCAGAAACGTGTTGTCACAGGGTGGAAGTTCCTGCTTCGGAGCAGGGTGCCGTGCTGGAACTTAGCGCACCTGAATGTGGAAGTCAGCTAGGTGAATTCAACACACGCCCGGCGTCCCGGGCTACTGGTAGGCGTCATCAGTAGCCGCACCCCGTGTTTGCCTTAAAAAGTGGGTTTCAAGTCCATGTCAAACGAGCCCCTGCTTCCTGAAGCTGTTGCAGCTCTTGCTCTGCCGGCCAGCCAAGGTCAACCCTGGCTTGTGCGATTTTGGTTTCAATGTTATCGGTCAACATCTGCGGCACAGGCGAGCTTCAGCTGTTGATGCTGCCACCCGGCTGCTGGTTACAGTCGAATGCCCGCGTCCACATATCAGCACTATTTCTCTCCGCATGCACCACTCAGGATTCTCATGTACACCGGATGCCTGGCAGTGGCATCCGAAGTTGTCTCACTCACGTCGCGGTTCTGAGTTGAATGTGCTTTGCACAGGCTCTGAGAGCTTCCACCTTTCGTTGTAACTGCTCTTGCAGAGGCCAGGGTCCTGCGACGCAGTGGCAGCTTTGGGGCATGTCTTGCTTCTAGCATTGGCAGTGTGTCCGGCTTCAGACTCTCGGCTCTGAGTTCGCCTCAAAGTTATAGCAACTCATAGGAAGGTCGGCCTGGTCGAAAATTGCAGGAGTGCCGACCCATCGTTCTCAGCCGAAATTCATAGGTCTTTCCTATAGTCTGGATTCAGAACTGTACAAGGACACGTAGTGTTTTGACCGGGGTCGTGCAGCCTGACAATTGCGTATGCAAGGTTCGAGAGGGAAGGGGATTCATTTGGAATTAGTGAGTGGAAGCGATCGCTTGAGCTTGCAGAGGAAGACCCAAGAAACCAAAGAACTTCCTCCCAGCTCAGAACATGTTGTATAGCTGGACCGGACCGGGTTGAGGGGGCAACAAGTTGGCATGTGCACACTAAGGATGCCGATGTCTTCGTGGGAGGTGCTCGTGCACTGCTTCGGGCACTCTGTGGTATTCTGTTTCTGAATGCAAGAAAAGCATTATCTGCAAACTTGGCCGCGAGCTCAAGGCTTTTTCCGACTTCGACAAAAGCGAGAACCAAAAAGTGGTATGTTGGACCCATGTGGACCGACTGCGACCGAGGCCATGAGCGGTGCCTACGTCGTGAGCAAGGCCACGACACAGCGCCATCCACGACAGCGCTGCCTCTAACGTTCGCCAGTTTTGTCTCGGTAGGTGTGGCTTTGTAGACTTGGGGCTGCTTTGGTTAAGGTTACAGAAAGGTACGCTGTGGGGGCCCTGTTTTTCCACATACAAGGTTTTGCGATGTTTTGTGCATTGTCGCTTAAAGTTTCGCTTTTGAATGTTTTAAGACTTCGCTCGTACGAAAAATACGCTGTAACATGTACACACAAAACAGGTAATTTTATACCTTTGTGAACTATGATGCAAAACAAAGCAAGATCATACTTGCAAAGCGTCCAAGGTCAAGGTTAAGAAGAGCCAATGTTTGGGCCTCCAGATTAAGATATACAAAACTAACATGATAGACATATGAAGAACATATGAACCGAAACCAACTTTCAAGACCCCTTGCCAGAATTCAGTCAGTCTTTACTTTGTTTGTCAGTCCTTCTACATACAGAATACGGAAAGGTTGCAAGACTTGAGTATGACAATTCCAGAACAAGAAAGATGCGTTTTTCAGTTTTCGCCACGTGCAATTATACTTCATTCATCATCTTTTCATGTTCCTTGATTTCCGGAGATTAGCTGGAGAAGTTTTTCTTAATCTTAATTCAGGTTAAAGACTTGGGAGATATCATTCGTCGTTGAAAGCTTTAGCGTCGACAGTTACATGTGTGAAGACAAGCACGTAGGCGTTTGAATTGCCATATTGCTGTCTGCCCGGAAGGCGATTTCAACCAACAGCTCTGGGTGCAGCATCTTCGCCGCGGCTTGTTCGGAGGCGGTCTGCGTCGTGCAGGTGATGCTTGTGCACATTCTGGCACCTCAGATGCATGAGCATGCGAGCCTTGTTTTGCAAATTTTTCACTTCTGTCGCCAACCCAGGTACAGAAGCTCGTAGAAGAAAGCGCTTCACTTCGCATTGAAAGCGTGGAAGTGGCTGGCAAATCACAGGCTCATGGTAGTTTTGCCTCGATTGCGCGGTCGTGTTGACATATGGCTGACGACGTGCATATCACGGAACGGTCTTCCAGTGCTGGGGAGGCTCGGAAAAACTTACTTTCAGTTCTGGTGGATGCCGACGTCATGCTGGACTCAAGCTTGTGTGTTTGTCCCGCGATCGCAGAGAAGGTACCTTTATTTGTTGTGCTGGATTGCGTCACATTGCATCCACCTGCCATCTAGGTCAGCCCAGCAACAAGGCTGAGCATTTCTTTGGACCAGAGCTGGATCCGAGTGAAACATCTGTAGGAGGAGCAACTTTGTGGAATTCGATTGTCTTGTGCCGCGAAGCACTGACGAGTACTTGTGCTGTTGTCGACTGGCGATTGGCTGTAGTGCGATCTGTCTGCTTGACAGGACTTAAGCTTTACCAATTCGTGGCAGAGGCGGACCAGTCCAAGCTCAAAGAGTTCCTCAAGCTTCCCGGTGCAATAGACACCGTGAATTGTGTGTCATTTGCAGCCAAGCCACAAGCGACTGCAGCCTCATGTTGGTGATGCGGCTTTGAGCGCGAAACGCACGCCGCCCTCCCTCCCTCCCTCCCTCGCTCGCTCGCTCGCTCGCTCGCTCGCTCTCTCTCTCTCTCTTTCTCTATCTCTCTCTCTATCTCTCTCTCTCTCTCTCTCTCTCTCTCTCTCTCTCACTATCTTTCTCCAACTGCTATGTAGCCTTCGCATTGCTGCTACCCTGGACACTGATAGTGCACGGATTCTGATGATGATGATGACGATCGTTCTGGTTTTGATGCCGTGGGAGTGCTTGTTCGGTCCGCGTAGGCTTTTGCCATTTGTGACCGGCAGCTGCTCGTTGACTTGTGCCGCACCTTAGTCGAGCTACCCTCAACACTGTCAACGATGGCGCCGACGTTCTCAGCGAGAGCTCTATTTCACTTCAAGGTGGAGGCAGCGCAGCTGCGCAGCCCTGTGCACAAGTTTTTCATTTGCACAGCAGGATCCCAGCGATTCGTTCTGTGCTGCAAAGGAAGTCCGGCCTCTTCCTTGTCAATCCAGCTGGGCTTCGTGTCTGCAGACTCTGTGTGTCGGGCACGCGCTGCGCGCACGCAGATTGTGGTCGCACTATATCACGTCACATTACTCTTCAGTAATGTCTGCAGGATGATGCTGGGTTTGAGCCTGGGTTCAAAAATGTCTGCAAGATCATGCAAGGAAAGTCTGGTCGGGTGGTGCAGATCTTCCATGCGAGCGTGCCTGCGGCAGACTTTGCACTGGGTTCGCAACCGCAGCCGCGACATCTCGTTGGTATCCAAGCCGCTCAGATCGAGTCACAGCTTTTTCGCCTGTTGATGTTGAGTCCGAGATAGAAACTTGACTTGCGGACGTGATTGTTGTAGACTTGTCGCAGTTGAGCTTCTAAAGCACCGGTAACAGGTTGGCAAGAGTCTTAAGAATGCCTCGACTCGGGGTGTTGGAAAGGCAAAGCTTTTTTACGTTGGCATCCAAACCCCGTGACTATTTGAAGCTTCAGGAGTCTTTCAGCATGTCTCGGCACGACTTCCGCGAAGTACCGGCTCTGGATGTGCCAATGGATAACAGCACTGATGCCGAGCTGATGATGCTTGATTGCAAAGACTCGTTACCGAACAGACCATCAGACCATCAGCCGACGGACAGCAGTCTGCTGACAGTAGTGAGGCATTTCTTCTGCCTGTAAGCCCGGCCAAGGTATCTGTCGACTCAAAACCTAGCTGCCCAGCTGAGCTTTATGCTTGCGTCGGCGCTGGCAAGTGCAAGCCGAGACTCAATAGTGCCTGCCTGTGCAAGTTTGCGAGTCATCGAGAGAACTCAAGTAAAGGGTGGGTGGGTGTGCAGGTGCGTCAGTAACTGTATCGGTGGCTGGGTGTGGCCTCCAGTAGGTCTGGAGGCTTGTCCAAGTATTTGCAAGTTCAAAGAGCGATGTACTTCGTGCGATGCTGCTCTCACAACCTGTGACAATTCATCGCAGATGCGACTTCGACAGCTCAGGCTGCGCAGCAACAAAGCGGCTTGCTTGACGTTCAGCACAAACAGAGGCTGTTTGTTCAATCGCGTCGTGGGCCAGCGGGTGGACGTGTCACAATTCATGCCTCCAAGGCTTTGAGTCTCGACAGAAGCGGCCGCCTAGCACTGGATCCAGAGGTTCGAGAGATTCCCACGGGTCGAAATCTGCAAGCTTCTGGTCCGGAGCATTTTTTGGCATTTCACGTGGCGAATCGCATTCTGTGAGTCTGGTCTGCGAGGTTCCGCTTCGTCCCTGCGCTCCTCCGTTGCGGGCCTCCCAGAGGTCGGCTCCATTTCCTTCATCTTCAATGGCTACTCCGAAGGCCGCTGAACTGACGGTGCCGTCAGAGCCGGAAACCTCTGTGTCTCTAAAGTTGCAGGTCTCGACATCGTTGAGGCAATACTGCGCTTCGATACCTTGCACGGAAAGGACGAACCGGCGAGGGTCCCCGAAATGAAGTGCGCGGCTCAAAGACTTGCGTGATCCTGCATCCTGCTGATCCTTGTCCGCTTAGACAAGTTGAGGCACTGGATTCGCAGCAAGTGCTGGGACGATTTCAGGAACTGGGTGCAAATGGAAACACAGCGTTGCTGTGCTGGCGTGGCTGTTGAAGAAGCGCCATGGAGTTTGAAAGCCTTGTGAACCGATAAAGCAATACGGTCTACGTGTAGATGTGTGAGTGCTGTTTAGCCGAGCATGCATGAAGGTGCGATCCTTTGAGGGGCCTCTGGAATTCTATTACCCTGGTCAGCCAGACATGACCTTAGTTTCTGGCAGTGTCAACGTCGTACGCACCTCGGCAGAAGTTTGTCCAGGCCTTCCATGTGGGTGGGCCCTCGTCAGAGGAGATTAGACAGTCCATAGTTACTATAGTTCTAGGAACAGTCCTCATGGCCCCAGGCCCCAGGCCCTAGCGAGTGCAGCACAGCGTCAGGCATCCAGGGCGATGGAGACAGTGATGACGAGGAGGGAGAAGAAGAGGATCCAGTCTGTCGCCTGGCCTTTGCTTACCCTGATGCTACTGCCACGTGCAGCCGTCTCTGACTTGCTTCGCTGCGCTTGTATCGGTTGCAGGTGACCCCGAAATGTCCAGCAGCGGCCGGCGGGTGGCCATGGCCGAACGGACCGTGACCAGTGGCTCTGAACAGGATACTGGGAAGCAACTGTGATGACTGTCCGCTCGGAAACTATCAGTGACGGAAACTGAGTCGCAAAGTTTCCAAAGGCAGGATCTCAGTCCGCAGACAGCTTGGGTGGGAATGCCAGCCCATTGGATCAAAGTGAAGATGAAGCACAAGTGCAGGCAGCTCTGGGCTGTTTACATGAGTGCACGGAGTTATAAGGTTCCCGTTTTAGCGACATCTCAACTGCCGCGGGTGTCGGATCGGCTCGTCCTTGTGCGTCTCGTGTCGGAGAGTATCTTGGAACAGCGGCACGAAACGAGAGGTGTATGACAACCCTTTCATCGACGGAGACGTGAACGAGGAGGCAGGGCAAGCAGAGCTTTTCTGGTTCGCTGGGTTTGATGCTCGGCTTCTGTGTGAGCTAGCAGGTGGATGCTCTCTTGGTGGATGCTCGGCACGGCATCTTAGTTCGGCCTGAAGGGTTTCGCAGCGCTGCGGCGGTGCGGCATGGTTCAGCTTCGCCGTGTGCGATTGAGAGAAGCGACCACGTGTTGTAACGGCCCCAAAATTGGCTCATCTCAGGAGGTGGAGTGCAAGGCTGGCTGCAACGTGTGGATAGTGCTTGTTTGTTGTCCTTGTGCCACCAGGCCTTCTCACAGTACCGAAGCCTGAACAACAAGTCGCGCAAGTCTAAACGATACGGGCATCTACGGCGCCAGCCGCCCCTCGAACCCAGCTCTTTGGCACCATTTCGTTAGCCACAGGGTTCCAGAGGTCGAATTGAGCCTAAGTTTGCGTGTTGAGCTGCTGAGGTTTGGATGCGATTGAGGAGGGACCTTAGCAGCCTGGTGCAGCTTAGAAGAGTCGGCCATGAGACATGGCACTACTCTCTTGCGTACCTGCCACCCTCACTTCGTTAGCCAATCGCAGCTGGACCTTAAAGACGCAACGCCCAAGGGCCGATATTTAATGAATCCTTGCCAGGCTTGTCCGAGTGAAAGTGTGGAAAAATGAATCCTGCCCTAAGTATCGCGATTCGTTTTCAATGGACTGGCATGACTCATGAGCTAGAGCTCGTGGCCGAGCTAGTTTTTTGCTGGCTTGAGGGCCGTGATGGCCAAGATTTGCTCCTTGCAGTGTCGCACAAGCGACGCTTGCGATTTCCGAGACGGCTCACTTTCGCTACGAGGGCATGCCTGGGCAAGTCATACAAGCCACGTCGCCTTTGTCGGCGCCCTCTTGCACTGAGCCTGATTTTCTGGGTGTTATGTTTCAATACCTGCTTCCGTCTTTTTTCTGAAATCATGCAACACTGCACGGCACGGTCTATGTTGTCGCGCTGAGGTGCAATACAGTGCACTGACCATTCGGTAGGTCGGTGGAGTCAGAATTCTGCAAGCCTTCTCGAAAAGGAGCACGTGCGGATGTTGAGATCGGTTGCAAGCTGTCGCATTGTGTTCTTGGCGAGAGTCGGATCCACAGGTTTCGGCGCATCCTGGTCCTGAGGGCAAGCTTGCCGCCAGCACGAGCAGGTCATACCGCTCGCAGGCAGCTTGTGTGGAGCTGCAAGAGGCCTGGTGAGGGCTCAGAACTCTCTGGATCATCGGGTCCCCAGTGCCCGGGGCTCCTGAGAGGCAGCAAGACGCAGGCCACAAAATCGACAGTAGCTCTGAAGTTGCCCTTCCAGTCGCCACGTCACGAGATCTTGGAAGCTCATTCCTTACGTATACACGGCTTGCTTCATACTTCATCCACCTCGAATGCTTCTGCAGTCACGAAGCCGGGACTCTTTCGACACAACAAGGCACAGCGCCACTGGGAGGATCCAGATATGTCATGCACTGTCTCGCTACCAAAGCACAAATGGGCAGGTTATCACCAGGTGGAATTATACAGGCCCGTGCTAGCCTTTTCCGATCAGTGGCGCCATGGAGAGGGGCAGGCTGCCGAGATCTTTCGCAGTCCAGCTTCTAGTGGTTGGCGTAGTCGCGACACTGGCCCCTGCGGCGTCCTCAGATGTCGGGAACAGCTGCTCTGCAATCATTTTTTTCGCGGAAGATGTGCGGAATCACCCCGGCTGCAGATGACAGTTCCGCGACCCTCAGCAGTGAGTGTCGCAAGATGTCGCAAGGCGGGTGTGCGCCTGCACTTGGCCTCTGCCAAACCCGAAGACCGAAGGCGGCGGCTGTCCAGTCAACACTCACAGTCTGAGACCTTGTGGCCAGTGCTTTCCGAAGGCCCATCGCTGAGGAAGAGGCCCGAGGAGTCCGAAGGCACAGAACTCACCTGAGCAGACCCTGGTCGAGCATCGGTCAGGAAACCATTGGCAACATGCTGTGCAGAGCTGCGCGCCGAATCGCCCAGAAAAATTGCAACAAACACCTCGACACGTTGGAGCGAACTTACAGTACTGCTAAGGTGAGGCTTCCAATCGTTCGGGTGGAACTGGATCCATGAGCTGTGCTGCGATCATGGGTGGGGCTTGCCCTTCGCCTGCATGCAGCCCTTGATGGCGTGTGGACATGAGTTCTTCCGAGAAAAAATATATGTATATAAATCCATCTATTCATCTATGTGTCGTTATCCACCCACCCCACCCACCCCACCCACCTCACCCACCCACGCTTCCAACTTACCCCGCCCACCCCGCCCACCCCACCCACCCCACCCACCCCACCCACCCCACCCACCCCACCCACCCCACCCACCCCACCCACCCCACCCACCCCACCCACCCCACCCACCCCTATCTGTGTCTCTGTCTTCGTTTCTTCACTTCTTTCTTTGTCTTAGAGCATCCGGGAGTGCATGCATTCCCTGTTGTGTGATCGACAAGGTGGCTCTCTCTTGCTCATTCCAGGTGCTCCTCGAGTGGAGGTGCAGTTGTAGTCGCGACGGCACGTGCTTGGATGTGATCCAGCTGATCGAAGATTCCAGGTTTCGGGAATTGAGCTTGTCAGCTGGAAAGCTCCCTTCGCTGGAGCTGTGTGCGGCCTGTACTTTGTGCAGCTACCCGAAGGCGCTCACATGCAGCAACTGAATTCCGATGTTTTCCTTTGGGCCAGTGCCAGGTGACATTCTGGGAGAGAGATGCAGGCGAGTAACCACGTGGCTGTGGCGGCAGTGGCTGCGATGTCAGCGCACCAAATCCGAAGAAAGCATGGTGCACTTCGGCGTGTAGGTGTTGCAGGGTGACACGCCAGCTGTAAGCCCGTGGCTTGAATACGGCCGCAGCATATCTCCGCAAGCCAAGCATTGGCAGCATAAGCTCATGTCTGGAAGAAGCCATGCTAATAACTTAAAAGATTCCAAAAGACTTCAAGCCAGCCCTGTAGCGTAGCTGGCGGCCACAGTCAGCCACAGTGCGCTGGGAAGGCCGGCGAATCGATGACAGGGGAATCAATTCGGCTTCCGGCTACAGCATCTCGAGCTATGGCTTCCATTCTGTCTGCCGTGCTCAATCTGGAAGTCCTGCTCGTGGGATTCGTGGCATGAGCAGGATTTCAAAGCACCTGAGCCTCGCATGCGAGGCAGGTGCTACCTATCGACTTCTGAACCAGGGAGTCTCGAAGCTGGAACTGCAGATTCAATCCGACCTTTTGGGAGCCGCTTTTGGCAAAGATCCAACATCCGTCCCGGATGCAGGGGCGACGTCAAGAATACTTCGCACGGTACATGCGTGGAAGGACAAACTCGGGGCCGTGAATGCTTCCACTGCTTTGCATCTATTGGCACAGTCAAGTCACTCGACTGATGCGTTGCCTCGGCTGCACCGAGAAAGTGCAGAGCTAGTTTTGTCGACTGTCGGTGGCAATGCTCAGCCTCGGGATCTTGCCATCGCAAGCTGGGCAGCGGCAAGACTGCGCCTCGAGCGTGCTGGATGTGCAGACACAGCCTTGCAGGCACTGAACATTGCGGCTTTAGCTTGTGCGGCTCGCATGGATGGACAAGACACGGCCAACATCGCTTGGGCTTTCGCAACCATGCAGCTGCAGGCAGAAGAGCTGTTGACAGTACTGGCAGAGGAGGCCAGCAGGAAATTACAGCAGTTTGAGCCGAAGCACATGGTGGTACTGACCTGGGCCCTCGCTAAGGCCAAGGTCCGCTCCGAAGACTTCTGCTGGGCTGCTGCCAGTGAGACACAGAGGTCCAAAGCTAGCAAGTGGATGCCTCAAGACATCTCCAACTTCCTTTGGGCCAATGCCGTTCTACGATGTGAAGCGCCGGTGCCGATGGAGATTCTGGCGGCCAGAGCAGCGGATCTTCACTGGAAGCAGTTTCGGCCCCAGGACAAGATCCGTAGACCGTAGACAACCAGCAAGATACAGCACGTAAGCTGAAACTGGGAAAGGGTTGGGAGAGAACAGTGCAGTCGTCGGCGTTTCTCAAGCAGGAGCTGTCCATCTCGATGTGGGCTGCATATACTCTGGGAGTGCATGGCAAAGGGCCTACCACTCGCGCTGTGAAGCGCATGCTCCAGCATGCGGCTAGAGAGATCCGCACCAGCGGGGCTCAGGCAGGTGGGTTCTTGTTGCTCTGGATTGCAGGCAGATCAACCCGCAATGTGATACGAGGACTTCGAACCTCGCCACATCATCAACGCAGCATGGTCGCTTGCCCGGTGGCAAAGGCACTGCCGCCTGATGGGTTGGCCACAGGACGCGGAGTCGGAGTCGGGTGGGCCGTAGGGCAATCCTGGTCCGAGGCAAGCCTTGGACCGCCAGAGATTCACAGCATCTCACAGCATCGTCACAGGGCTTGTTTGGCTTGTGGGCTGCTCTATTGGCTTGACTGAGGTTCCCATTTAGAACCCGATACGGAAGAACATTGAGGTTTTGGGGGTTGAAACTGCCGATGGAGGGGAGAAGGCTCTCGCTTAGGGCTTCAGGCTGTTCGATGGATGTGAACTCTTAGTGGGCCTTGTGGTGCTTAGAAGTAGAGGGTCCTAGACGGTACGACAACTCCAGTTTTAGCTGGGCACCCGTTGGCTTTATGCCTTGTGCCGAAATCGAACATTCGTTTGTTCCAACGTGTCCCTAGCTTCCTGCCAATGCGCCTGCCTAGATCTTTTGCGTTCTTCAGGAGCTGAAGCCATATGTTTGCCGACCGGCTCTTCGTGTGCTGCTGGGTGAAGCAGCCAAAGACCTCAAGAAGTTTGCAGCGCGAGAGCTGAGCCGCCTGATGTGGGCCGGTGCGAGTCAATCTTGCGCCTGAGCTTTCATGGTCATCGAGTCCTCGAGTCGAGCTTCATGAGCTGGCGCTTGCACTGGAGGCTTGAAGCTCCGGGAGCTCGGACCGCCTCTCCTCGCGTATGTCAGGTGCGACAGGGGGGGGTGCTTCGTGAAGCGCCGTACCAGCATCAGTGGGAGGACTTCCGAGCATGCCGCAGAGTTCGATACCGATGACCTGGTGAGCCTGGTGCCGCCCCTACCCATTATCCTGTTCAGTGGCACGCAGAGACGTCTGACCTAAACACAGCTATGCAGGCAGGGTGGTTGCAGCGTTGCGGCAAACTTCCCGAAGTTGAAGATGTCAGGTCAATTCTTTGGCATGGATGCTTGAACGCCTGGTGTGGGAAGCTCCTGGACGCCGCACCAAATCCAGGCTGCCACAGCTGTGCCCGAGAATGCCTTGTACGCCCATGAGCGATGCTGCGCGGAGACATGGCCAGCATGTTGATGTGCACGAGAGCGCCGAGATAACAGTAATCGCATTCGAGCAGCGAGCCCACACTTGTTTAGGAGCGACGTCTGTAGCGACCACACCATGACCTGTTTCTAGTTAGCATCAATGCCTCCGAAGGGCACAGCCGAGGCACTTGCAGGGAAGGCGCCCGGCAGCCCCAATACTTTGACGCCCATCGCTTGCAGAGATTGAAAGTAGAGCCATACCAGCTCTGGTCGTGCTGCACCTTGTCGACGATGCACGGAGTCCAAGCTCTGGTGAGCCGAGAGCCTGTTGATAAAGAGACCACGCGGCCATTGACCGACCCTCACAGATCCCCTGTTCAAGCCTTTCAAGCTCTGCCATGCCCTGCCACGAGTGAAAGGGGCAAGATGGAGCAAGTGGTGCAGGGTTGGGGAAAGTTGGGAGCTCCTCCTTTCCTCGGCAGTGAGGCTCAGGCTCATGCGCGGGAATTGAGTCTCATGCTTGCTGGGTAAGCTGCCATGCTTCGTACATTCAACTGATTAGTACCTAATTCTCCTGCGGTGCCGCTGACCTGAATCAGGAGTTTCAGGATTGGAGATTGAGGTCAAGGCATTTGCTGCCGGAATCGTGCTTTCGTTTTGAGCTTGCGGATTCGTGTTTGTGTTTTGCTGTTTTAGCTGTTTACTTACTTGCTAGTGCAGAAAGGAAGAGAGGCATGAATGAAGTAAGGAAGAGGGATGGAAGAATTAACTTCAGGCACGAAGGCAGACAGGCAGGCGTCCGCAGCACCTCACAGCCTTCCCCTTCCTCGCTCACGGCAGCGTCACAAAGCGTAAGCTTGGCCCACAGCGCGAGCCCCGTCCATGGCAACGTCACCCCCATTGCCCCGTGCACGCCTGCTCGCCGCTAGAAGAGCTTCCCCGTCCACGGAAACCGTTGGAAGTGAACGCTGCCCCACGGGAGAAAGGGCTCAGCCAGAACCCAACCGTCCCACGGTTTTTGGCAAAACAAGTTAAGCCAACAAACAACTAAATAACGAAAGAACGCAGATACACCAGCAAACATACGTCCATGATCATCCATGCATGCATGCATGCATGCATGCATACATACACGCGTACTTACACACATGCAGACATGTACACATGTAAATGTGTAAGCATGCGTATGTAGATGTAGATGTAAGTGTAGATGTGTATGTTTACATATGTATCTACAGAAACAACGTGTTCACCGCCACACCTCGCCTGCTTTGCCGAGAGCGAGTGCTAAAAATGTTTACAAATGTATGTAGATGTACATGTAGATGTATATGTGTATCTGTATCTATATCGGTATGTATATGTATATTTATGTTACTAAGCCACTCGTGACGTCTGCCTTGCGCTGGTGGTGGACATTGGACCGGGAATAGGTGGCTCATGCTACCCTACCATGCTGCACGCAGGCTGTTTCTTGGACGCTGCACCAAACTGTCTACTCCTTTTCGTTGCTGGACTCTGCTTTTGGCTGCGCCCTAGCTTCACGCTGCATGGTATGTGGTATTGAATGGCACTCGTGGCTCGTGGCTCCGTGATCTTGCTGGCGCTGAGCTTCTCAGCTTCTTTGTACTCCGGCTGCGTGTTGATCTGAGAGAGGCGGCCACAACCCATAATTACGATGTGGTGGATGCTGGATATGGTTTTCTGGGGAGATTTTCCCCTCCTTCGGGGGACTGCCCTCCTTTTACACCTGTTTTGAGTATGTGGCTTCAAGGTTATTGGCGCACTGTCGGATGCCACTGCTTGGTGGTGGTGAGTTGCTGGGTCTGTTTGTGGACGTGGATGCGGATGTGGATGTATGTCGGAATTGCCGTAAACTGTAGGTTAATGCTGTTTGGCTGTTCCAATGTGAACAGTGCATTGTGAAGTCGAGTCCTTCTCAACCCTCGTCTGACTTGTCGAGCACGAGTGACAAAATATCCATATCCATATCCATATGTATATGTATATGTACATTTATATCTATATGTATAGGCTCATGTATATGCATATGTGCATGTTTACACACATGTACATACATACCTATATATGTATACACATCTGTACGCACGCTGTACAAGTATGCATACTTCTCAACACACGCACGCACGCACGCACGCACGCAGGCACGCACGCACGCACGCACACACGCACGCACACACCCACCCACACCCACCCACACCCACCCACCCACCCACCCACCCACACCCACACACCCACACACCCACACACCCACACACCCACACACCCACACACACACACACACACACACGCGCGCACACACGCACACACACACACACACCCGCACAGGCACACAAACGTGCATATGCATATGTATACATTTATATATATATATGTGCACGTATGTATGTATGTATGTCTACACATGCCTATACCTGTATACCTGCATATACACCCGGATACGTACACATAAACACCCCTCTTTGTAGATGTGTGTTTGCGCCTTTTCTTGCTCTCTCCGTGTCCATATAGACACATTCCTCTCTCTCTCTCTCTCTCTCTCTCTCTCTCTCGCTCTATATATATTATATGTACATATACATATATGTATACACACACACATCTCTCTCTCTCTCTCTCTCTCTCTCTCTCTCTTTTTCCCTCATGATGGTGCAGACGAGCACTGTTTGCTCGGAAGAGAGGGGGGTGGAGGGCATACCAGGGGAGGGGGAACTGTCGCGGAGATACAGGACCATATATGCATGCGGTACGTATGGTATGTATGTAGGCATGTATGCATGCTGGTGCACGTATGTATGGTGTATGCAACTGTGTACATATATGTACATGTAGAGAATACGTAAGCACGTCGACGTTATATATACATATACACATTCTCATTAAGTGCATACAAACACATACACACATATGTCTCTATGGATGTATCTCTTTTTCTATTTGCAGCATGCCGGCCTGAGCCAAGACCGGTGCTTTGCAGTATTTGCAGTTGTTCAAGAGCTCGGACGGCTTTCGTTCAGCATATTTTCGAGCCGAATGCAGTATCTGTAGCTTTTCCAGAGCTCCTCCTGCTGTGTTGGCAGCACGATACTTCCGTTTTTTGCAAGGCTGTAAAAGCTGTGCTTTGCACTGCTTGCAGAATCTCAATGAAAATGTAGCTGTGTTATGAAGCCTTGGCAGGTTTTCAAGAGCTCCAGATGCTGTGTTTTACACTGCTTCAATAGAACCGAGGCCTGTATTTGGCAGCCCCAAATGCTGTGTTTTGCAGTACTTACTCCCAAGCACAAAGCCTGAAACAAGATCTCGCACCAACAAGCGAAACAGTCTTTGTTTTTATTCCGGGCTACTTGCTGCCGAGCCCGTTCCGTCTCAAGGGGTCCTTGTTTGCGGGTGCCGTTTTAACGATTTTCATTGCGGAAACATGCCCAAGGGTAATTATTTTGGCGGGCTATGCAGGATGCCCGTGGGTTCGAGGGCCGGTGCCAGTGGTAGCAGCAGGCTTGATTTTGCAAGGTGCTGGGACAACCTGATCCAAGCATCGCTCAGTACTAGCACATGTCACAGTGTTCAGTGACATTGGACCATCAGTACTGCGGCAGCGACATGATGCATTCCTGCCGCCTACCGCATACATATTAGCTCGTTCACTCAAGCCGCACGTAAGTGCTGCCCTTGTTCCCCGACGGCAACATGGAGCTAACCGGAGCCATGGTGGAGGAAGGCTTCGCTGCTTTGGACCCGGACAGCGTTGGACAGATGATGTGGCACATTGGGAAAGCAGTGATCACAGCCGCGGTGATACTCATGATGATGTTGGGCCTTGCTGTGTTCAAGCGTCCCAAGTCTGTACGACTTGGCAAAGCAGGCTCCGGGGTGTCCTTGCACGTGTGGGTGACCCTTCTGTTACCCAACGCGGTGATGCATGCGTGTGGAGGCGCATGCTGCTTGAAAGTCCAGGGTATGAATTTCCAACGCAACTCATCTCGGAACCTTGACTGCTGTGAACGGTGCGTGCTTGCGCAGGTCTGCTGATCGTCGCCGCTCCACAGTACATCGTGTCTGCTGGCATGGGTGGTGCAGGCAGTGCTGGTCTGGTCGCTGGCAGCTTCGGCTTGGGTCTGGTAGTGGCGAACCTGGTTGCCTTCAAGCTTGGGAGCGTGCTCCATCCCTGGCTGATGCGCCGCGGTTGCCCCTCTAAAGCCCCAAACCCCCTCTGTCTAGGTCTCCCGGATGGCTCCGCACGAGAGACGGAGAGCCGAGGTGCATCGTGGCAGCCGCGACGGGCTTGATGGGCGTAGGCGGCCTAGTTCTTGGTGGGGTGCTCACTGCTCCCCCCCCGCTGCGCCTCTACGGCCTGGCGGGGGCCGCAGGCCTCGTGGGCTTTGCTCAGTCCTTGCAGCCTGGCGCATGCAGGCCCAGGAGAGCAGCACGATTGTCGGAATGAGAGCTCACCATGCCCAAACCGCGCCTGTGGTGCATCGGCAAATCCGATCTGTCGACTGAGGCACGTGGTCGCAAGAACCTTCTACCAGGCAGAAGAGGTGGGAGATGGGCAGGCCTTCGTGTCGGGCTGGGTCAGTGCCTCCAACATTGTCGGCATCGCGGCGGCTGCCTTCGTGACCTCCTTTGTGGACTGCACGGTCTACACCAACCTCGGCTTCTTGTGCGGCGGGGGTTTCTTGCTCTACGCCGGCCTGATCCTCCTCCTAACCTGCCGCAGGGCTCTGCAGGGCCGGGAAATGCAGAAGCTGGAGTCCGAGTCCGAGGCCTCGACACCGCCCCCTGGCCTCTGCATGGAGGAGAAGGACCTCGAGGCTGGGATCTGCGGCCAAGCCGCCCCTCAAGGCCCTTTGCAAGTGTCGCCATCGCCAGCAGTGCCAACCTTACCGACGGCACCAGCCTCAAGCCAAAATTCATCGAGGCTGTCCTGGATCTCTTGGCAGTTCGCAAAGGTTTGCTTCCTCATCTTCACGATGGCCATCGCCAGGGAGGCCCAGAAGTTCTTGATTCCCTTGATTGGCGCCGAGAATGAGATCTCCACGAGCTTCGTAGGCAACGTGGCCTTTATGTCGCAGATGGAATCTCTGGTCGCTGCTCCCTTGGGTGGTTTGTTGATGGAATGTCTTGGTATCCTTCCGCTGGTCTTGGTCTCCGTGCTGCTGTCCGCTGTCGGAATTCAGGTTCTGTGCATGCCGGGGATGGGCTTCTATGTGCAGGGGGCCAGTCTCCTGGGCCTCGCCTGCGGCCTGAGCGCCGGTGCGGCCATCGCCCTTTCCATCCTGCATGCACCCAAAGAGCGCAGCAAGAGTTTCATGAACGGCTGCCGCTTCTTCAACTCCTCTGCGGATGTGGTGATTCCCCTCCTCGTGGGTTCCCTCGCCAGCTCGTCTGGAGTCTTGGTGGCCGGAAGCACCTTGACGCTGTCCATGCTTGCGTCCGTTTGCATTGCCCTCTTCTCCTTTGAGCTGCAACTAATCTTGCCAGATTCCAGCAGCCAGGACGTGCGGGTGCCCTCCCTGGACTTCGTGATCCCGCTGAAAGCCATGGGGCCCTTCACACGGACTGTCCTCGAGGGCATCTTCACACACTATGCGCCCAGGCAAATCTACATTGTCTGTCGGCAAGAGGCAAGGAATTCTGTCGCGCAGGCCATGGTGGAGTGGAGCCTCCCACGTGGCAAGGTTTCCTTCGTTGACGAAGAATCCTACTTTCAGAAGACCCTTAACTTCAGCAGAGAGGATCTGAAGAAAGCTTGGAAGGGAACTAAGAGCCCGCGCGACTTCGGCTGGTGGTGGCAGCAGCTCTTAAAGCTGGGAGCAGGGCAATGCATTGAGGGGATATCTGAGAACTTCTGTGTGTGGGATGCGGATCTGATTGTGCTCGAGCCTTGGCCGCTGACAAATCCCAGCAGCACGCAGTCTGCCACGCAGTGCTACGTCGCGCCACTGCAGGAGAAGTACCTTTCTGACAGGCATCAGGAAGCCTACGATTCGAGCACCCGACACATCCTCAAGATGGAGCCCACTCAGCCGCGCAAGGGAGGAACCTGGATTGCACACCACATGGTTTTCAACAAAGGTGTTCTGCGCCAGATGCTGGACCTGATTGAGACCAACCTCGTCGATACGGAAGGTGCAGCAGGAGAGCCTGCAGAGCCTTGGCCTTTGAAGATCCTGAAAATTGCCGAGAGCTTCGAGCGTGTCTCCGAGTATGTCCTTTACGGGACCTTTGCCAGCCAGGGCAGCCACTTGAGAGCGCACCCGTACGAGGCGTATGGAGCCCGAGGTTTGCGTCTCTATGGCCGAGAGGAAGCTCTGGCCAAAGGCCGCGAGTGCAACGAGTTCTTAATCGATCTGTTGAATGCCGAAAGCAAGCCTCTCACCGGCTACTCCTACCAGAGGGTAGCGGGAGAGGTGGCGCCTCTCCACCTGACGCACCTGCAGATGGAGCATGTATAGGGTCGCCTTCCATTGCAGTCGTCTGTCGGCTTTGCTGTTTCTTTCGGTTTTGCACGTCTTCCCGCCGAAACCGGCGCTTCAATGTGGGCATAGCTTTTGTTGAATTAGCTGGAGTCGTAAGCGGCATTTCCTCAGTCCCGCAGGTCCGCAAATTTAATCCTCACGCAGACTTTTGTGCGCGCGTACGACGCGCTCCGTCAGTGAGGGCGGGTTTCATCCTCGGCTCAGGGTGTAAAGCATTGCACACCGCGACCAGTTGTGCGGCCGCACGGCCTGCATGCTTCTGCATTTAGTTCAACGCGTCACGGTCGGGCGTGAATTTTCTAAACGGGCTACGGACGGACATTTTGCGCAGTCCCTACCAGCGAAGCCCCTGCTCCACCCTAGATGTGAAGCCTCAGCCTCATCGCTGCAAAAGGAAGCGTTGCAGGATTCTTGCTTGGGCCGTCATCTCGAACATCCTGGCTCGCCCATCTTGGCTCAGGCGATTTTAGCCACCAGCGCTTGGCATAAGCCCGAGCCTCAGAGCCGCCGGAAGGCTCCTCAAGGGATCTTCGGCTTCGGCGGCTTCGGCCGAGATGGTTTTCATTAGGCTGTCACACGCAGCCCGTTATGCGTCCGTTTCATTTTCGGCCTCGGTCGGCGGTGGCTCCGGACGAGCAGTGGCTCTAGCAGCCAGCGCTGGGATCCTTTCGGGCTTGTTCGTGGGTTACCAGCCGAAGGAGTCAAAGCCACACAGGCACTGTGGCTGCGAAGTGCACCTTACAGATGTTCAGCAGCAACTTGGAGGCAATCTCGCCGAGATCGTTGGAAGAGGCAACGTCAGCAGCAATGTTACCATGAGGGGTTCGCGGCTAGGCGAAGGAACCGCACTGGCTGTGGTGAAGCCGGGCTCTTTGCACGAAGCCATGGCAGTTCTCAAGGCATGCTGTGCTGCGGGCGTGGCTGTTCTGCCACAGGGCGCAAACACCTCACTTACAGGAGGTTCTGTTCCGCGTGGGGAGTGTGACAGGCCGACCGTGATTATTAACATGAGACGACTCAACAAAATCCTTCCAGTAGGCGCTGATGGAGGCCAGGTGCTGTGCTTTGCAGGAGCTGGCATATTTCAGCTTCAGAGCGAACTGAAAAACAAGTACAACAGAGATTCTCACTCTGTGCTTGGGTCAATCTTCTTAAACCCGTCGGTTGCTGCGGGAGTGTCGTATGGAAGCGGAGGGACGCAGATCCGGAAGGGGCCAGCGTTCACAAACCGCGCCTTGTTTTGCCGTGTTGCTCAAGGAGGCGAGGTGGAGCTCGTGGACACCTTGGGTCTCCAGGTAAAAGGCAAAGATGCGCTAGATTTCCTCGAGACTGCCACCGAACTGGGCCTTCAAGACTTGGATCCCAAGTGTAAGGTTGCAGCATCTTGGCCAAACTACCGGCAGCACCTCACCAAATTGGACAGCAATGTTTCACGATACAATGCAGATACTACTGGTGCTGAATGCAATCGTTCAGAAGGTAAAGTTCTGATTTTGGCGACTCTCCACGATACATTTCCCATGCCCCAGAAAGACAGCGTGATTTGGGCTTCGTGCAGCGACTTTGAGACTGCTCAAGCGCTCAAGCGAGAGGTCTGCATTGCCAGCCCGGACTGCATGGCTAAGTCTTGCGAGTACATCAACCGCGAGGTGCATGATGCAGTTGACCAGGCAGGACGGATCCTGATCAAGATGATTGAGATCCTGGGAATGACGAGACTGGAGCCGTTGTGGAATCTGAAGCTTTTCATCGAATCCGTGCCTTTGCCGTTTGCAACTATTGTTTGCGACAAGTTTCTATGGTGGTTTAACGGCATCTTGCCGAAGCCTTTGCCGGCAAAGCTCCAAGCGCTAACGCAAGAGTTTGATCACCACATGCTTATGGAGTTCGCGGAATACACACCAGGTGAGCTGGACGGCTTGATGTCTCGTTTAAGGAAGTTTCAGGACTCCAAGCCAGAGGGTACAGTAAAGTTCCATGTATGTGCTGATGCTCGTGAGCGGTCCCGGGCAACTCTCTTCCGGTTTGCAGTCGCGCCCGCATTCCGGACATACTGCATTGGCCTCGGCCAGCAGGGGCTGTCAATTGACTACGCGTTGCCGAAGAACTTCACTCGGTACCCAGAATTACCAGCTCAGTACCCTGTGTCCAGACGCCTGGTGTATTCGCATTTTGGCTGCAATGTCTATCACGAGGATTACGTTTTCGACAACAGCATTGATGTGCATGAAGCGAAAATGGCCATAAAAAAGGCTCGGCCACGTTTTACATCATGTACAGATAAATCTGAGTGCTGAGCCTTTGTGAGGCCATCGAGAAAGTCGGTGGAAAGCTTCCAGCAGAACACGGCCATGGCACCGAGTATGCAGCACCGGCAGACATGCAGCAGAGATGGCGCCTGTCAGACCCGACGAACACCATGACCTTTGAACAGAGATTAGTGATGGCTCTTTCTTGTCGGTTGAGGATTAGGTCACCGTCAAGGTCGACAGTCCTGTGCCACTGTGAGCTCTCTTGATTGTTGGGGCGGGAATTAGAGTGGGAGCATGCCTGGGTAACTCAGTGCATGCTGCTGCTTCTGCACGGAAATGTGCCCGAATCTCACGCTGCTGAGGAATCCTGGGGCGCAGAGCTCAGTTGCTTCCACTGTCCTGCCCTCTGGGTCGCGCGCGCGCGCCTGCGAGAGCCATCGCAAGAAAATGTGTCGATGTCTGTTGTTTGCGCTGGCAGGTCGGAGGCACATCCTACAAGAAGGACTACATGTGAACCTCGCAGCCAGACGAGCTGAAGCGCTCTCTTCTTTGCGCCTTCCGTTTTCACTCACTCTATTGTTGTCAACGAGGCCACCCAAGCCTTTGTTCTCAACTGAGCCGCTGGTCACAGGTGGAAAAAGTGGGGTGACAGCGTTGCGGTTTATTGATTCATGCTTGCACTTACTGACGAAATTCTAGCAGAGGCAGGGTGCTGCAAGCAACACAGACATCATGTTGATGCAGCAGGCCGCGCACACAATATCATGCAATCTGGTTGCATGGTTAAGCTATGCAAGCGGCGACTGAAAAACCGCTTTTTGGTAGAGTTTTGGCTCGAACGCACGGGGCGCGATGGACGCCTTCGTGGGGTACAGTCGCTTCGCTTGTGCAGGAGTTTCGGGGTCTGTCACTCGTGAATGGCACAAGCATGAGGCTGTCGAAGGAGGCAGGCAAACGGAAGCAAGCATTAAGAGATAGGCCCTCTTCCAGGTTCAGGCTTGGGACTGAGAACTCATGAATCGTAGTAATGCTGTGGCCAATTTCGCCCAGGCTTCCAAGCGATCCCCGAGCGGCCCCAGCGCATTGCGGGATCGGGATTGAGGGCAGGGCCGGGGCAACAGGCCCCAAAGCCAAGGCCTCTCTCTCTGCGAGGGAAGTCGATGCACATCTCCGGATTCCAGATTGCATGCAATGCATGCCTAAGCAGTAGACTAAGTAAGGCCGTTTCTCTAGCCGCTCTAGCCATCCTTCCCTGGCAGATCTTCGGAGCTGTCTTGGGGCTTCGCGGCCTTGGCTTCGACCGCCTCTGCGATTACCGGGGCTGCCATACAGCGCCGGCGCAAGGTGCGGCAGACTGCGCATTCCGGGAATTCCAAGCAACAAAACTTCCCTACTCGTAGTGTAGCTGCATGGAGACTTGCAAGGGCCTAGTGGCGAAGAGGCCTGCAGGCCCAAAATATGACAGTTCCAGTGGCAGAAAGCAGGCTCAAGTCGGGAAACCTCCCTATATAAACTCAGCTGAATCTGCCAGCGATTTCCTCGAATCGGCCATGAAGTATTGTCATCACAAATCATTGCCAAGAAGTACTATCACTGCCCTGTTGCTGTTGCGCCCGTTCACAGGGTGACTTTGATGCAGTGCTCTGGCCACTACCAACAGCGTTAACAGTGCAAAAGAAGTGGGTGCAGAAATCGGAAATCGGCGAAGCCGTCAGCTCGCAAATGCCAAAGCCCTCGCCATTGAACGACGACAACATGTCATGACTGGTACTTACAGTGTATCAAGAATCCTAACTTTTTGGTGGTGGTTGCTTTGTTTTGGCTTGGAGTCAGAGCCGCAAGAAAGACGGACAGGAAAGCGGGTGTACACTTGTACTATGTGTTCTAGAAATGTTTTCACCACTGCAAATGGTGCATGCCTACTGTTTAACATATATAACATGAGCCAGATACCTTTAGGGTCTGTTCAATCTCTATCTAACCACGTTTTCATAATTGCAATGCTAAATGCTTACCTAAATGCTATATTACAACATAAACCACAACCGTACATAAAGTGCGGAAGGTCTCTGCATTGTCTCGTGTGACACGGAAGATCCCCGGCGGAGCCTCCCTGATATATATATATATATATAATATCTCCGTATAAACATGTGTACGATATGCCATAATTACTGTGTGTACCCGTGCAGGATTCACAATTCCGGTTCCCGGCAAAGTTAAAGGTCAGGGCTGCACGCCCGGACATCGAAAAACCATCACAGGACATCGAGAGATGACATCTAAAAAGCTCCGACCCTTGTCTTCCTTTTGAAATTGCGGGATACGTCAATAACGTCGATAAACGAATCGGCTCCGGACCTGTCCGACTCGTCCGAAACATTTCTTGTTTCCAGAATATCGCGGCTCCGAGCTGCCATCTGCGGGGGAGGCACCATGGTGGGAGAGGGTGGGTAACACACTTGACAGTCGCAATGCCGAAAGACCTTGCCGGAAATCGAGACGTGACAAAAGACTTCAATAGCTTGCCGGAAAAAGGAGACCTGACAAAATGCAATTCCTCGGTAGCTGGACTCTGCATATGCAACCAAGAGCAACAAGCAAACCACCTCACCAAAGAAAACAACTTAGAGGTGACAGCATTGCTGCTGCCGTTTTTGTTCTTGTTGGTTTTCTCGGGCTGGGCGCTCTGTGTTGTTCCCCATCCGTTTCCGACGTGATTCTGTGTTTCGGGCCTCGCTCTCCACAGCTGCCCATGGCAGTGTTTGGCTGGAAGCGAATAGGACGGAGAGCCTTGTGTGCACATTCGTGTAGCAGGCCCGAACATCTATGCGCCAAAGCAATGTGGCCAAGGACTTGGTAGCGCTTCTTCCAGTCAAGTTGCAGAATTCCTGCTAACCGGACTGATACAGCTATTTCGCCCGAACTCAGTTCGAGCATCATCAGGTCTTCATTGTCACAGTATGTGGAGTGCAAGTGTGTCTTCTCTGGCAGCATGGGCTTGCACATGTGAAGGAGAGCCAGCAGCCTTATTCCCAGCTTGTTGCGGAAGACCGCATGATCACTATTCAGGACGTAGCTTTACCTGCTTGTTCGGCAAGTGTTCTTGTCCACTGCTTCACAGTTGGCGAAACTGAAGGAATCCCAGATTCGATACGCCGGGGCAGCCATAATTGCGCTTGTCGGGGTGTACAAGCGACTCGTTTTCATTGCACTCGATGGGCGGTGCCGGAAGTACGTTGAGCTCAGGTACGTCGGTATGGTCGCTGCTGGAAGCTTCGACTATGCCGCAATCGCCGCGAACGCAGCCGGAGCTTGGGGTGTCTTCGAATCCGGGCGTCAATCCATCTGAGGCAAGCGCTTGTTTCACTGTCCGATCTCTGTGTGGGTTTGCAAACCATGCGCCGTCTTGGAGGCTGTGTTCTTGGACTTCGCTGGAGTCTTGACAAGCCCTTCTCAATGACTGAGCCACCTGCTGAGTACAAGGGCTTCCTGACCAAGAGTCGTGGCAGCAATCGCACTGAACTGAAGTTGAATCAGGATAACGTGGTGACCTAGTGATGGGTAGCACCGACATTTCTACCCGATGCAGAGCAGGAGTCAACCGGACATGGCCAGAAAATAGCAGCAGGAACCCGTGGAGTGCTGGAAGCTACGCGCAGGAAGTTATGAGCTTTACTTGGACAGTCGTGACAGGGAAAAATGTCGCGAAGTTTCGCAGAGATGGGCTCGGGAGCTCAAAGGTACAAGACATGCCACCACCACCCCAGCCATGGGAAGATCGCACTTGACCGTCATGTCTACCGGAGTGCCCGAAGTAGGTTGCCGGTCGGCCCGGCTCGGCGGGAGCAGTTTGCAAAGCTTGGCAAGACCGGGCCTGTGGCTGCGCCTGTTAGGTTTCATCTCTGCTGCCGGCTCCGGCTGTATTGCGCCATCATCCGACGAGGCACCTTCGCACTACCTCCCCGATTCCGTTTCCATCCCGCTCCGTCGGGCAACATGTTTCCTTCTTGTAAGTTCACGCCTGCGTTCCTCTGCACTGGATGGGTAGCAGATGCTGCAGGTTTCTGTTTTCCGCTCCCTCACCTTGAAACAAACAAACTCAGCCCGGTGCGCGTCCCTCCAATGCACCAGTCCACACCAATCACCCTCGCAGAAAAACCATTCCTCCGCGCCGTTCCACCGTTCCTTCCGCAAGCTTTCTGGACCTGATTAGGCTCCAGGCTTAGCAGCTTCGCACCTGTCCCTCCTGCGTGCGCACATCTTCGCCCTCCCTTCTGCCTCCCAGGAAACACACTAGAGTCACTAGAGCCTTACCAAGCTGACCATCGAACTGGTCATCATGCCATGAGTTTTATTTCGCGTGGCGAACGAGCAGGGTCCTGATGCTTCCCAAGAACAACACACACACACACAACCGGTGTCTGCCGGAGCGGCAAAGATGAATTCAATCTCTAGTTAAAGCAGATGCAGGGTGAAAATGTAGAGAGCCATGCGAGAGTTCGTGGCAGATAGCACAGTTGCAAGTTCGCAGTTAAGCAGGACGGTGTGAAGCAGTGAGGGCCCTCGCTGCAGCGCAATCAATGCACCAGACGCGCTGAGGAAGCGGCAACAAGCACTAGAGCTCGGAGGGCCTTGTGCGGTCGTCGGCGCGCTTGTGGCTACATTGGCCGCGGCCGTAAATGGCCAGCTTGCAGAGGTGGCCTGCTGCCCAGTCCGATGCGAGTCCGGGTTCTGGCATTCAGCTACGTTCTGCTCTTCCGCTTTAGGTGAAGTAAGTATCACTTAAGATCAGATGCCGCTGCAAGCAGTTGGCAATGAAAGGCTGTTGAACTACACCGGCAGCAGGCATGCTGTAGACCGAGGTGCCAGCGTTGCAGGGTTGCCTGGCGTTCGGTGTAGTTTCCGTGGTGATCGCACAAACTGCGAAGAAGTTCTTGCCAAGGGACTAGCAGGCGATAAGCCGCTTCCATCTTATTCCAGCAGCACCAAGTGCTGCCATGATTTTCGCTGGAGTTCAAACCAGAGCTGCTTGCCAGCCAACAGTTGACTCAGGCTTTGCGCCGTAGCTTTGATAAGTGTCTCCGAGAGATTCTGGTTTGGATCGCTGGCCAGCTGGCTGCAGGCGTCCGGTTGTGTTTTCCGTGGCGGCTGGAAACATCAGCCGGTAGTTTGTTCTGGGCCTTTTGAAGGGTGGTGCAGCTGATGGTGCGCACACTTGGAATGACCCGGTAACCTCCGAAGCTGTGATCGGGCCTCTTGCGGAGTCAAAGCTTCCGTGCCGAACGTGGCCTGCATGGAAAAACCCGTTGAGTTCGGTTGCTGAATTCAGTAATCCAAGCAGCTTTGTGCGGTCGTGCTGCAGTTTGGAGTGCCAGAATGCCGCAATTTCTTATTGGCTGCAAGCTTGCCTCATGCATGGCTCTCTGCCATGAATGCGGCGGAACGCACAGGCTCAGCATGTGGGCTTTCGCTGCCATACACCTGCGAAGAAGTGATTACAGTCCGGTAAGCAGACAATGACATCAAGTCACGTTTATAGCATGCGGAATTTGTTCATTCTGAAGCTGCTGTGCGAGTCATCCCTCAATCTCTCTCTCTCTCTCTCTCTCTCTCTCTCTCTCTCTCTCTCTTTTGCGAAGAGAAAGAACGCTCCCAAGGAAGGTTTCGTTCTCCAGCTTGCAGGTTGTGCAGCCGGTATCACCAAACTCTTCGATTCTTGGTGGCCTAGTCGACCTGCGGTGCGCCATTCACCTGAGGAGTTGCTCGGACAAGTTCTCTGCAAACTTCGTCTTCACTGTTGAACTATAGCCCTCTCCGAGGTTGTCGGTAGGATTGCGGCTATGCGCATCCTTGTTGGTTTACAATTCTGCCGATGCAGACCTAAAGTACGCCTGGGCCCTTCAAGGCCACCCCATGGGCCCAAAGCGCTCAACGCCCTGTGGCGAGAGGACGAGCGGCCACGCACTGCACTTAGGAGCAGGAGTATGCGCCGCAAAAACATATCTGTGCGGGACTGTGGCAGAAGCACGATTTCATGGAGGTGAAAATCACAGCACGAGTCGTGCCTGGATTGGTGGGAAGTTGACGCGTGCCTCAGGAGCGTCTAGGAGCCTCTTAGTGTTGGCTTTTTTCTTGCTGGGACATTTTATTGATTTCCAGCTGTACGGAAGGCCAAAGGAGCACGAGACAGGCGAGGACGATTCATCAGGTTCGGGAGCGGTCAAGTGTTGGATTCTGCCCTGACTTCGGCGCCGTTGGCGGATGAACGTCATTTAAGTCGAAAATGGGCACAGCGCGCGAGTCGAGAGTCGGGCAACGCCCGGCACAGGCTGCAGACTTGCATCTCAAAAAAGAGATCTCTTGACACCTAACGTGAGAACCCCAATGCAAGGTTACGGTGTTGCACACGCTTTGTTGAATACTCCAGAGTTTAGACCGAAGCCGTTGTGCGGTTCCCTGCGGTGATCTCAGGCTTCCGCAAGTTTGCAAGTTTGCTTCCTTGTGCGATGCCAGAGTAGCCAACGTGGCTTGGCCGTGAACATTGGAGTAGAGAAGTAAAGCAGCGCAGCAGGGCGCTTGGGGACCTTCTTCGGCTGACCTAAGTCTTGGAGCACCGCCAAGGCACCGAAGCTGCAGGATGACGCGCGTCTTGATTCCTGCAAGCAGGCGCAGCTACGAGATCTGTGAGTTGCTGATGAGGTGTTGCCGTCCTGCGTGGCATTGCGTGGCCTAATTTTGCAGCCTGCAGGTGCTGCCGAACAGCAGCAGGCTACTAAATGCTGCGCCAAAGCAGAATTCAGTGTTGAAATTTGACCGGTTCTTGCTGTTTGCAGGCATGGGTAGTGCATAGACAGCGTATTTCGGCTTCTGAATGAGTGTTCGTTCCAACCTTCACTGCTTCCGAAGGAAAACTTTGCAGCCGGCGATTTTGTCGTGCTTGGAAACGATGTACATGCAGAATATCGGGGTGCTGCAGCAGTTGTCCTCGATGTCACACCAATTGATTGCATGGTGGCCGTGTTGGATCCGTCGCGAACTTTCAAGATCGGGGAGTGCCAAGCAGCATTCCGCGCGTTGCAGACGATTCACAGAGACTGGCGCCTGGGAACTCGCCACATTATTGGCGGCTTGCAGAGCAGCAAGATGCAGCATCTCAACGGCTTGACTGCTACCGTTCGAGAGCATCGTCGATATGGTCATCCATGCTTCTTGCCAAAGCCGGAGGGAGACAGCAAGCTGAGGCTCTGCGTGAGATGGGAAACGACAGAGACAGGCGCCGCTTGTGCTTCAGGCGCTTTGCTTCTGGAGCCACGCTTTCTGGCTTTGTATCTCAAGAACTTACAAGACACCTCGACCTCGCGACGCCACGACACTGTACTCAGTGAGCGTATTCCAGAAGAAGCTGCACCCTCTCGCACTTTGCTCACATCGAAACGGTGTGCATGTCCCCCAGCGTCCGTTGAGGGAAAGGTCCGGCTGGAGCTGTCCTCCAGTTTGCAAGCAATTGAAGAGATGGAGCCCACGTCAAACCTCATGTCGAAGGCCAGGTGTTCAAGGGCCCATTCGAGTGCTAGCAATGCTAGTGCTGCAAGTGTCACGCACCATAGTGCAGGTCGAAGGTCCAATGCCATGTCGGCCAATTCCAACTTGCACTGGCGGTTTTCTGGCAATGCTGTCCTGGCTTGTTGGAGCGTCCGGGCCCCCGGTTTGCACTGCTTTGTCGGGGGTTCCGTGGCTTTGCGCTGCATGGCCCACCCGATGAGGCATACGCGACACGTGGAGGAGGAGTTTCCGACAGTGATCCGCTTGTCATCTGTCTTGGCCGCCACTGATCCACCACCTCGTGAGCGGCGGCATGCCTTGTATTGTCTAGATATGTTTGTGACACCCTTCATGTGCATAGGGAAACATCAAGAGATTCGTGCTGAGGCTGTCATGGCTGCTGCCTATAGCCGAGATGAGTACAGGTGCAGATGAAGCAGATTCCGAACTCGTTTCTGCCCCTAGATGCAATTAAAACTGGTCCTTTCCGATTAGATGCTACAGAGTGACGGGCCAGGAGCTCACCGGCAGTATTCAACCATTTCATGAGCTGGAGCCAGGCCTTGCTAAAATCGCCCATCAAAAACTCTGGCAATTCTGCTTGGACAGGCGATCTTGTGATGCTGGACTGCACTCAATCTTCGAAATTCAGTTTGTGCCCAGCAGTGGTCACAGGTGCAGCTTGGATTTGCGAAGGTACTCGCAAGTAGCTGCAAAAGAGATTTTCCCATACCTCGAAGTCAAGTCTTTCGGCGCAGGTGTCGACATACCAAACTGCACGCTCGCGGTTCTGGACGACTCAAGAAGCATTTTTGTCCGTGAGCCCTGACCTCAGAGTGTCGGCAAGTCTTTCAGGCTTCGGGGGAATTGTGAAAGAGCTGCAGGTGTCGAGCAAACCTTGGAGAAGTCATTCCAGTACACTCCGAGTGGCGGCTGGGCACACATGTTGTTCTGGGCGGCCTGCAGAGCAGAGCCTTGGAGAAGCTTCGGTAGTCTTTCTGATTTTGTGGCGCAGATGACTGTCAAGCGTCCACAAGTTTCGTGGCGTGAACATCGCAGATGCATCCCTGCGTCGAGTGCCGATTGTTCGGCCCTCCGAGTGGTAGCCTGCAGGGAGGTATTTGTTTTGGCCACGCCTCGAAGACAGCATCTCATTTTTCTCTAGGCCCTCATCCATTGTTCTGTTGCTTGTAGGGGTGTCGTTACCCAGAATTTGACGAAGCCTTGCCTACATAATTAGCATATAGTCGTTCTTGGCGCCAGCGCACCATGCTGCTTCAGCATTTCTGCTTGTCCTCCTTATACACATGCAGCAGTGACCCATATGGGATGCCGCTTGAGCCCAACAATATCCTGAACATAGCATGCGATGTGTGCGGCTCCTGCCGTGACCCGATCGGATGTGGAAACGAATGATTAGACACGTGGCGTTTGCTATGATCAACCAAGCAACCCGCAGCTTCATAGCACACACAGCTTGCACGCCCGGGCTCAGCAGCAGCGGAACCGCAGGCGAGTGTCCGATGAGTCTGACGTGTCTCAAGGCAGCCTGGCCAAGTCACCAACTGTACAAACCTTGCGGCCGGCGCAGAACTGAAAAAGCTGGTTTCGGGCGGCCTGAAGGAGCGAAGATCCAACAGAAATCAGAATCCCACCAATTCGGAACGTGACCCCGAACTCCAAAAGCAAAAGACCATCGATCAACATGTCATCCCTTCTCAGAGCCACCAGAATCCGGCGGAGCGTCTTCCTAAGGAGGCTCATCTGTACAGCCACGGTGAGAGCTGGGGCACCAAGCGGGACATCAGCCTGATTTGACCATTGGCCAGAGGTCAGTGCTCGAACCGGAAACCGAGGGCCGCCATGAGCGTGTAGCACAAAAACCAATTCCAGCCACGAAACACGGCGCAATGGCTCGCCCGTCTGGCCCTGCTGCAGAAGAAAGTCACAAAGTTGTTGCACAAACTGCTGTGGGAGATCCGGGCAGGAATGCAGAGCTTGCTGTCGCCAAGTGACGGGGAGCGCATCCTCGAAGGAATCAAGCAAGGCAGGTACCGGTGGTGGTAGGGGAAGTTCCGTATCCTCCGGATCCACCTCCGGGGGGCAAGTGTGGCCCGACTTAGCTGTAATGTCAGCAATGCCAAAGTAGATTCCACGCAAAGCGCGCAAAATCTCCAAATGACGAAGGTGCCAGTTATAAGCCATCTGATGCGCTGCTTGAAGGTCCACTGCTCGGTTGATGTTTGTGAGGCCTGCAAGGGTATCTGCATGGCCGTTCCAACGGATAAGCCAGTCCTCGAAAGGAGAGATGCCAAGACCAGGGTCCAGGTGTGAGGGTACATGCTGCACCAACAACCAGCCTACAGGGTATGCTACGACAAGCTCAGTCAACAGCTGCCATAGGTCTGGATTTTCATCGGACCCAGGTGAACGTCCCTCCAAGAGACCACGGATACCCTTGCCCACCATGGCGGAATCCGTCCACAAGGTGAGCGGCACCTCGACCTGAAGCCCCCATTTGAGGCTGGCAATAGCACCCCACAGTTCAGCACGCGGGGCCGTCTGTTGAAGACCGGGAACCGGGCCAGTCGAAAGAAGCTCACCAGTGCATGCATTGACACTGCTCCATGCCGCCAGAGCAAAGGCCGGAGTTGGGGCAAACAAGCAAGAGCCATCACAAAACACGTGTTGCGGACCCTCAGTACATCGGAGGCTGGCGAATTGTCCCGAGCGATCCGGCAATCGTGCCAGCTGTTGTCGAAGAGCAGGCAGGTGTGGATTGCATGGTGGAAGAAGGTGGGTGCGCAGGCACGCCACTCTGCACACACCCAGGCATAAGGGCCCCGGGCCGATTCGTAGAGGGGGCAGCTGCACACCCTGTGTTCAGGCGAGTCGGGGACTCCACAGCACGAGCAAAGGCCGTCCTTGGATTCATCGAACTTAGCCTGACTGGTCCCGAACATGAAGGCTCCACTTTGCAAGGCAGCCAATCTAGCCTTGTCCAAAGACGAAAGACGACTGGCATCGGCCTGCAAGAGAGGGAGATCAATGCCCCACAAGTCGTGCATGGTGCGACGGTGGCGGTGCAAAGATGCAACGTGGTTAAGCCATGCTTGTTCGCAGAGCTGGCGGAGGAGGGGCAATGGGGCTGTGGTGAGATCATGCTGAAAACCTTCATGGTCCGTGACACATGGCGGAGTTTCCAGTCGCCATCCGATCTGACTCAACACCTGCAGAAGCTTAGAGAATGGCCCCGGGAGCAAGGAGCCTTGAAAGCCTGCCACAAAGTCAGCCCACAGAGGGATCACCCGTCCGTCTTTGACACTCAAACGCCTTAGATCTCGAAGTGAGGACCACAGTTGATAAAAGCCCGGATCGGCATCGAGCAAGCCACTCGTGGAAAGTCGAAGCATCGGGCTAGAGCCAGCGGAGCAGCAGCGCAGTGCACGAACGGCCTGTGTGCGGAGGCTGGCCAGGTGGACCTCAGCCAATGGGCAACCCGAGATGCCATGCAGGGCACTGGCCCAAAACTTGGCCGGGAGGGCTTGGAGCTTGACGGCAAAGGCACAAGGAGAACGTTTCAACCGTTGAAAAAGGGGGGCCAGGGCTTGACAGCGCCCCACGATTTCGGCATTTCGGACCGCTCGGCCGAAACATATGTTGCCACCAAGCTCGCGAGCATGATCGACCACCCGCAAACCCACACTGGACAGCATGGAGCGCTGGGCCGGTTGGAGCGCCCACACGTAGGTCTTCGTGGCGTCCGTAGACAATGCAAGCATGTCCAGGAATGTGTGGGTGACGTTGATCCCTGCAGCCAGCTGCCCTGTTGACTGCGCGGTACAACTGAGGTTGTCTACGTAAGAATGAGGAACCGCATTTGATGCGAAGGCTTCAACATAAGCATGAAAGGCCAAGCAGACAAGGCTCATGGCAACCGTGCTCAATGCGCATCCCTCCGGGAATCCGCATGTGGAAGTGAGTGGTTCACCCACAGCTTGGCGCAGTAGGAAGCGCCGTTCCAGTCCAGTCAGGAAGGCCTGCCATGGCTGCAGCAGGGTGGTGGGAAGGCCAATCCACTCTGCTAGGGCGAACACCGGCCGTCGCGGAAGGGCGTTGAAGGCCTTTACCACATCAGTGGAGAATCCGACCATGGATTGGTCCTGCTGACAAGCAAGCTCGATCTGAGCTTCCAGGATCCACCAGAACTGCGAGGCCTCCTTGTGTGGCATAAAGCCAAGGGCGGTGTCCGGTAGGAGTTGGGAAAGCCATTTCAGCACTTGTCTGGCTCGAATGCCGCTCCATGCACGATAAGCGCAACTGAGAAGACAGATAGGGCGGAAACCTTGAGGGTCCTGACGGTCGTTTGGCTTTTTCAGGCAACAGACCAGCCCGATAAGCCATTGAGCAGGCCAGTCTCGAATCCCCAACTCGATATCCCGAAACAGCTGCAGCAATTGTTGGGCATGAGCGTCCGACATGTTGAGCAAGTCCAGTCGGGCGATGCCATCGGCTCCGCGGGCCGCGCGGGGCTTGAAGCGCTTAATGGCAGCACGCCACTGGGGCAAATCAATCGGTGGGAGGGCCAGGCTGGAACGAGGAAGGAAGGCTTGCGCGAAAGCCGTAACACGTGACCAATCAACCGCGGCTGGGTCGGAGAAGCGACCCCAGTAAGAAGACCATAATTTTTCGAATTCGTTCTGTACATCCTTTGCGGAGGAGAGAAGAATAGTCTGCTCAAGCTCACAATCAACGTCAACATTCTCACATCCGGGGATCCGGCAGAGATCGCCGACAACAGAGTCCACCTGCACACTGCAACCGTCTAGTTGCCATTGGCTGCAACCACGTGTGTCGATAATAGAGTCCAAATGCACGTGGCAGGTGGAGGGCTCAACTGCCAATACGCAGTAGCTCTTGCGCAGTTCAAGAGTATCAACCTGTTCTGGCTTGGGGTCACGGAGGTCACGGAACAGGAGGTTGCGGTTCTGCGCATATTGCTCGGCCAAAATGGCACGGCGTTGCCGAATGTTCCAAGGTTCGAATTTTCGGAAGTTGTCACGGAAGTCCAAGAAAAGTCTATGGCAGGTAGCTGCATCAGGGAGCCAGGGAGGAAATTGTGTTGGGGAGCCGGCAAGTCGAACCGGGCGAAGGGGCCACCAATCAGCAAAGGTAGGATGGAAGCCCTTGGAAGCGACAATCGAGCGCCACAAACCCAAGCGGTACTCAACTGCACTAGGCGAGGGGTTGCCTGCCTTCAAGGCGTGGTCCAAAGACTGCAGTCGGCGGAGCTGTTGGAACCAACGCTTGACTTCCAAAGAAAGTAAATCATGGTGTGCCGATTCTTCACCAGGTCGGGCCGGCTTTGGCGGAAGGACCTGAGCAGCATGATCGGGGGAAAGTCGCTGTGCTCGACCATGGCATCTGTGTGGCAGCTGGCCTCCGGGAGAATCCTTCACGAATCCATTGAGGCTGCGCTCGAAATCGCGGGCAAAGGATTGCAGCCAACGTGTGGAGTTGGGCTCTTGAAGAGGAATTGGTTGGCAGGCGTGCTGCCATGCCGAAACTGACACAGACTGCCAGGGGATCTCTGAAGGAAGAGGCCAGGACATAGGGCGGTGGACCCCAGTCAACCGCATCCCGGCGATTACAGTAGCATGCTCAGCAAAGACATCTATGACCCTGACGTCGTGACACAAGGCTGCCGCTTCTGGGCTGAGGAAGATGAAGTCGCGATGTGTGGAGCCTTTGCAAGTGGGAACCAATGGCCGATGCCATCGCTGCTCGGCGAGGTCTTGGACTTCAATCCAGCCTTGCTGTTTCCAGAGCTGAACCTGATCGAGATTGTCGTGCCAATGGTTGAAATCTCCCGAGATCAGGCGAATGCCTTTGCGACCGAGAACCAGCTCATGTGTCAGAGTTTCAAGAAGGCGCTCAGTGCGAGCACGGGCATCCACAAAGGTCTTTCCCGAGGGATAGCCGTAGACGTTGGC